GGTGTTCCCCTACTACCTCTTTTCCTGTCTTGGGCTGCAGCTCCCTCCTTGCATAATTTTTATGTACACTTTTACTCAGTGCTTTTTTTCTAGAAAAATAGGTACCAGTAATCACCATGAAGTCACACTGCTTTTACTTTATATATGCATTTTTGTAAGCATTGGTTAGCTATAGGCAAATTTCAAAGGATAACTAGATTTCAGTTATTATATTGTTTGAGAAAACGCATATGTGATAAATTTGGCTTTAAATGCAAACTGAATCTGACTTCTTCCCCACTTATACTGAGAGCTAAATCTTTTTTTCCCCAGCATGGAGATAAAGTGACCAGTATAGTTTCACTTGCTGTTTTTCTTGTCTATTGTGGAAATATTAAAGGAACAAAGATCCTAACTGTGGCAAATAGGAGAATGTTTTCATGACCAAAAGTGTGCATCTAACACTTAACACAAGAAAATGGAATTTGCATTGAATGTGCCAGCAGTTACCACTGCCATTGTATTAGCTGGCATTATATTATCTGTGGTATTAGTTGAAAAGAATGCATTCCTCAACCAATGTCTCTGTAACCAACATAATCCAGGTGTAGTTATACTGCTGCACTTCCTATAGACTTGCAGTTCCCTGGATCTACTCAACTAAAAATATATGCAGTGCTAAAACTATAACCAGCATTATTCTGATGGTAATCAAGAGTACTGGGGTATCTATACTTGCTTATCTCACCAAGGTACCTGGGAAATAGTATGCTTTGCTTTTCTAGCTGATAAGGAGGAAGACCTCAGTATAGGAAATCTTCTCATTACTTTTGTATATATATCTCACTGCTTGTTGAGTTGAAGCTACCACTTCGTTGATGTGTAAAAGTGGAGCCAGGTACCATCTCCTCTCCTTAGGTATCACCTCCTGAATTTTCAGTTCAGCCATTCGTGGGATTTGTGCCAATCAAAACTCACACGCCCAGGCTCTTCAAGTTCAGGCCTGATCCTAAGAGAGTGCAAAGATCCAGCAATTCTCATGGGTTCTAGGTGAAGGTATGCGGCTTGACACTTAGCAAGAGACACCAGGGTTCTGTTTGTGCCACTAATTAAGCTGTTGTTTTTTAAAAGACCTGATAAGACATTTGTGAAATTGACAAGACTTTTTAATCTCAAGGCCAATTGGGTCAACATTTGGGATAGGCAAGTGGGGAAGTGGCTTCTTGTGTGCAGGTTGGAGGGACTGTGGCAACATTCTAAGCAGAAAAGGGTAAATTTTAACAGTGATGATTTGCACTGACTGAAATAGCAGAAGATTCCCAAATACTTGGAAATATATGTGTGATTTTGACCATGAGCACAGACTACATCTAAGGCCAGAAAGGGTGGTGGTGTCATGGACCCAATCTGAGTTAACGATTGTTTCTGGTTTACTCCATTTGGGGTATGTGAATGTGGGTGGTGCATTTGTGCAGATACAGACTGATGCAGTGTTGTTTCTCCAGATGAAACCTTCCAGACTGACAGTAAATCCTGGCACCTCTTCGAGGGACTCCTGAGCTAGGCACAAAAAGTGCACTTCTTGCATTTAATACATTTACACAAAACAGTGGCAAGAGACAACATGCAAAGCACATGACTCAGGAGCTGTGCTCTTCTGAGAAACTAATAGCTCTCCCCCCCCCCCTTTAGAATGGGTTCCAGTGGAGCTGTTTCCTTTACATGCCAATTGGCATCGACTAAGCAAAGTTAAACACTATATTTGCATCGTTGTGCTGTAGGTCACAGTGACTAATGCCTGATTTCTGCTAAAATGTGCCTCCTTACATTGAACATTACTTATGTTTATGATTGGCTTTGAGATGATTGCCTAATTAATAAAACACATTGATATTACTATTGTTTGCATGCTAGAATGGCTACTGTCTTGCACAGCCCACAAACTCTGCAAATGATTCTGTACCTTGAGGACCAACCGGGAGCTCAGAAAGCAAAAATGCGTTCTTGGCAGGAGATGATTACCTCCAGAGCCCAATTTAAAGAGAGTTGTTGCTTCCCTTATGTGACCAACACTTACTAAAGCCCTGATTAAGTAGTTGTGTCTTGTCCTTTTGCACACATATACACATGCAGCTGAACACTTTCCAGACATTGGGCCAAGACATTTTGCTGCCTGAAGTCAACCTTCCCTTGTTCCATGTGCAGATGTCAAATGGATTTGCAGTTACGTAAGAAGATAGAAGACCCTGCTAGAGCAGCTCAATGGCCCATCTAGTCCAGCATCCTGTGGGAAGACTGCAAGAAGGACCTGAGTACAACAGTACACTCCCCATCTGTGATTCCCAGTAACTGACATTCAGAGACATAGCAGCCTCCAGGCTCCAAGAGTTGAGGTAGAACACAGCTGGTAGTCAATGACAGCCTTATCCTCCATGAATTAACAGTGGCGATGGAGCAGCAGCCTCCACTACATCTGAGGGCAGCAGGCTAACTTAGAGGGTGCCAGACAGGCCATGTGACACCCACAGCTTTGCCTTTTGACACTTTGTCACCTCCCTCATCACCTGCCACCTGGGGCAACAACTTTGCCTCACAGTAGGGCTGACCCTATTTCTATGCGATGCAATAGGCTTCTGACGCGTGACACCAGCACCTCTCTTTCGTGATCCCCAGCTCCTATCAGCTGAGATGAAGAAAGATGGGTGGCAAACGGCACCCATTCACATTTGTGGGATAGTTGCCAGATGTGATTTTCAATTTGTAGGTTCTCTACCAGGATGTATTTTGTTAGATTCAGGAAGGTGCCTTGTGAGTTATATTTTTATTTTTGTACCCTTTCTCCCTAGATGCCAGAAATGGCTACATATTTTGGCATATCTACCCAATTTGCCAGGAAACCATGGGGTACATTGTTGAAAAGCATAATTAAGGAACATATTCAGATGTTCACACTACTGATGTTTATAGCAGGACACAGAAATCATGGGAGATACTTTCTTTAGATCTCAAAACATTATTCTAGGTCAGTAGTTCCCAAACCCCACCACTACGGACCACTTGAAAATTGCTGGGGTTCTTCACAAACCACTTATTTACTTCTTTCTGCCTGTCATAGCAATTGTAATGTGCTGTATATGATATAACTATCTTTTGATTGCTCCTTATATTTCTTATATTGTATTTTACTGTATTACATTTGAATTCCATAGAATCCTATAGAATTCAAATTGTAAATGTTTTCACAGATGCCCTTTAGATTATCCAAATGAAGCTCATGGACTATGTACTACAACTTGGGGAATCCTATGGTATCTCCAGTTCCTCTCCTGTTTTTCCTTTTTATGTTTTCTCGTGCTCTCCATCTATTTAGCTTCTGCAAGCAAACTGCCTACATATGGCCAAAATCGACCATGGACGGGCCTCCAGTTTGGCTAAATAATCCACCCCTTTCTTCTCTGCAAGTGGTTCCACCGTTAATCTAGCTAGTTTAGTCAGGAAGGTAGAATAGAAGCCTTTGGGGGTGATGGGTGTTGAACAAGCTCTTGAGGCTTGTGCTCTCCGCTTCACCACTCGCTGACTCAGGTGCCTGATTCAGCTACGCTAGTGGTGGACAGAGTGAGGAAACGAAAACTGGCAGGCGTGTCTCTGGCTCAAACAATACCATGAGCTTGGCGTGGCTGTTAAAAAGCAGGGTGTGATCACTGGCAAGGTGAAGTCAGAGACAGAGGCCAGGGTGCCACCTTGTGTCAATCAAAGGGAAATGTACTGCAGTGGACTTTTCAAGAGTTTTGGTTTGGCTAGGGAGGCAATAGCGGGAGAACAGCTGCTGGTATCTATGCTAATCTTTGCCTGCTTCATTCAGAATGACTAGTGCCTGACAGCAGAGCTTCTGCCTGACAAATCCGCTTCCTGCAAATTCCCTTGGTATTTCACTCACAAATCTTCAGTAATTCCTCCCGCTGCATTAGAACCACATGCTTCTTTGAAACCAAGGGAGAGCCAGTGTGGTGTAGTGGTTAAGAGCGGTAGACTCGTAATCTGGTGAACCGGGTTCGCGTCCCTGCTCCTCCACATGCAGCTGCTGGGTGACCTTGGGCTAGTCACACTTTTCTGAAGTCTCTCAGCCCCACTCACCTCACGGAGTGTTTGTTGTCGGGGAGGAAGGGAAAAGGAGATTGTTAGCCGCTTTGAGACTCCTTAGGGTAGTGGTAAAAGTGGGATATCAAATCCAAACTCTTCCTTCTATGTCGGACTGCATCTCTTGGATGCCACTACAAGTGTGGGCAATGGTTAGGGAAGATGGCAGCTGAACTCCAAGACCAGCTGGAAGACACCATGTTGACTAGGCCTGCTTCAGAGTATGTTTCGGCAGAGATAAATCTCTCTCTATCACCCCACCCCTCAAAACCTCTCACACTAAACTGTCTATAGGGTTGCAAAACGAGGGCATTTGCATAGAGTATTGCAGGACTTGTGCTGGCTTGCCAGCAGTATATGTGAAAATGTCATGAGCCTGTCCCAGATAACTAAGGCACACGTCTGATCGTTAACTCTTTACTGGCAAGAGAAACACAACAGCTTCCATGGTGTTTCTGATACACAAATGCTTCCAGCCTCTAGGCAGCAGTTCACTAGTCTGGGTCCTACGAAGCAGCAGTGACAATAGGAGACCCCACCCCCCTGCTGGTTTATATACCTTCCCTTGATGGGTTGTAAGCAATCAGGGAAATAAAGTGGGTATTGCTGCATTATTTGCTTTATTTACAGACACAGTATGCTTAACTTTGGTGACACAGTCATTTTTTCACACAGCAGCGTGTTTGTTCCATGCCGTGACAGTGCTGCACACACACCTACAGTCATTCTACAGAGTGAAGCCATTGGAAGGTGGCTTGTTCTGAATAATCTGGACGAGTTGGTGCTTTCCTTTGGACCACATGGGTTGGGATGCTGGATCAAAGGCTGACCCACGCAGAAGTATCCTGCTCTGCTGTCTCTGCAGGCTGGACACAAACCATCTCTCACTTCCACCGGCCACCAACCACAGGCTTCCCACGGGCGGCCTTTGAGCTGTTGGAGAAGCAGAGAAGCAAATGAGGTATTTCAGGCATCAGTGAGGTCAAAGCAAAAGGCAGAGGCGAGGGAGAAGGGAAGTGTCCACTTTTACAGTCAAACAGCACTGTGGGGGTACTTATTGCGCAGGGATATTTGTGGGTCACTCATTCAGTGGCATCCACACAGATCCCAACTTGGTGTCCACATGGCATGTGCAGTCCACATGAAGAAAACGCAATGTGAGCATAACTCATGCAAAGTTGCTGTTTATACACACTAAGCAGTGAGCTGGGAGCCCAAGTTGTGGAATCCTGAATGAACTTTACAGGTACCTTGTGCCTTTACAGGTATATCTGTTTCTCAGACTTAAAGCTTGGGTAGAACTGGTTCTTTGTCTCCAAGCAACCCTGAGAATTGTATTCTGGAAGCAGGAAAGGGCTTGAGAATTCTTCTACAGTAAGGATGGGGAACCTGTGGCCAGCACAAGACTACATCCTACAGGCCACAGAATGTTTTGGATCTTCCTCCCTCTGGGTGGAAAGAGTGGCCTTGGAGAGGAAGTTCTGGCCTCATAAGTCCCCTACTTCTGTTGTGGAAGCCTCGGTGCCATTTGCCTTCCTGACATCAGAACCCCAACATCAGTAGAGGTATTCACCTTAAGATATAAGCTTGGCATGTGCCCTAAGAGATAAGGTGCAGAGGGATGTTTCTCACTATATAGAAGGGATAGCCAGCGAGATGCTCTTCAGATGTGATTGGCCTATACACCTCCCATCTTCCCTGTTGGCCCTGCTGGTCTGTAAATTGGACACTCAATCTTATGTGCACACTGAAAAGGGCAAGGTGTAAAGATAATCCGAGACCTGGATTTCAAAAATATTGAGGGGTATACATACAGACACACTCTCTCTCTACGTGTGTGTGTGTGTGTGTGTGCGTGCGCATGTGCGCGTGCGCGCATACAGTGGTACCTTGGGTTACAGATGCTTCAGGTTACAGATGCTTCAGGTTACAGACTCCGCTAACCCAGAAATAGTACCTCGGATTAAGAACTTTGCTTCAGCTTGAGAACAGAAATCATGCGGCCACACGGCGGCAGCAGGAAGCCCCATTAGCTAAAGTGGTACCTCAGGTTAAGAACAGTTTCAGGTTAAGAACAGGCCTCCGGAACGAATTAAGTTCTTAACCCAAGGTACCACTGTAATTGCTAACATTTAGCATAACATTTAGCATGACTGCACTTTGATATATCTAACTCCCAGGTACTGAAGCAAGTGTCCCTATCCAGCTGCTTAAAGTAACACATATCCAACTACCGGTAAACTATCCCTGATACAGAAATCCAGGGCCTAATTTGGAACATAAAGTTATTTGCCTTCATTACATGCACTGCAAGCCACCACAGCACACCATAAAGGACGCAGCATGCTACTCACCCTTTCCTGAAGCAGGTTAGGAGGGAATAAAAGAAGAAATATGGTGTGAGAAGCAGGTAACATTCTTGACTAACCAGTTTGGTGCACCTAAAAGGTTGCTAGAGAAGGAGGCATTCCTAATGCAGGCTGCCATTTGTTTCTGGACAAGTGGATTAGAAAGATGAATCTTCTGACAATTTTGCCTGCACAGCCACTCTGAAAGATGGCTACGTTCATGTAAAGTGGAAGAAGACTGCTCCATGTTGATCAGCATTGCTGTCAAGACTGCAGGTGATGATTCATTTCCTACTCTGCCATCAGCTATGCACAGGACACCAAGCCTCTCCTGGCCTCTGCTCTCCATCTGTGAACCATGGAGTCATGGAGACATGAAGCATGGAGGGAAATGGGTGACTGCACCGAACAATCCAACAGAGGTCCCCAATAATTTCTACAGACAGAGAAGTCAGATTCATATATGCTGAAAGGAGATGAGCTGATGTAAGGAAAGAGGATGAATGCCCCAGCTCTCAATAAGCGGATGATGGTAAATGGACAGCTCAGCTACTGCACTATGACAAACTATTTCCTAAACGGTGTTCATGGACATATCCTTAGAAGGGGAAATGCTGTGAAGGAGTGAATAAAATGATGACCCAAAGTGGTGAGGAAGTGATGGAGTTCAGAGATCAGAACAAAATAACGAAGCAGGTGTGCAAAAGGCATGCAAGGGAATAAATAAACTGGAGGTGCCTGGTGAGAAATGTGGCTGAAACAGAAAACCAGGAAAGAACTTTAGGTGAAAGAAGCAAATGGAGAAAAGCACATCTGCAACACACCGTACATCTAAGGCACAGCTACAATTCCCAGCACCCTTAAGCAACTACAGGTCCCAGGATCCTTTGGGGGAAGTCATGTACTTTGAATATGTGCTGGATGTAATTTAAATGTATGGTATGAATCTGCCCTGATAAAGTATGGCACAGTTAGCAAAGCGTGCTAAGCTCCCTGAACACCAATGAGGGTCTCTTTCTATAGACATCCAAGTGCCTGGTGGCCAATGAAGACCTTGTGCATGTTGGTTCCAAGCCTGAAGTGAGCCTGACATAGTCTAGATCAGCCTCACCCAACCTGGTGCCCTCTTGATATTTTGGTCTTTTGTTTTAAATGTATGATGTGGATGTGACTCTGGTCTGAAAGGTGGATTGGAAGGGAAAGGGGTAAAAAGTGGTGAGAATGAAATGACAGAATCAAGCAACAAGGAGGGTGTTGGGTGTAGTGAAGGGTTAACCTTCTATGCCTCGAGCCTGAGAGGTGGGGCTTACAAGGGAAGTAAGCCAGGATGTGACGAAAGCAGCTTGGAATGCTGTGTGCTGAGTGGAAATCGAAAGCATTCTGTTAAGATGCTGCAAGCAGAGAGAGAAGATGCAGCTTAACACGGATGGCTGTTGGAGATTGTAAATACGCTATTTTGTTCCAGTAAAGAGACATTAGGACTGAAGAGCCGTCTGGGACTGATTTACTGCTCTTTCGACACACGATCGCTGTGTAACTTTGCTAATTTGCTAATTGCTTTACGGCCGCTCTAAAGCCACACTGCGTAAACAGAAGTTGCAGAGACGCCCAGAGGAAGCGTGGCAGGACACCAACAATAAAGCAATAAAACTATCCAAGAGGTTATGGCTGGTCAACGCGAAGCGTGTGAGAAAGGGCTTTGAAGCTTTAGTTACTGGACGTCAGTTTGATCGACTGCCAAGACTTCAAAGGGCAGATCAGAGTAGGCTGACGGAGCAAGGAAGCTGCGATGCCAGGTCTTTCCGGAAAACCCAGTTGGCAGAAATGAGTGAGTACTGCGAACACCACAGAAGGGAGGGGGAAAGAATTGCTCAGCCCCAAGGACATGGCTTTGAGTTTAAACTGCCATGTCAGAAACTGAATAACCAAAATTGGCTACAGTGGAGCTTTGAAGTGGAACTCTTGCTGGTGGGGGAGCAGCTCTGGGACGTAGTCCAGCCCCCACAGCATGCAGCTGGGAAAGCAGAGGCTGAAAAGGCTGCAGAGCAAAGTGAAGTGGAAAAGCGTGTGCTTGCTTTTTTGGCAGAAAATGTGGATGCTCATCTAGTGCCAGTTGTCCTGGGTGCAAGAAGGCCAGAGGCCGCTTGGCAATCACTCCGAAAGGCTTGTGAAGCTGGGGTGGGAAGCAAGGGCCGAGACGTGGCTGCATCCGAAATGGAGAGGCAAGATGGCGCCGGCCACATTCTTGAGAGCCAATACACAGCTGGGAGGAGCTGGGAGCCCCCATGGGGGGGCGAAGGGACTGTTGCTGTTGCAGTTGCTGGCAATGCTGCTGGTGCTTTTGCTGAGCCTGGGAGCTGTATGGATGCTGCAACGTTTCTGTGTGAGGAGCCTGGAGAGAGGCCAAGAGTTGGGAGCCCCTTACCCATCAGAGGGGGTGCAGGGAAACGTCCTGGAGGCCCCGTGAGTAGTGGGGGGGCAGTGAGCAGTGAAAGCTCAGAGACGCCTCTTTCTCCAAAAGCTGCCAAGAGTTGTTTACGTCGTGAGCTGGAGCCTAGCCGTGCGAAGCTGAATTCAGCTGGAGGCTTCAAGGTCACGCAGCTGGGAACTTTGCTGATAGCAGGCGGTTATCAGGAGGAGCTGCGTGAGAACGCCGGGAGAAGTCCGGTTTCCAAGGCAACTGAGAGAGTTGCATCTACGGAAGCTGTGAAGGTCATGGGCAAGTCTCCCTGCCGGGGGGAGTCTGTTGCCGTGACAACCAGAGAGGACATCTGCAGAGGCCCCAAGGAGGGGGTAGCGAGGAGATTGTTGCCTTGGCGACCCAGGAATGTCAACAACAAGACTTTCTTACTGTCGTCATCGACTCTGGAGCGACAAACACGCTAGTGCCATCTAGTGGTCTTTTAAGAAATTGCAGGACAGTAAAAACTGATAGGTTTGTGACGATCGCGGATGGAAGTAGAAGAAGACTAACAGAGACAGGCTTTTTCTTCTGTCCTTTTCTTAAGCATGAAGTCAAAGCTTATGCAGTGCCCGGTTTAACTAACTGTTTGTTAAGTGTGCATGATTTACTTGCTGATGGTTTTCATGTGTCTTTTGCAGGTACCAAATGTGAATTTTCCAAGGATGGGAAACACGTGTACACAGTGCAGTCTAAAGGCAATTTGTTTGTTGTAAATGTGCCTTTTTCTACAGAAGAGGATGACACTGAAGATGCGAAGGGGCAATGTGTGAATGTAGCGCCCCACCATGGTTGTTCGCATATTTGGCACAGACGCTTCGCCCATCTGAATTGGGGGTATCTTAAGAAAGCACCAGAACTGACACAAGGGTGCAAATTTAATACTTGTGACAAATTTTTAGATTGCAATGCATGTACACAGGCGAAAATTGTGACATGCTCCTATCCAAAGTCAGAGAGACAGACCACACAACCCTTTGAATTAATTCATGCAGATTTGTGTGGCCCCATGTCAGTTGAGTCACTGGGGGGAATCAGTATTCTCTGCTTCTGGTTGATGATTTTTCGAGGTCTGCTTGGACCTTTTCTCTTAGAAAGAAAGGGGAGGCGGCTAAAATGATCAGGGATTGGATCACCGCAGTTGAGGTAACCTTTTCCACCAAAGTGTGTGGCTTTCAAAGTGACAGAGGTGCTGAGTTCACTGGTTCTGCTTTACAGGATTTCTTCAGGGAGAAGGGGATTAGCCACAGACTGTCCGCTCCTTACTCTCCGCAACAGAATGGGCTGGCAGAGAGAAAGAACAGGACGGTGGAGGAAGCTGTGTCTGCGATCCTGTGGGACGCAGGGCTACCCCAGAAATATTGGTCTGAGGCCTGGAGATTTGTGGTTCATACGCAGAATAGAGTGTACAACTAGTGTAGGAAATACACCTTATTTCTTGCTGCATGGAAAGAAGCCTAAGGTACCATACCTTCGTGTGTTTGGTTGTGAGGCCTGGGTGCTTATTCCAAAGGCTCTACGCAAGAAAGGTGAGCCAAGATCTAAAAGAATGATCTTTGTAGGGTATGAGCCTGGCTCAAAGGCATGGCGGTTTGCGTACCCAAGTGGAAAGCAGTCAAGGTTGGTTATCAGCAATAGTGCTGAGTTCTGTGAGCAAGCCAGGTGGAAACGTCTGCACGCTAATCCAGACGTGATTCCACAGTCGTTCTATGACTCAGACGTTGAGGAGGAAGAGGAACTCGTTGCTGGGGACCATGGTCCAGAGCAACAAGGTCCACCACAGGGACAGAGTCCAAGGCAGGGACAGCTCAGGATCCCTCAGAGGGAGGAACCTAGAACACCTCCTCAGGCAAGTGTCAAGTTTGAGCCAAAGAGTGAGCCTTCCTCACCTGCTGGACCAGCTGTAAGGCCCAAGAGGCGCAGCAGGTCAGAGGGGGAAGACACTGAAGTTGAGGATGATTTAGCTGGACCCAGTGAAGCAGCAGGGTCACCAGGATTCACACTGAGGAGATCAGTGAGGACCTGATCGGTACGACGCTTCAGGCGTCTGGGTAGGGTCTGCCAGATGTGAACCTGAATCCTTTGAGGATATTCAGAGTTTACCTGAGGAAGAAGCAGGTAAGTGGCACAGGGCAATGGACAAAGAGATGAAGTCCATGAAAGATCTAGGTGTGTTCTCACTCACAGAGTTGCCACCGGGAAAGCAGGCAGTAAGTTGCAGGTGGGTTCACCGTTTGAAACCCACTGACACTGGAGAGCCACAGTATAAAGCCAGATTAGTTGCTCGAGGATTCACTCAGAGAAAGGGAATACACTTCACGGAGGTGTATTCACCAATGTCACGAGCGGAGACTCTGAGAACGCTTTTAGCTTGTGCAGCACAGAGAAGCTGGAAGGTAAACCACTTTGATGTGGATGTTGCCTACCTAAACTCAGATCTCCAGGAGGAGCTGTACATGATTCCTCCTCCGGGGTTTGGGAACTTGAGACAGGGTGTTGTGTGGAGATTGCACAAATCCATCTATGGATTACGTCAATCTGCCAGAAACTGGAACATGTGCCTGAATGAAGCCTTAGAAGAGCTAGGTTTCAGAAGTGTTGCTGATAGTTGCCTTTATTTGAGATGATCAGGTGCAAAACAAGAATTCCTTCAACTTTGGGTTGATGATTTGTTATGCTTCTCAGAGACAGGTGAACAGGCAGACAGGTTTGCCAGAGAGCTAGGTAAACGGTTCAAGCTTAAGCAGCTTGGTGCTGTCAAAACTTATCTAGGTGTAAGTGTAGACCGAGCACAGGATGGAAGCTTCTTGCTCAGCCAGAGAAGCAAAATTGAGCAACTGCTACAAAAGTTCAGGATGAGTGATTGTGCAGGAGTGAGAAGTCCTATGGAGACTAGTTTTGTGAAGGACAGTTAGCAAGCAGAACGCGCTGCGTTCAAAAATGCTGAAGTGTTTCAGTCAGCCCTAGGGAGTTTGTTGTACTTGTCCCGGTGGAGCAGACCTGATATAGCGTTTGCTGTCAATCTGCTCAGCAGGGAAGCTTCAAACCCTAGTGTGCAAGCCTGGAATGGCATCAAGAGAGTTCTGAGGTATTTGCAGGAAACCAAAGACTTTTGTCTTAGGTTACCAGCACAAGGAGAAGTCAAACTGACTTGTTATGTGGACTCAGATTGGGCTAATCTTGAAGATCGCAAGTCTGTGTCTGGCCTAGTGGTGAAGTTTGGAAACTCAGTAGTTGGATGGAGGTCCAAGAAGCAAAGTCTTATAGCACTCTCATCCACTGAGGCTGAATTCAGTGCTCTTTCAGAGGTATGCAGAGAAGTAGAGTTCTATGCTTGCTTAGTGCAGGAACTCTGCAAAGTGGATTGTCTGCTGATACGTGTTTTCGAGGACAATCAACCATGCCTTCATTTGGCCAAATCGGGTCAGTTCAAGGCCAGAACTAAACACCTAGACATTCACTTCCAGAATGTGTGCCAGAGTGTTCAGGAGGGATTAGTTGCGCTGAAGTACTGTCCCTCTGCCAAGAACCTAGCTGATGGGTTCACAAAGCCACTCTCCTTCCAAAGACATGGAGAGTTTTGCGAAGGTCTGGGTTTGGGACGACCAAGGGTCGATTCTCCCCTCAGGCGCGAGACAAGAGGGGGTGTTGGGTGTAGTGAAGGGTTAACCTTCTATGCCTCGAGCCTGAGAGGTGGGGTTACAAGAGAAGTAAGCCAGGATGTGACGAAAGCAGCTTGGAATGCTGTGTGCTGAGTGGAAATCGAAAGCATTCTGTTAAGACGCTGCAAGCAGAGAGAGAAGATGCAGCTTAACACGGATGGCTGTTGGAGATTGTAAATATGCCATTTTGTTCCAATAAAGAGACATTAGGACTGAAGAGCCGTCTGGGACTGATTTACTGCTCTTTCGACACACGACCGCTGTGTAACTTTGCTAATTTGCTAATTGCTTTACGGCCACTCTAAAGCCACACTGCGTAAACAGAAGTTGCAGAGACGCCCAGAGGAAGTGTGGCAGGACGCCAACAATAAAGCAATAAAACTATCCAAGAGAGGGGTGAAATAAAGGGTGTGAAATGGGAGGCGGGAGGCAGAAAAAGCAGCGACTAGCTGAAATGAGGACTATAAGAAAAGGTGGTGATAAAGCAAGGTTGTTGTTGTTTCTTAAATGGAATCTAACAGTATCAATCCTGTGAATAGCCTGAAGTGCTCAATCCTAGATTCTTGAACACAAAGGCATAGCCTATTATTACAGCAGCAGGCTTTCTAGAGCAAAAAGAAGCCAAGAACTGAAATAAGAAGGGCTGACAAATACTAATGACAATGAAAGTGAAATGAGAAACAGCAGGAAGTTAAGAACGGAAGCAAAACACAAACAAAATCCTGAAAGCTCCAAACAAGTATTTTACAGAAGGGAAGGGTGAAAGTGGTGCACCTGTAAAAGAAAAAATAAAAGTGGGGGGTTGTGAAAGATCTAGTGGGAATGCTGGATACTATGAAACTAGATGGCCTGAGTACTTACACCTTTTGATGATCACTAATGCGATTCCGTAGAACATTAATCTGCAAGAGAAATAGACAGGAGGTGAAGCTACATGGCAATACTTCACCATGCGGGGATCGGGAGGGCCACTGTGTGAAGACAGCAAGAAAAGAAGTCTAGGAATGGGCTGGTTTTATCACACACGGTAGTCATCAGGGCTGTGTGGTGGGTAAAGAATCCCTCTAATTGTTGGAATTTCCATAGGTAAAGACGAGTCAGAAAGGACAGTGGATCTGTTTGCCGTGAAATATTATTTCCACACTAAATGGAAGTGTTACAAATCCAGGCAGCTGAGATAAAATTTGGCATGGTTGGTGGAAGGAACAGGGCCTTTTCAGTTGAAACTCACTGGAACCCAGTTCCAGCACCTCTCAGATGGGTGCAATTGCCATTACAAGAGAATGGAGGCATTCGTGGTGAGTTCTGGCACCTCTTTTTCTAGAACAATAGCCTTGGGAGAGACTAAGAACAAAGGCTGCTCTCCAGCATCCTTGAAGGCTTCAGGTGAGTTTTTCAGGATGCTTCTTCAAAGTTTTCCCATCATGATCTTGACCAGTTACAGAATCTTCTAGAAATATCCACTTTTCTACAGTTAGTAGGTGCTTCGGAGCAACGCTGTGCCATTTGTAGCGATTCCTGGACTCGGTGCTTCTTTCAAAGCATCTCTAAAGTTTGCTATACGTTGAGCAATACGTGTTGTTCTCTGCACAAATGTACTCTGCTCATGAAGTTCACAAAGCAGGATAAATGCAATAAAAATAATGCCAGAGGGATACCATGTCAAAGAGCAAATCCATGTGGATAACTAGTAATGGAGTTTTTGTTCAGTTAAGGTGCCAAGAAGCTCCAGCTTCTGGTGTAAGGATCCAAAGCAGAGGAGAAAGGTTCCTAAGGTGCCTTCAAGTACTTACCCCTTTCAGAGGATCTGACTGAAAAGACAAATGGCTGATCCCAGAAATCTTTGCAAGCTAAGCAAACATGCAAGACAATGAAATATGATCTTGAGAAGATGCTGACATGGACCGAACTTCACTGGGCCACACTTAGCTCCACACGTTTTATCATTCATCACAGCACTGCCATTAGCAAAGTGGGGTGGGGACAGGCCATACTTACTACTTGCTTAACTCATCGCAGCGTGCAGTGAGTATGGAAATCTAGTTAGGGTTAGAGAAAGAAGATTATTATAGATGTAAAAGCCCCTGCAAAGGGAAAATTAACAAAAAGAAGGCAATGATCCTAAGAAAGCAGTGCTCAGTACGATAAGCCAAACTATAGGTGAGGTCGAGTGCATCCTATATACTAATAGCAAACTTGTCCTTTGGTTGCTGATCGTCTGTTGCCAAAACGACACCATCCATGCGCAAAATGGAGATATCAGCAGGCCTGGGGGATGCCAAGGCTTGCAGAAATCCACACAACCCCATCACTGAAACTCTGAAAGGAGAATGCCCTAGATGAAGCATTCTTCTGGCCCCCCACAAAGAAATGACAGCTGTTGGAGGGGAAGTAGTAAAAAGAGGGGATATTCAGAAATACTCCAGAACTAAGTCTGAGGCATTTTGGTAAAAGAAAGCAGCCAAATGGCAACTACCAGGAAAAAGCATCACTAATGAGACACCCACTCCCCAAGAGAAAAATGTCACTGCTGCCACCTCCCCCTGCCATTCAGGAAGCCCCCACCACTGGTGAATGTTTCAGACAATTTCCCTTTCCAGTATGTTGCCCGATTTCATTCCCCTATCTTACCCTCAGAATTTCAAGTCAAAAGTTTGAAAATTTGCATTTTAGGCTTGACCCTAGCTTAAATGTGATGTTAGTGAAAGAGACAGGTAGTATGAGCTGTGGTGTATTTAAGCCAGTTCTAGTGCAGATTAATTAAGCGGCTGCAACACTATTTATCTAGACTCAATAAGCTACTAGGCAGGTGAGTGATCACAAGGCACTTACAAATGTGGTCTTCAGGGTAGAAATATTTGTTGGTCAAATTGAAATGGGCCAGGTTGGCTCTGACACAGTCTATTGCAGCTTATGGTGTGGTTTGGGGTGTCCTTCAATGTCTGGTGAGACTAGGCAGGACCTTCACAGACCTAGACTGATGCTACTTCATCCATAAAGCTACATCCATTTGAAGCAGAAAAGTGCCAGACTCCACTCATTTAATGAGCCACTTGGCTCTGATTTCTGAAGTAGGTTTCAAAGGGAGATGAAGTTCAGTGAGACAAGTATGATCAAATGACATACCTGTGGTTTTTCTAAGCAAGAAGGAAAAGAGGAGGCAAAGCATGACAAGTATCAACTAAAACTGCGTTGAATGTTTGCCCATTTCAATTTTCAAGGTGAAAGTAACACTTTCAAAGAAGGGGAAACATTTCCTGAAAAGCTCCCATGATGAAAATGTTCATATTCCCCTTCCCCTTCAATCTGCTGCTGCTTCAGAGCCATTTTCTCCTTATAATCACTGAGTCATCTTACTGATAACAGAAATGTGGGAAATCCCAGCCAATCAGGAATTGTGTACTGAATGGGATGGTATCATGATGGAATGTCAACATGACGTCCCACAGAGCAAATGAAGATAATTGACCATGAGGACAATACTTGTTGCATCAGTGGCAGGAGTGATGCTAGCTAATTGGGATTGAATAGTCAAAAGGATGATGATGTGACAATATGTAGCCAATCAAATTTAGCCACAAAATGAGGGCAAATGAAGCAGCTGTCAGAAAGCATTGCTCTCCCTCTCAATGAATGGGTATTTTTTGTCCTCTTTTGATACAATGTCTCATAAATTACTCAGAGAGCAATCTTTGAATGCTGCAAAAAGCGCCCTTCCTTTCAGAAAGCAGGGCTGTAAAAGGTGAGATATTTCAAGAGATGTGCAGACTCACCTCATATTTCTGCCTCTTGAACTTTTCCTGCAAGTCAAATTTCTCAGCTTCCAGGTCATGGATATTCTGCCACAGTTCCTTTGCCTTTTCCCTGTTGTAAGAACATGCAGCATCAATCAATGTGGTAGCCAGTGCTTATATATGCACATAGGAACATGCAATGTGAGCGTGTTCTTCCAGAGTAGGAAAGTGAGCTGAACATAAGAATGAGAATCTTAGGTATGCAACATTGTGCATGTGAACATGCACAGGCATAAAAATTGTGTGCATATTCTTTATTATGTGCTCCATGAGTGTGAACATATGGTATATGTATGATATATGTGTGTGTGTGAGAGAGAGAGAGAGAGACATAATATGAATATAAATGTCTGTGTGTTTTAGCCTGTAAATATGAGTATACATAACATTTATAGCTTCAGCCAGAATGTTTCCTCAATTATTGAAAGTCCCAGTTGTCAACCTTTCAACCCATTTATGTCTTTATCTTTAACTTGTGCTTAAATTTAAATCACACAATTTAGTATATTCCTACTTTACAAGTACCTATGCTGATGCTTTTGCCACAACTGGGTCTTCTGCCAAGTGTGAATCAATCTGGGCACAAGTGAAGCAGTGGCCCTTTTCAAACATTACCACATCAAGGAAGCATATGAGCAGAGAGATTGCAGGAATACACCATTAGCCCCACTCCCCACACAACTCCTCTGCCTCTTCATGTGCTTACAATGGACATCTGCTGTGGGTAATCTTATGTACCAGTGAAGGCTCTCTCTGCCTATGTTCCCTCTTTAGGTGGTAATGCCTGAAAAGGACTAACGTGCATCACTGAACCACATAAGCAGATTTTTTTCCCATTGATTATTGCAGCATGAGAATTAGGGCATTTTTGACTGGGGATGCACATACTGTGGTTCTGATTGAAATCATGCTCAACCTGTAGGGTTTTTTTTAATCCCTGGATGTGGCTGCAAGTCACACACCTGATGTAATATGTAGTTAAGCCCTTGATCTACCTGAGGTTTCATACTGCATCACCTCCAATATGCTTCCACGTGCTTATTGCACCCTCTAGTGTTCTGGCTCCCTCCTTTTCATTTGACTCTGTCTGCTTAAACTCAAATGCAGGTAGCATTTGGAAACAGTGCACGATAATTGGATGAGCAAGCATTAGTACGATTTAACAGCCCCTTATGGCTTCCTGACTTGTAACCATGTGGGATATAATACCTTCTGCTACCATTTAATGCATGTTGTGGGCAGTTAACATTTCCAAGGAGTGATGGACTAAGAAGCAAGAGGAACATTGCCACATGCACCCTAACTGTACCCTATAGTACCATAGTAATAGCCAAGCCAGCATTGCATTGTGTTCACATAACCCCAAATATGGATAACAGCATAGCACACAATGCATGCTATAACTGTAGGATTGTGGCAATCTTACAACGCTTTAGGAGCTGTCTTATGTTACGGTCACTGTGCCTCCAGTGTACTTTAGCCTAGAAAAGCTTGTTCTGATCCCAATAATTATCAGTCCCCTCAGTAGATGTTATTTTTATTTAAAAACAAAAAGTCTGTATGTTAAAGGCAAAGAACGCATTTAAAGTCATGTCTAGTTTGGCCCTGAGAGACCACAAACCACAACTATGGGGAAAGTGGCAGGTAGAAGACTGTTTTCATTTCTTCATCATGAAGGAAATAGGTCCCTACTGGTCCCTGAGCCTCTGGCTGCTGCCCCAGAACCAGCTTCCCTTCTTACTTCAATTTGTCTTCATTCAGGTGATCAATGGTCAAAGGTTTTCGACGCTCGCTGAGGATCTTTTTCTTCTTCTCCCGCTCTGTCTGTTTTTTCCCACTTTTCTTCTCTGTCTAAAAAAAAAACAGTTCTTGAGTGGCATCAGAGTTCATCAGCCCAGTTCATCAGACAGGCACATGGACTATGAATGCGGAGGATATAAGTACACCTAGATTAAAACGAAGACTAAAAAGCTCCTGATACACTCTCATTGAACCTTTACCAGTCTCTATTTGAGCTATTTTGGCATACAACACGTAGGTGAGTAGACACCCAGACAGAAAATTCTGTCCCCAGATGTGGGCTTCAGTTTCTGGAAGAACATTCAGGCTAGATAGGTACCATACCTTCTGTAGATAGCCTCCAAAATGGAGCATATTGGAGAAAGCCTTCTTCTTCCTGGCATCCTCTTCAGCCCTCTTCCTATTTTCTTCTTCCTCTTTCCGGGCTCTCTCTTCCTGCCACAGGCAGAAGGACAGAGAGGTTTCAGAATGGCAGATAGTTAAAGAGAATCTGTCTACAGCAGGAGTGACTAACCAGTGGGCCTCCAAATGCCACCATCATCCCAGCCAGGGATGATGGGAGTTTGAGTCAAACGACAGCATCTGGAGGTCCACAGGCTCCACATCCCTGATCTACAGGGACATCAAATAGAAACTTGTTTAGGAGACTGAATGGACACAAATCAGACAGAACAAGTTCTGTTCCCCAATCCCGGTTAGTAAGCAAGCTCATTAGCCAATTCCAGATCAGTTCCTCCTTGTTTTTCTGCACTTGGGGAAAGGGAACACTTAGGAAAATAAGTAACAGTGGTGCTTTCATTATAAACTGAGCAATTCTAGTCTGGTTTTGGTCTGTTATGCGTAAGGCCTATGTCAGTGATTCCCTGAATTCCAAGGCTTTGGGTCCCCTGGTTGACCAGGGATGATGAGCTCATATTACTGTTTGAGTATAACTCTTATATGAGCAGCTAAGTGGAAAATTTGCCGCATGCATAAATGAGGGCTTGTCAGAACAACAAAAACAAAAAAACTCATAAAGGCATTGAAGTGACTTTTTGCTGTGGACTTCATGTCTTGGGTATACTCACAGCGAAGCGGGCCTGACGTTCCTTCTCTCTCTCACTGCGGATCCGTTGCTGTTCAGCTCGTTCTGCTCGCCGCTGCTCCTATAGGAGGAAATCAGCCCAGCACCTGTTCAGGGAGGGGGCCTGGTATACTCTCCTGAATGCCCCCCTCCTTAACTCAGCATGGCCTGAGGCAGTCACAGTTGAGGCTGAAACTACAACACTATTGAAAATGCTGGACACCTGACATTTTGCCACCTGAGCATCTAAATGATACCTCCCATGGTAAAAAATATAATATTATAGCTACCTATTGCACCCATGTTAGCTCATACTTCCAGATCAGCCTCTAAAACTGGGGCTTTAAAATAGTCCAGAATATAGTTTTGGGGTCTAGACAATAAATATCCTGCCATTTCATTAATTATATTGTGAATGTGCATTTTTAAGCATTCCCAGAATATGTGTGGGATGTCTATCTTTGGGGCTCTGCATCACTGACAAGTGGCTTTAGGATCTGAATGAAACATTAACACTCTTAAGTCCTGTCTTCTTTTTGGAAGAGACATACTATTCTGTCCTTGAGGAATATCAGCTCTTCCTCCTCTTTCTTCCGGTTCTCAAAGTGGGCCTCAATCAGGGTTTGCAGCTCATTCAGATCCTTCTCCATTCTCTTGCGGTGAATGTCCTGCAAAGCAGAAAAGACAATATGAGGGTTTGGTATGTTTTACACACACACACACAGAGAGAGAGAGAGAGAGAGAGGGAGGGAGGGAGGGAGGGAGGGAGGGAGAGAAACAGCTTTATGAGATGATGATGGCTAATACTCACATCAAAGTCCACTCTCTCCCCATCAGGGATCTTTGGAGGCACCAAATTTGGCATAAAGAGCCTGAAATTGGAGGGGAAATAAAGAGGTAAGCCAGTAGTACAGCAACACCTGACGTTTCATCTCTTTATCAGGGTTGGCTGACATTATTGATCTCCTACATGAATCCATGCTTAATCCCATTGATTTCAAAGAGGTCTGTCTCTGGGTTCCAAGATATTACATATTACATATTACAGGTTTCCCTCCCTTTATAGGGGAAAAGCAGAACTACTATCAGTAAAGAGTGCCAGATGCTTTGTTTCCCTTTCCACAGTGGAAAGATATTGTCTGGCCAAGACAATATAGACAAACACAGAATCATATAATTGTAGCATTGGAAGGGGCTACAGGGATCATCTAGTCCAACCCTCTGCAATGCAGGAATCTTCTGCCCAATATGGGGCTCAAATCATGGCCCTGAGATTAAGAATCTCACGCTCTATCGACTGAACTATCGCCGTATCCTGCTAGCACCCATGCATTACAAATCATAGATATATGCCAAGAAACCAGTGACAAATGGAAGTGGTCCATAGATGGCATAAATGGAAGATATAATCATTTTAAAAACAACAGCAACCTGACACTAAATGCAAGGTAAAGGGGGGGACCCTAAGCATCTTATATCCATATATGTGTCCAGTAGTCTAATAACTACATAGCCCCATCAAATCAGAAAAGACCCTCTACAGAATGATAAATGGTGAAACTTCAATTCCTAACAATGAAAATCTGGGAAGGAGCAGATAACCTTACACTAACCTGTCTTAGAACTCACTCTGCACATTTTATTTAAACTGGATGTCAAACTGAACGTAGTTCCAAGCTGAGGGAACAATTTATAGCTTCTTGGAGGGCGCCGTATGGAATGCCATACTGGTTGCTGAGCTTTTTACAATGGCCGCAGCTGTCACAGTAGTCTTAAGTTTCCTTGACTTGACTTATACGAGCCACTGAACAGCTGTAATAACTTCATCACTGGGCAAGCTGGGGTGGGAATGTTGTTCTTGAGATACTGTCCCATCACTTTGCCTGCTGCATTTAGCAGTGTCTCTGCATTTGTGGGCAACTTTTTTTAAAAAAAAAATCTAGATAATTTTGTACCACCCAAAGAGACCATGCATTTGCTTTTTTGAAATTTCAGTGTTGCTGTTGTTTAAAAAGATTTTGTTAACAGTGCAATCCTTTGCATGTTTATTTGGAAGTACAGTTTACCATGCTCAGCAGGACTCACTTCCAGGTAAATGTGCACCATGTTACAAATCTGCCATCAATTTCATTTTTAGGAAGCCAATAATATATGTCAAACATTGACATCTCTCTATTTTTCTTCAGTTGTGCTTGTACTCACCATCTCCTTTCCTCCTTCCATACAACTGCTCCTGCCTCAATAACTGCCTGCTAACCATAACATCAAAATCCACTTTACTTATACTTACTTGGGCCTAGGCTTTGATTCTCCTGCAAGAAACCAAATGAAGATTTAAAGAGTTGCCAAACAAAAATATTAACCTGCTCCCTTTGTAGATAAATTGAAGAGACAGGCCTACTGACTCCCTTAAGGCTTATATGGGTTGTTTCTGCTCCCCAACCCTCCCACCGCTCATCTCTCATCTCCCCCTGTACTTTTTCATGTGACTAAAGGCTTGGGCAGAATTTTTTTAGTATGTCTGTGTGTGTTTCAGAGTTAAGGGCACATTCTTAACTCTTGAACTGCAGGGGAATGAAGATCTCTCCTTTCTAGTTCCTGCCTCAGTTTCTCAGGCTGATTGATATGGATTTTGTGAACTTGTCCAACAAACCTGCTTCCAAAAAAAAATTAAAAATTGATTTATTTAAGTAAAGAAAATGATGGGGAAATGCTCTCAAAATTCTAACGGTTGCTTGATGGGACATTGTATGACTTCTGTCCCATTTTAACATACACTTGTGAATTGGTTTATATATATATCAGCATTAAGATCTGTATATTTATATTTTATCACAATATATGCATTTCCTTCTGGTAATTTCTTTGAGCTGAGAGCACTACTGCAAATTTGGTAGAGATGCAAAATCCAAAGGATAACTGCTTCCCCATCTGCACGTTCATCCAGGAAGTGCAGATCAGATCAGTTTACGTTGATTTTTTGGACTTCCGGGGTGGCGCCATCGGCAATGGCGGACTCCCTCTGATCTGGAGGGACTAGCTCCACGCGAAACGGGTCTTTTCCGCTACGGCGAAGCGGGGACCCATTCAAAAATCACAGGCGGATGAAGCCTGTGACCATGGGACTCGGCGGGCACCTTTAGCGCCCCCAACCCGCAAAGGAACCCACTAACGGGCTCCGGAGCGAAGAGGGAAGTGGCGCGGTGCTGAGAGTCAACTGCTTCTTCCGTGGAGCGAAGCCGCACAGCCGTTGCCGGAGAGCGCTGCCTTTTCCTGGGACAATTTGGCTTCTAAAATAATCACCCGTGAGTACTTAAATTTCGGACAATTGGACTTTAAATAAGGACTTGCGAGCAGAAAGGAAAATTGGACTTAAAAGTTTACCTTAATTTGGCACTGAAACGGGAAGGTCTAAACAGGAAGTCAGCCTTCCGTTTCTTTGTAGATAGATTAAAGCAAAGACATGGCAAACTAGAGCTCAGAAAATCGCTTGTAAAAGATTAACTTTCATCATTTAAAATTGTTGAACCCCCCTTCGGAAGCAGGAGAAGAGGGGGGATTTTTTCGGACTGTTTAAACCTGCAGAAGTGAGTGTAAAGTAAAGTAACTTTCCACCGTCCTGATCCTGGAGCGGGATGTCAGGACTGACGTTTTTTGAAGCTCATTGACCAGAGACAAACGTTTTTGACAGATAGCTATAAGAAGAGAAACATTGATTCCATTGTTCCCCTTCGCATTTTAAAGGAACAAATATTGACAAAATATCTGAAAAAGGAAACTTTGTTGTTAGACTTGTCTTTAAAAGAAAGAACAAATAGAAGTTTTCACCCTAGAGGGAGACTGTGAAACTGTAACCAACTCCGGGAGCTTGCAGCTGTTACAGATTACAATCGTGGGAATAGACTTCTGACCTTGCAGGACAATGTATTCAGAAGCTCTGTTGTGTGCTTTCTGTAAAACAAATGCCCTACTGGAACAGCTACATGAGAAGACGGACTTGATGACTGATGCGATCAGAAATTTTGAACAGGCAGTGGGAAATTATATGGAGCCCACCCAGGAATTAAATCAGGAGTGTGCCCTGACAGAACAGATGAGAGAAGAGGATGTTGCTGAATCTTGGGCGCCAGAGATGGAGGGAGCTGTGGCCCAGCAGGAACATGAGCTTTTGGATTTGACAAATGAACTTGGAAAAAGCCAGATTTGGAAAGATAAAGTTTGGTTTGGTTTGGAAATGGGGGGGTTGGATAGACCCCCCTATGCAGGGATGTTTGGACTTTTCAAGTCTGGCAATGGGCCGTGAGATGTTTGGGGTTGTGGGGGCTCTTAATTTTGGAGGGATTTTGAAACATGTTCTTAAATACCACATGGAGTTTAGTGTGGACTATGGAAAAGGGGCTGATTTGTCGAGAAGGGTCAAAAACATTGTTAAGCTGGAGTTCCCACGAGTGAAAGGAGCAGGAGACAAAGGAAAATACAGCTATAAATATGAAGAAGAGCCGCGGAAGGGACATGGAAGGGACTTAAGGGCCTCGGATACAAGGTTACCAGGTTAATGCGCTAGATCGATGGGATAATAAGGACTGACAAAACCCGGGACCAGGAGGAAGGGACGCTGGATGAAGATTGGATTGTTTTTATTTCTTTTTTACTACTAGGATTGTTTTATAAAATTGATGAATGTTAGAAAAATGTTGGAACGAAATTACTTGGCTTTAGCAAAAATGTTTAAAGAATTATGTAAGAATATTATGGTTATGAGAAGTTGGTAAAAATAAGATTTAAGTTTTAAGCTTTAAGGTTAAGATAAGATTAAAATAGATTAAGGTAATGTAATGACAGAATATTATGAAATATGGAAAGGATTTGCTGCGACAATTAACAACTAGGATACAAAAAAAGGGAGGAGGAGGAGGTCAAAGAAAGAAGGTAATGACAGTTGAGGATTTGAGAATGATGGATTTGTTTTTGAGTGTTTGTGGTGTATTTTTGTTTTTTGAATTTGTATTGTTTGATGTGGTTTGTTTTTTCTTTGTTTTTTCTTTCTCTTTTTCTGCTTTGTTCTCTTTTGTAATTCTAAAAAAATTTCAATAAATATCATTTTTTAAAAAAAAGTTTACGTTGAATTTTATAGAAACTGAACTCAAGCATCCCAGCACATATACTGGACCACGGTGCACACTTTTCATTTACCTTCTGGTTCTTTAGCTTGCTCTTCTTGTTCTATTTTAAAAGGAGAGCAAAGAATTTTGATTAGAGATGTACCACGCCAGCACAGTTGTGTCTAGAATCCCCACACTCCCTGATACATTTATTTCCTCTAAGCTGTGATTACGGCATTCCCAGCATGCTTCATAGTTCATTCACCCATTGCTGGGAGCGTTTACATTGCTGGCATTCTGGTATTTGGTGATCAGAGACAGAGGCGTCCCCTCTTTTGCATTTTTCACAACACCAGAAGCTACAGGACAGATGGTGATGTGATGTCAGTGTTATGAACACCAGAGCAGTTGGACTCACCAAAGAAGGTGGCTTTAATCAGTAAAATTCTGGGAATAGGTTGGGGGGGGTACCAATTTTGGAAAACTTTTCCCAATACATTATTTCCCCTGAAAATGTTACAGGTTTCCCTCTCTTTATAGTCAGAGGGGGAAAGCAGAACTACTATCGGTAAAGAGTGTCAGATGCTTTGTTTCCCTTTCCACAGTGGAAAAAAAATAATATTTGTTTATAGGATGTAATGATTGCTGATGTCACCAAAGCATGGGGGGGCATTCCCTAAAGCTGTGATATTCCTCCACACAGTTTTTGTTTTTTTAAGGGGAGCGTATCTGGGGGTGGGGGCGTCTCTGCAAGTGCAAGGCTGCCCATTTGCCAAACACAGATGATCTTCCTGTGCCATCAACTTTCCTTTACTGCCCATGCTGGTAAAGCATTAAGGAGAATGCAGAGAAACAGGCAGACTCATAGAGGGATGGAACATTGTTATAGAAGATTTATTACTCAAGAAACATACACCACGTACAAGGGGCCAACCACTAGGCATGCAGCGGATTTGTCAATTTGCATTCTCTCAATTTTTCATTTTCCCATCCACATTTCTCCACATTTCTGCAGCAATTTGCAGATTTATTTAAAAACTGCCAGCACCTTTTTCCTAATAAGCACATGCTTGTACATTTTTGCATGCAATTTCCCCCAAGGTAATGAACCAAATTCAATGAGTGCCAAGAGGCTTTCACCCCACTCTTCCACAACTGCTCTGGGGAGTCAGAACTCCCCAAATAGTGTACAGCTTGTGCTGACAGAAAGATCTCCTTAGTGCTATGTTGAGTACATTTTTTTGTATGTTAATTTCATGAATATATTCATTTTTATGCACACTTTCTTCTAATATATGGATTTCTGTAAGCACTGTTTGGTTGGAGAAACACAGTGAAAAATTTGGTTAAGTGTGAATTTTGAAGGCCTGTGTTGTTTTGCTTCTCATAGCATTTCAAACAGTGGGGATTGTGTAAATTCACCTTTGCTTGCAAACTGAATTAATTTTATCCCCCATTCTTACTATAATTTTTCTACTTTTATTTTTTTACACTCCCCCCCCCCCATGACAAGTGTGCTCTGAGATCACAGCTTAACCAAAACAATGCTGTTGAATTTTTATTCATTGAAGGGTTCTACCTGAAAAGGACCCTCCATCACAATGCTTGTATTGGCCAGAGATGTTTCACCAGAACATCATACCTTCTGCCCTAGGTTCATCTTCATCTTCCTTCACTTCTTCAGCTTGTTCTTGTTCTTGTTCTTCTTGTTCTTGTTCTAAGGAAGAAAACAGCAGGATGACATCAACAGATCTCAGAATTTTCATTGTTGGCCTACACAACATTCTGCTTGAGGTAATGAATTCCAGCCATTGGGACGTTGGTCAGAGAAGAGGGGTTGGGAAAGAAAGATAGCATATTTCTAGAACATGGCTAAATGACAAGTGATAACTTGGGACTGCCATCTTAAACTGAACACATTGTGGTTTAATTTAATGATGTTCAATGATGTTTCTGGTGTGGGAGGTAGGGTTTGAGATGAGTGTCATCGGTCCTCAACATGATACACACCTCAAATGTAGAGGCAGGTTATTAGTCAAGGTCCACATTCCTGGTCCATCGCAATATTATTAAATGCAGAGCAACAAAGAAGAAAGGGCAACCAAAATGGTCAGAGGTTTACAGCACATTACCCTGCAGAGAAAAGCTGAGCATCTGGGGATTTTTAGTTTATAAAACAGATAACTAAAGAAGTGAGATGTGATAGAAGCTTATGAGGTGATGTCTGGTGTGAAGAAAGTGGATTGATGGAAGGGTTCTTCCATCATACCACAACTCAGGGTCACCTTGTAAAATTGGAGAAATGAAACATGTCTTCACACACCCCACACAATTTACTTATGGATTTTGATGCCACAGGATATGATGGAATCTCATTTAGATTTTTTGTGACCAGGGTTAAAAGACAGTGGCTCTCAGAAACGTCTCACTTTAAATATCAGATATGGAAATAAATGGTGCAAAAGGAGTCAATCAGAAATTGTACTGCCACCCACAGAGGCTTCCTTCTGGTACCCAAATCTGAATGATGCTATTATATAAGCACTAGGCATTTGTTTTTTGTATTAAACCAACACATTGAGGAGGGGAGTAGGAATGAGCCCACTTGCCACATGTGATTTTAAACATAAGCCATAAACCTGCATAGGCTACATAATATCAATACTACAAACATATATAGATTTTAGACTGCTTTATAATCCTGGTTTCCCCCAAAGAATCCTGGAAACTGTATTTTGGGGAGATGCTGATAATTCTCTGGGAGAGATCTCTAGCCCCGCCTTCCAAAACTACAATTTCCAGGGCTCTTTTGTAGCTCTCCAGACAGGTATGGCCTTTGACTGATGCACACAGTACATAAATGCTTATGATTTCCATGCACGATAGGTCAGTAAGTATTCCGCCTGCGTGTCACTGGCAAGCAGCAGCAAAGTGAAATGTAAAGAAATGTTCTACTACCGTCTTCCACCTCTATCCATTCTTCCTCTTCTTAACCAGGGCAAGCAGGGATGGTGAAAGGGAATAAGTAGAAAAGGTTAGCGAGGGATCACAGAAAGCTGTGGCTTCAAGCTGGAGCATCTATAGACAAAACGGCTCTCTCGTGTTCTGATCTTTGCTTTGCATTTGTGTGCACGCCTAGTTTTCAGGTGCCAAGCACTTGTGAAGTCAAGCATTTGCCAAGTTCAATAGGATATTAAGGCCTGGAACATTCAGAACACCCACATATCCATGCACACACAGAGGCAGTAATTATGCCCTCATACAAAAGCATAGAAGAGGAGGTGTGCTTGTAAAAAATAAATGCAAAGACACATTGATCAGCTTCTAGGGATACTATGCAAGCAGCAGAAAGCTCATTCCAGACTGAGTTTATCAGTGTCAGTCCCGTTGGCAATGAAATACTCTACCCAGGTTCCTAAAATAGTAGATTAAGTTAGCCTGCACCAAATGGGTGCCCTCCAGATCTGTTGGACTAAAATTCCCATCAGCCACAGCCAATGGGTGAAAGTTGTAGTTCAAAACACCAAGTGGGCACCAAGTTGATGAAGGCTGGACTAAATGTTCATAACACACAATATTAGGCAAATACTCAGCTGTATTCAACCTACAATTTTCTGCGCTTTTTGGTATATCTGAGAAATCCACAAGGCTATTTGGACAAATCTGCACTTTTACTTGTCCACATATTATTTGCTTTTTTAAATTATTAAAAATTTATTATTATTATTATTATAATTGTTTACACAGATTTCAATAGATTTTATTAGTGGTTCAATAGATTTTTTATTAAAGTTTGAAAGAAAATACAAAGATTAGTATCAAATATCAAATATATTTTTTATGAAAGATAAAATTCTAATCTAAATAAAAACAAAAAACAAAAGGAAGGAAGAAAATAAAAGAATATAAAATAAAAGGGATTTTTTGTCTGTCAGCTATAAATAGAAAATTGTTCAAAACATCCTCTCCAAGATAACACCCAACAATTCTGCTTTCTATGCATCAATATGTTCTTCAATCCTCAAACCCAGATATCATACGTTCATTTTCTTCTTCACACAAAAACTCTATAAGGAGCTTCCAGTTGAAACAGAACAGTTTTATGATAGAACACTACCAAAGAAACAGAACCTCGTGTGACCAGGAGGTCCCCATAGTGGGAGCCACTTCTAATCCACTACAGAAAACAAGCTCTCCCCCATATAACCACCAGCCCCATTTTGGATGATGGTGACATGAGCAAAGATGCCTTTTCAGACAATGTAGCTACACATCAGTAGCTACACTCGCTACACTGAGACACCTAATACTTTTTCATATACAGTATATGTAAATAACAAATTTATGATACATATTAAGGTCTCCAATCCCATAATAGTTTTTTTTAATGGCATGGTGTTATGACCCAATAGAACACATCACCTCATCTAACCCTGACTCTTATAGTAACAATGGAAGCCTACCTTCTTCGACGCATTCTTCTGCATCATGTCGGAAGAGAGGAAAAGAGAGAGCGTTATTAGAGCAGCAATAGTGGATTTGGAAAACATGCTTAATCTGACAGTTTTCATTCCCTTACCTTCCTGTTCCCTGTAAAGTAGAAGGGAAAACAGCTAGATTAGAATAATGGCTGGTTTGCAATAATAATAATAATAATAATAATAATAATAATAATAATAATACAGTGGTACCTCGGGTTACATACGCTTCAGGTTACATATGCTTCAGGTTACAGACTCCACTAACCCAGAAATAATACCTCGGGATAAGAACTTTGCTTCAGGATGAGAACAGAAATCGTGCTCCGGCAGCAGCAGGAGGCCCCATTAGCTAAAGTGGTGCTTCAGGTTAAGAACTGTTTCAGGTTATGTACGGACATACGGAATAAATTAATTACTTAACCCGAGTTACCACTGTAAGTGATTTTAGAACAACATGATCCATGTTCTCTGACACATATTCTTCTTGGAAGAATGCAGTACAATTAAGTTACAACTTACAATTTATGCCAACCTGTTACAGCAGAAACAGCGGAGAAGAATCATGTTGCACAAAATTTCATGCTGGAATAAATCTGCTAGCTTTAAGATGCCGCAACAAGACACTTCTGTTTGTTCCACAATCAGGGTTTTTGTTTTTTGTTTGCTGAGTGGATTCTGCCCATATGGTGGCAGGAGTTCACATATATTTCCAACCCCCTGGAATAGATAAGCAGATACCTGGGGCCATCTCACACCCCACCTCATGCAATTAAAAGCTTGCTGTGTTAAGGGACAGTTGGCTACATTTAAGTGAAGTGACATGCAGATCTAGGGCCAGCTTAGTTTTCGGGGAGAGGACTGGAAGGAGCAGGTTGCCTATACGACATGCTTAGGCATGACTTCATGTTGTGCATCAGCTGGAGATGCAGCTCAAGTAACTGGAACAGGTGTTGATAAAAATGCCAGAGCAGGAATGTGGCAGGCTGTGAAAGAGCATTTTTCAGTGCTCTCTCTTGGGTTAGTCCTTGCAGTTGGAAAACAAGAAGCTGATGAGTGAGCTATGGGAGCGTAGAAAACTGAGAAAGTCTGTGGGAGTGGGAGTAACGGAATTAAAAAACGTAGGAAGAATTTCCAAAATTGCAGACATAACCAAGTCACAAGCCATCTATACCTCCCAGGCATTTATAGCTGTATGGCTCTTACTGGTTCCTAATTAAGTACTGTATCTACATTTCTTCCGGTATCTAAAATCTTTAAATCCCAATAGCCTGTCATTCTATGCTTGGGTCAGGTTTCCTACGTGAAGGTCCCGAGAATCCTCAGAGACTCAGATTCTCTTTTAGATTCAGAAGAAGCCTATTGAGACCCTCACCTCTGGGGTTTGGAACCCCTTCTCAACACTTCATTTTCTGATAAAATTTATATACCACTTGCTTGTAACAAAACCTCTAAGTGCTTTATGAGAAATACTAAAATTATCAAGAGCGCTGGCCCTAGACATTTGTGGTGCCTGAAGTGAATTAGAAATTGGTACTCCCGCAGCTCTACTTTGTTAAGTGTGTGTTATTATATCCAGTATACCTGAAGGAGCATCTCCACCCCCATCGTTCAGCCCGGACATTGAGGTCCAGCTCCGAAGCCTTCTGGCGGTTCCCTCACTGTGACAAATGAGGTTACAGGGAACCAGGCAGAGAGCCTTCTTAGTGGTGGTGCCTGCCCTGTGGAACGCCCTCCCATCAGATATCAAGGAAATAAACAACTATCTGACTTTTAGAAGACTGAAGACAGCCCTGTTTAGGGAAGTTTTTAATGTTTGATGTATTTATCGTGTTTTTAACATTCTATTGGGAGCTGCCCAGAGTGGCTGGGGAAACCCAGCCAGATGGGCAGGATATTATTATTATTATTATTATTATTATTATTATTATTATCCCATGCTGATCTTCACTAACCCCCCAAAAAAATTCTGATGCTGATCTTCACTCCCTCCTTATATTATTATTATTATTATTATTATTATTATTATTATTATTATATCTTTTGAATTTCTATACCACCCTTCATCCAAAGATCATAGACTAAAGGAGTGGGGCCAGTTCACTAGCACTTTAAAAAAAAAAGTGTTACACAAATGCTTAATGTTAGGTTTATCAATTGCTATTCTCTAATGACCTGGAACAAAATATTCCAGTGTGCAGTCCTGGTGTTCAACATTCCAGCCTCTCCATTCCATTCTCCCGCCCCATTTTCCAGTTCTCCTCCCAAGAGTCAGTCAGCATTCCAAAAACACTGAGCATGCTCAGTTCTTATTGGCCTCTTTCCCCTTCAGAGCTTTTTCCTTAGAAATGGTTTCCCCAAGTGCAACCTCCTTCTTGTATGTAGATAGTAGCATTTTAGCTCTTTACATAGCAGCACTCACTACCTAAACATCAGAGGGACAGATAAATAAAATATTTGCTATGGATCAGCACCCTAATCATTCAGAATGATTTCATGTTGTGATTTCTCTCCTCTCTGGACCAGATTGTAGAAATATAGGAATGGCATATCTGAATGACCACACAGCCACAGAAATCAATGTGAGTGACAGAAAAGCAAGACACATTTCTGCATATAGATGGGAAAGGAAAACATTGGAGAACCTAGTACTTACTCTTCATATTCCTCAATGATCTCTTCGGTGTCTGACATTTTCAGTCACCTGTAATTTAATAAAGAAAAAGAAGCAGTGATACTTAAATAGGAATCACAGACAGCTATTTTAAATAGCTATGATGCTCTTGGAGAACTAGCTGAAGGTGTGTCTTTTTACAATACTGATACTATCCAAGTGAGTTCCATTGCAATTTGCACCAGGATTGCTGTCTAGGGTTGCCATATTTTTTTTTTAAAAAAAAAAAACCAACTAGGACGCCCTCAACTTTTTCTTTTTTCTTTTTCTTTTTTTCTTTAGAAAATCCCATAATTGTTAAACTTCCCCCCCATCTTGGAAATTCCCCCCAGATGTCAATTCCGCCTTGGAAATCCCATGGAAAATCCAGACATTACGTATGGTATTTCACCCACATTCCCATGGTGCACACATGCACACACACATATATATATTGCAGTGTTTGCTGAAATTAACAACACAGATTTAGTACAGATCTAGAGGTCTGAGGAACGCAGGGAGCTCTCTTCTGCTGAGCCATAGCATTGGTCCATCTAGCACATCAAATTCAGCATTACCTACACAGACTGGCAGTGGCTCACCAGGGTTTCAGGCAGGACTCTTTCCCAGCCATATCTGGAGATGCCAGGGCTTGAAGCTGGGGCCTTCTGCATGCAAAACATGGCCTTCTGCATGCAAAAACACTGAACTATGGCTCTTCCCTTCACTGCAGTGTGGTAATACATACCCTTCCACATTTGGCAGATAAAAATTGCTGCGCACGAGGCAATACCTTATTGTACCACATTATGCTCCTATGTGGTCTATTTACATCAGGGTTTCCCACAGAAGTCAGTACCGACCCCCTGGGGTTGAGGGGACTGTCCAGGGGGTAAATAAAGATCTAAGGGTTGGAAAGAACCATTGGGTGGGAAAGAAGTTTACAAATTTAATTAGGACTTAGGGATTTCAAAAATCAAGGGGAACGGCATGGAGATGGACAGTGTGCCTCCCTTGTCAATGAAGAGCCTCTGTATTTATTACAATGATTCCATGATGCAACAGTATTCTCAGACCATGTAGTTTTATTGTTTGTCATCATTGTTTTCAGTTGCTTTACCTCCTTATTTTTTACATTTCATTACTCCTTGTAATGGTCATCATTATTTGTATGCCGCCTTTCCACAGTTAAAAACAATGATCAAGGCAGCTTACAACATGACAAGATTTACATAATTACAGAAGTCATAAACAATGAATAAACCCCATAATAAAATACACAAGCAAATGGAAAACAATTTTCACATAAATCTAAAATCTAAAACTAAGAATGCAGTATTAATATCACACTTTAAAATGACATAGGTAAAAAATAACAGCATTTTTTTTAAAAAAACAACAACACACCATCATCATGGTGATGGGTGATTAATCAATGTTTACTATATATTGATATTTCTTTACTTTATTTCATTTAATAAACAGGGTGTTGTCTTGGGGCCTTAGGGGGTTGATGTTGCTGTTGCTGTTGAATTTTTGTATCTTTATTTTAGATCTTGTGATTTATGTGGAAAATGTTCAGTTTTGGTTGTGTATTTTTTATTTTTCCTTTATTGTTTATGATTCCTTTTGATATGCTGTAGTTATGTGTTTTTTTAATGTTGTAAGCCACCTTAAACATTGTTTGGACTTTGGAAAGGCAGCATGCAAATCCAGTTATGTATGTATGTATGTATGTATGTATGTACATTTCTCAGAATTCAGGTTGATTGTGGGTTGATGACAGCTTTATAAGCTCATCAAGGGATCAATGAACTTAGAAGTTTGGGAAACCCTGAATTGCAGACACACCTCTTTAAGAATTTCTAGGAACCACCTTCATTTAAAGAGCAAGAATGAAAAGACTTAAACCTTGCAGGACATTCTTTTATTTTATTTTAGTAGAACCCCAACATCTGCCAGCTGGAGCCTGGTGCAAAAAACATGCACTTCAAATTTAAAAACTCTGAGCCCAGGAATTTGTTTTGAGTATCAGAAATGAATAGAGTACATAGCTTATCTACACAAAATTCTACTCCTGGCTACCCCAAAACTACTGCTAAACAACTGAGAGTCAGAAATCCTTGCAATTCCACTGCAGAACACATAGAGGTCTGGGAGTAGTTGCCAAACTACCCTCTGTCCGCCCTTGTCTTGTGGGACACACTTTAATATCGAGATATCAGAAGTGTGTATATTTTCAGCATGTCCTGGGGCTGCTTCACGTGACAAAAATTAAAATACCTTTATGTCACATGCATAGCTGACATGATGTAATAATGTGTGACCAGCCCATCCATGGATACAGCAACAGTGATTTGACTGTGATTCATGCAGCCTCAGGAACTTGGAAGAGTGCCACCAGGACCACATACATTGCTACCAGAACAAGGCTTCAGACTTCTGCAAAGCATGTCCAAAACGTGTTTCAAGCTGAGCCATCCCAAACTACTGGGCACTTTTTGATTGTAAAATATGCACAGTTTTTAAAAAAAATCAAAATCTAATTACTCCACAAAATAAAGGCAAAAACAAATGACCCAGTCTTAATTATTTCCATTTTGTATGCCTTTCCTCATCATCTATCCCCAGACTCCTTGCACACTATCTTTGTGCAGCAATAAGGACTGGGAGTCTTTCAATTCACTGTTAGTTAGAAAGAGAAAGGCCAGAGATGAGAGAGGAGTGGTGAGTGGTGAGTGACATGAGCTAGAAGAAAGGAAGCAGTCTGAGGGGGAGGGGAGAGAGAGAGATGCCTGATTGATTTTTGGTTGAATCCAAGGCTGTGGCTATAGGGGAAGAAACACTATGGGATGTTAATGCTATGAACCCCTCCGTCGTAGGCTCAGGTTGTATATTTGTGTAAATAAAACATTTGCATGTCAAGACCCTCAAGCCAACCCCCCATTAGAATAAAGAAATTCACACAGACACAGATTTTTTGTTTAAGGTTATTGGGCAAATTTTGGCCACAGCTTTATTGATTTCAGGAAATGTGAGCAGTATTGGCTTAGGCACTGGCAAAAGACTATATCAGACTCCTGCCCCCTTTGCAGGAAGTCTGTAAGGGTAAACCACCCAAAGGGGAGCTGCTTTGGGGGAACCCGCCTGTATCTCCCCCAGTGTTCCCAGAGGCTTGGCATGGCCCTAGCCCCTCAAGCGGACTTCGGACAGGATCCAGGCCCTGGATTCCTTTAACGGAATACCCTTGGACAATGGAGGGGCAGGCGATGGCCAACCTCTCCTCCCCCACTCAACAATAAGCCAATGCCTAACCGCCAAACCTTACAAAGTTGTGACGATTGCTAAGAGGTAGGTGAAAACCAAGTGGCCAGTGCCAATTTGCCAAATGGAAAAATTCCTACCCGGTCCCCATCCCAAGATGGGCGATCAACCAAAGTCCAAAGCAAGGCTAGAGGACACCTAAATTAAAGGGAGGGTGGGCGGGTGCTTGGCAGCGCAAAGCAGGTGCTTGGCACACGTCACACTGCCGCTTTTATACCCCGCCCCCAATCACCCCACTCAAATTGATTGGGCAATAGCCCTGGGTAACCATGATGCCACCCTGGCTTGAGGGTAATGGCTCCACCCACGCCAGGGTGGGGGGACCGGGTTGAGGGCCTGCCAGCAACCAGGACCATCTATTAAGATGATCCCACATATCATAAGGGCACCACACTTTCCACTGTATCTCATTTCAAAGGAAACACAAACTCTGGGTAAGCACCTGGAACCAATGGAATCTTGCATTGCTCAGAGTTTGAGTGGTGTGCAGCAATATTTAACACCTTTCATTGAGTGACTGATGCAATGTCTATATAAGCAATCCAGAAACCAGGAAAAAAGACTTAATTTTGTCTTAGGTGACCATTTATGAAATGCTTCTGTTGACAGGAAGGAAGGAAGGAAGGAAGGAAGGAAGGAAGGAAGGAAGGAAGGAAGGAAGGAAATTTTCAGCATTCTCACATGAGCTTGAAGGCTCTAAAAGCTTCTTGGACCTCAAGTAATATATAGTTGAACTAGAACAGTGGTTGGTTTTTGCTCACTTCTAGTTTACTCTGTACATAGTCATTACATCATGACTTGTCTTTGGAGACGAAAAGTTACTGACAAGAAGTGGAATGATTAAGCTTTCAGGAAAACAGCAGTGCCATCTATGCCTACAAGACACAATTTCTTGCTGGAAGCTGTTCCATCTTGGCTCAGATTTGGAAATGTTAACTTGCTGATATACTACAACAGTGGAGCCTCCATTCTCTTCCATGGCTCTGTTGCTTAGCAACAAACTTCTCCTAAAATAGGTGGCAAGAGATTAGCGACAGCATCACCCAACACTGATAACCAAGAGCAAGCCCAATGTGAGATAGAGCAGGGTACACAGTGTTGAGAATTAGGCCTGTTTCAAAGGAAGTAAGAGATATGTGGAGAGTGTCACAAAGATAAGGAAATAAAAAAAATATCTGGAGTGGAAGGTTCTGAGGTTATCCCCTTTTCTGCTGTTCCCTTTTATGAAGGGCAAATTCATTTGCTCTTTTCTTCCTTAAACATCTTCAAAGGGGAAAGTGATAGGGATAATTTCGTAGCTATATAGCTTAGCAGAATCCATTTATCTGTCTGTTTTTGGTCTTTTGTTTTTCTCCATATCAAGAAACCCAAACGAGTTACAGGTTGGTGTTTGTTTTTTAAAAAACAAGGACCTTAAACTAAAAGTGATAACCTCAGTTCCTGACCTAACAGATATTCTTTAGGCAATCTTCAAGGGTGCTATTAAGGCTTCCAACCACATCTGCTGGACTCCACCTTTAGAAAATGGCAACTACAGAAAGCAGAGGGCGGGGAGAGGGTTTAAATATCTAAAAGCCAAATCACCTAGGTAAGGACATTGGTCACAGTCTAACCCAAGTTAAGCACTTTTTAGCCTCACTGGTTTCAGTGGGAGAGATTTAAGCTTGTACTTAACTGTCAAGCCCAGAGAGCACATATCTTTGACTGGGCCATGTCCTTTGGGTTTACTTTTGATAGATCTGAGAAGCAAGGTCATAACTGGGGTGGGGGACTTGTTCAGCTCTCCATTTAATATCTGTTTTAAAATAATGTTTCTAGTCCTGTTGAATGCAGAGTAAAGGCATTAAACAGTGTAGCCATCCTTAGTATTTTTTTCTCATATGTGTTTCATATTACATTAGCAATCTGGAGAGCAGCAACGGCTGGGAAACAATTATGGACAGGAAGGAACACCACAGACAGAATAATTGTCACACACAGGAGGAATAAGGATATAGTTTGAATGGTTCACCTATACATTTATAAATCATTTAATGTATCAAGACAAATGGATGTTGTTAATATTGCAGTCGTTGTATAAGGGATTGTTATTTTGAATGGAATGCCGTTGAGATGAATAAGATTTTGGAACGCAGAAACAAAGTAAATCATCAAACCATCAATTCTAGCACGCAGGAGGCCACCTAAATTATATAAATTGGCATCTGAATGATTGGGATTAGTAATTGTATTATGATTTGTCATTGTTATAATAAGGCTACCATTGGATTATTGTAATTGAAAACTAATAAAAATTATTGTCAACATATTACCTTAGCAATCATTACAATAACCTTGTAAGATAGACAACTTTACATTGATGCTGAGGGCCAGAGCAGACATTGCTGTTTATATGTAGGGCATGGGTGGAGAGTGGGACCACATCTACCTCTCCAGCCCCCATTGCTGCTGCTGTGCACCCTGCTTCCTGGACATCCACATGTTCAACACAATGTTTACAAAAGAGATGTCTGTGCAAGACTGTCATGTGATCAGGAATCCTCATCACCCAGGGCTATGGAGTGCATGGAAACCTACACTTATTTCAGCCGTCTGTGCATATATAGGTATCCCCTTAGCAGATATCACACCTGCGCAAATGTCGAGGGGGTGGGGGTGTATGATGGGTGGGGTTTGGAAGCACAGACCTGGTCCCCATTTGTGCATTTAGCCCAAGACATGAACAGCAACATCCCCAAAAGTGTGGGGAGAGAATGGCTTGTTTATAAGGGCTGGCTCATACATGCTGAGATACGAATGTGAGGACACTTATCTCTTAGCTAACCACAGACAGTACTAACATGGGGTGAGGGTGGCAAGTATCTGCCTTTGACACCAGCGGTGGAGCAAGGCAATCGGGTGCCTGGGGCGGCGCACATGCCCTGTGCCGCATGCCCTGCGAGTGCCCTGCATGGGGGCGGGGCCAGCCACCTGTGGGGCAGGGCCAGGCAGGGCAGGATGCTCCACAGGGCCTCTGAGGAGTCTGCCTGCCTTCTCCCATTCAGCCACTCTACAGTTGGGGGGAAGCAGTGGGCAGACCTTTGGGCAGCGAGGAGCCTGCGGGTGCCCAAGCCACCACGTCACTCACAGGAGAGACGCGTGGCTCAGGCGTGCTTCAGGACCCGAGGTGAGTGCTGCCCGGCAGTTTGTCACCCCCCTCAGTGGTGACACTCAGGGCGGACCGCCCCCACCGCACCCCCTTCCTCTGCCCCTGCTTGACACACAGCTTGACCCCACCCAACCCCCATTCCTGTACTTCAAGGAAAGGTGTTTTTCAAATCGTCAGAGTGCCTTTCCTTTCTGATCTTCAATCAATTATACTGGAGTAGAAATATATAAAGATAAATGTTTGCACTGTGAACTTTGGCCCGAAGAACACATTTGGAGATTCATGGAATTTGTGGCATAAATGTGGCTTTAAACCTGTCCTGGACACTAAATTCATGCACAATGACAAGAGAGGATGAGGGATGAGTGAATCCTAATTTCATTCTGCAGCTTAGTCTTTGTGGATTTAAGGGTGCCTTTACAGTTTGGCATTCTCATCTATGCATTGTTCCACTTGCAAGACTAAAGATGGCTTGAGGATTGCCTCCTTGTAGCAATCTAATTTCCCCCTTTTGTGCCCACCACAATGTTTTCTGTTCTGGTGCCATCACTGTAACCTTTGCTTGTAACCTCCTCTATAAGTGCTGTTATGTTTACAAAAGACTGAGATATCAAAGGGTGATGGGCATGGAAACTTGCCTTTAAGGAATCTCTTGGTTCCCTTCCCTTCCAAGAACAATTCATTAAGCCTGGATTCCAAGCTTTGTATCCATCACTAAAATAGAGGCCTCCATAATCCTCAGTAGATTCCCAAGCCATTTCCCCCCTGAGTTTCATATTTAAAGCCAGGTTCTTCCTGGGCTGCATGTTTCCACCTGACACTGTACATCAGTGTGAGCCTTGCCCGGACCTTGCCCAGTAGTCTTGGCTGCTCAAAACATTCCTGAGTCTCGGCAAAAGCTCTCAGCAAATCCAGCCTGCCCATTTCAAGTTTGAAGCAAATCCCCAAACTAAGTGAAACTGGAGGGGTTTGGTAGGGAGGTTCTGCACAGTGCTACAAATAACTCCCATGTGTCAGGCCATCTGTTCCCTGCCATACCTCCATGTTTCTCTTTTCTGCCTAGGGACAGAGCATCAAAGCATGTATTATTTGAGCCATGTACAACAGCTGTATGATAGCAGAATCAAGGATCCCACTGCCTCCGTTCACAAAATGATTTTGCGAAAGATAAAGGGAGAAAAGTTGCAATAACATCTAAATCACAGCTTGTCTTGGGAGTCTTGCACATGTTTGAATCTTACATGTATATTCAGATATCCTGTATATTACATGAGAGACTACTGCAAACAAAGATCCTTATTCCTCCATAGAGTGGTGATAACATTGGCTTCACAGCAAATGCTGGCTTGTCTACAACATTATTGAGGAAAGAATACACACACACACACACAGTATTGCAAAATGTAGATTGATCCAGAATGTGCAAATCAGGCTAGTGTGCTTATAAATGCAGACCCAATGAAATTCTCAAACATCCCTATTCCAAAACCGAGCTAACTTTAACAATGATGAACCAGGATCTACAGATAAAAAATTGGACACCTCATTGTCTAGATCAGGGATGGAGAACTAGAAGCACTCCAGATGTTGTTGTTGTTGGACTCCAACTCCCATCAGCCCCAGCCATAATGGCCAATGGTTAGGAATGATGGGAGCTGTAGTCTGGCAACATCTGGAGGATTGCTGGTTCCCCACCCATGCTCTAGATGGAGGGGTGAATTCAAGAGAGTCATGCAGTCAAGATTATAAAAGGAGCCTGTGACACAGGCTATTAACAAAGCTGGCTCATACTGATGAGAATTGGAATCTAATAACATCTGGAGAGAGCCACATCTTCCCCATCCCTGACTTACTAGATGCTAACATGGGTTTTGAAGGTGAGTTATTTGTTGTTAGCTTCTATAGTCTTGGGTGGTTTGACTCTATTCCCTCCCTTTGAGCTGCCACAAGCAGATTCCCCCTCATTATCTTTCTAGGCATTTCAGTCTCTCAGATACCCTATCCTCTCACCAGGTGCTAAGAAATGCATCCAGCATCTATTAAGCAGTGCAATCTTATAAGTGTTTATTCTGCAGTAAGTCCCTCTGTGTTCATTGAGGCTGACTCCCTTGTAAATGTGTGTAGGATTGTAGCCCTAAAGCATGTAGGAATTCTTTCCACAGGTTCAGATTCTAGACAGGAGGACCAGGTGAATCCATATTGTATAATGTTTTGATAAAACTTCAGATCTCACTTTAGACCCAACTATTTTAATAAAGCAAAACTCCTAGAAGCCCACATATGTTTACACTCAGCTGGAAATTTTTACCCACAAAGAATTAAACAGACAAGTTATCAGCTGTGAACCACAATGAACAAAATCTGCATTTGCAAAAAACTGAAACCACAATAAGATTTAATGAAAAGAACAGTAACTTTTCATTTATCTAATGCAGCTCCAATTAAAAATGCCAAGCTGTTTAGTTAAAAATGAAGCCTAATTTAGTGAAGTTACAAACTGCATTCATGACATAGTTTGGTACTATGCAAAGGACTTTAAGGAAACCTGAGGATGATTCAGAATACATATACATTTCTGCTACAACTATGAGCTCCCCCTGCTCAAACTGTGTGCTGAGTGGTCTACAAAATTCCACCAGAGTTGCTTTTTACAGTCTGCTTTGCAAAACAAAACCCAAAACACAGATCTAGTCATTGTCTAGATGCTACACTGATACCCACCATGCTTTAGATCTTCTTTTTGTAAATGTGGCATTAGGCAAAACAGTTTTGCCCTGAATAACTCTATTATGCTTCTAGTTCTATCTCCTGAATTCTGTCCCCTGCTCATCCCTGTGCTTTCCATATGCATTTTATGCATGAACTGATGCATGTCTTGTTTTGCATTCCATCACCTCCCACCCTCCCACCTTCCAATGGCATATTTGCATGCGGGGCTTAATTCTTTCTTTCTCCATCCTGATGTAGAGGGTAGCTTCTCTACAAGGAATTATTTGCTATGGGTGTTTGAAACCAGTAAGGATGTGGGGGCACAGTTTCTGAGCCCCCACTGAGAATGGGAGGGGGGAGGAAAGGATTTTGTCCAATATCAATTAATATCCTCTCTCCCACAAGGTTTCATACAGACAATTCCCAGGTATATCCTGTGCCCCGGCTAACTTCAGAATGAGAAATGTTATCTAAGCTTGAATCCCTTACCTCTTGTGCAGAGAACAGGTGAGAGTCCTTCCAGTGGAGACAAGGGCAGTGTCTGAGAAATGCAACTAAAAAGAGTGAGGCTTTAACAAGGCCACTCCACCCCAGGCTGCCACCCCCGGGCCGGGTGCCTGATTGGAGGAATGCCAGCAGGGAACAGCTTGGAATGCTAAGCTTTGCTGCTATTTTGGCAGTGTCAGCTGAAGCCTCTTGTGCAACTCTTTTCTTCCCCTCCCCAGAGCCCATATAAGCCCTTGCTATTGTATGGCCTCAGAGAACTGCTATTTTAAACCCCAGATACCCAAGTGCCCAAGAGTCTGACACAAGCCAGCCAGCTGTCACTCTCGAGTGGACTGGAACTCTGATATGGAATGCTTCTGCCCTGCAAGGGCTCATGGTGGAAATCTAGAAGGCTAGCAAGTGAAGCTCGGCACATGGCTTTGTTCTCCCTATCCCACCCACCAGGTCCCTTTAACTGGAACACCACTGACCCCCTACTGCCTGCACAGCTGCTTTGGCAAATGAGCAGAGATGACAGGGTAGAGCTAAATGACAAGCTACATTTTTTTAAAAAAAAAAAAGTATGCACAGAAGCAACCATTAAACTGGAGGCTTAAATCAACTCAACTGAGCTGGTCACTAGAACTTGCTTGCTCTGCTCCCAAGAGATTTGTGGTACTTAAGAGTCTTTTAAATCTCTCTCTCTTTGACCCTACTTATGCCAGGGACTTAACTACATATACATGGACTCATGCCTAGAATGGCCTTCAAGTTAAAGTGAGATTAGGCAAATTCACGGAGATTAATAGCTATTTTTCATGACAGCTATACACCAGAATCAGAGGCAACTTGTCTCTCAATACTGATTACTGGGCAACAACTGCAGAAGAGGGGTGTTGTGAGCTACCCATAGGTCCCTGGTTGACTATTGTGAAAATAGGGTGCTGGGATAGTTACACTTTTATTCTGATCCAGAAGAGCTCTTCCTATGTTCCATTAAAAGAAAACATGGAGGGGAATCATCCGAGTGAGTTTATCTTTAAGCCCTACACAGAAAATTTACATGCCTCCCACAACCCACCCAATAGGAATTCTAATACAGATTTTCCTTCTAATACCCATCTTGTTATTTGACTTTAAGTTTTCAAAACTTCTCTATTTCAATGAATGTTTTTCACAAAAAGTTGCCTGTCAGTAAACCACATAGCATTTCTAAGGTCTTCTGGAGCTTGTTTTAGGCCACATAGACAGTTCAGACCAAGTGGAAGCCAGACTTGAGGGGCCTCCTTGGTGCCACATCAAGGATGGGGAACTTGTGGTCCTCCGGATGTTGTTGGACTACAGCTCCCATAATCCATGACTTTTCACCATGCTGGCTGTGACTGATGGCTACCAACATCTGAAGGACCACAGGCTTCCCATCCCTGCCCTGTGTAAATGCCCCCAGCATGCTCCTGCTGCTGTGTATTCATGTGGGAGATTGGTAGTACTTAGTAAACTGTCTCTGAAGGAAGCTTATCAACCATGCATTGATCTTCTCATTGAGGGGTTCTGGGTAAACTTTCAAGGAATCTCAGGGTTCAGAATACAGTTTGAAAGCCACTGACTTCTACAGAGGGTATTACTGACTGCTGGTCCTGTTGAATTCCTTCATGGCCATCTGTCATCTTCTCCTACTGGAGTTAGTCACAGTTATGGACTGCTACTACCTCTGAGCATGCAACGCCTCCAGGTTTAACTATGGTGTCAAAATACCTTCTTGGTTACGTTGCCCACTTACATCTATCTCTTGCTGGCCCCTTGAAGCACCTTCTCCAAATGCCTATTCCCATGATGACTCAGCATGTGGACAGATGCAGCAAGAAATATCAGCTTGTCATATAAACTTTCAGTGCATAGTGTGAGCTTCGCATGATTGATTTGCCACAGACTCTATTCTGCTGAGGGTTTGGGTTTTTTTTGTTTTTGCTGCAGCTGCTGTATACCGATCATCACCAACTGTGATGACCCTTAGGGGAGACACCATCGCTTAGTAGTAAAGCACATGCTCAACATGCAGATGGTCCCAAGTTCAGTCCCCAACATCCACCGTAAAATAGATCCACTAGCTCTAGCAGGGGATGCTGCAGAACAGGAAATGGTAGTAGACTAAATAGGCAAATTGTTTCACTTGGTTAAGACACTTCTATTTGGTCCTTATGTCCATAGACCATGAAACCCGTGAAATCGAGAAAATGTCATGATTGTTTGGCTTGTATAAAAGTTCTCTTTCATGTACAAGATCCTCTTGGACATGAGAAATTTCTCCAAATTACAGCATGAAAAAGTATCCAGAGCAACACAGTCACTGCTTTTAGTTGGAAGAGCAATACCTAAGCAATCATACTAACTATATACAAAGGTACTCAATAGCTGCACACAGAAGAAAGTACGTACATTTGCATCCCCAAACTTTGTTCTATTAGCAGTATGTGAGTTTTCCAAGATCTTGGACTGATACAACAATTTCCTCTGCATTAAGAACTACAGGGTGGGATGTAGGCCCAGAGTAGGCTTAGAGTGGTTTAAAAACAGGCTTAGAAAATAGATTGATGTGGATAGTCTGTCAAGGCTATTAAGGGCTCATACACACTTCCATCTGTGCCACAATTTCTAGGCACAAGTCTGAGCAGGTTTTTTCTTTGCCCCACTGCTTTCCTCAGGAAAACATCCTGTTTGCCCCTGCATCAGAACAAGTGTCAATCAGTTTTCTGTGGATTGATGTTTGTTCCAATTCAGTGGTCAACAGTGGGTTTTCCTGGGGAACGTGGTGAAACAGGGACCCTTCCCCAAAAGGCACAGACCTGTGCCCACAAGTCATAGATCTGTGCTTAAAAACTGTGGCAGAAACAGAAGCATGGATTTAGCTATGGTAGCTAAATGGAAGCTTTGTTTTTAGAAACAGGATAGATCTGAATGCACTAGATTCTGGGGGTACAGAAGTGGGGAGGTGCTATTGCCTTTGGTTCCAGTTTGTGGCTGTCTTAGAGACATCTGGACAGCCACTGTTGGAAACAGGCAAAATGGATCTTCAGGCCAGCTCACTTCTTCACAACCAAGAATCAATTTAAGAAGAGCCAAAGACAAGAAGTACTGGAACCAAAGTGAAATTTATTATGAAATATAGCAAGAGCCAAAATCACCAGTGAATCTAGAGTTAGGTGTTCATAAGTCAAATATACTAAAAAAACAACAACAAAAAACCTTTCTGCTCAAACTGGTTTGATTTTTAAGTCAATGGCATAAACTGTTATGGGCGGGGTTCACACAAGAACCTATGGCCCTGATCCAGCTAAAGTTTGCCATGACTTAGGCTCCAGTCCTAAGCACACCTACTTAGGTGTAAATCCCACCAAAATCAGTGGAGCTTGCTTCCAAGTAGCAATGCACAAGATTTCACCCTAAGTCCAACTGGAAACATTGAGCCTTGAGATACAACAGATTTGTTCCATTGGTTTTAAGAACATATCCATACTGCACTGGGTTTCCGAGAAGCTTCTGGTTGGCCAGTGTGAGAACAGAATGATGGGCCAGACAGGCTTTCGGTCTAATCCAGCAGAGCTCCTCTTATGTTCTTAAGATCCAGCCATGTGGTGGTGTAACTGGTGGCAAGTAGATATACTAACTGTATGCAGTCACTGCAGGGTACATGAGTTACACGGTGAACCCTATTGTTATGGCAGATACAAAACTGAAGGAAAATCCAGAGAATGGGCCACATGTATTTCATACCTTCAAGGTTGCTAGTAGAACTTAAGGCTTTGCTATTTGGGGGCTAGAAGATACAGGAGTGGAAAGGAACAGAAGTGGATCATGGGTAATATAGTTTCCATGTCATAATCGCCATCTTTCCCGTCCACCAATTAGAAGCATTTTTTAAGTCACCAAGAAACCCCATCCATGAAAAGGCACCATAGGCAGCTTGACTGATAGATACTCTTTGGCAGGCAAATGGCCTTGTGGAACAGTCTGAAACCAAGGAATGCAGGGTAATTTCAAGTGGTCCAGGCCCTTGATTTAAATGGAGATAATGTTGTCCCCAGAGCAGCTTGTACAGTGACACCTGCAAGATAAAAGGAAGCATTAGGCTAGTGCCGAGCTTGCTGCAAGGGAGAAAGAAGGGTGAACTGGACTTTGAATCCAAGCCTTGGGCATCTATGAGCACCAGTTTGCATATATCCTACAATATTAGCATGTAGACTTCTTCAATAAATATCCGGGGAGAAATACAATTTCTTAAATACTACCTCCAAATTATTATTAATTAAATGTATATCTCAGCTCCAAGGAGCCAAGTAGACCACTGGGCTCCCCCAGTATTCTATCTTCACAAGAATACTCTAAGGTAGGTTAGGTTGTAAGACAGTGGTAAGTCAAAGGTCATCCAGTGAGCTTCATGGCTGAGGGGGGATTTGAACCTGGGTTTCCCAGGTCCTAGTCTGACATTCTAACCACTACATATTGTGCAAATTTTAACTCATTTGGGCCACCTATCACCAAAGATCATGAGAACACATTTCTGGTTTCTCTCTTTGGGGTTACAAATTTGCCTTAGTTATAACTCTGAGAAACCCATGTTCTGATCCATTGGCCTGATGCTCTTTCAGCTCATCCTATTCCATGTCTGTTTTGGACCTTTAACATTATGGCCCCAGTCTTAACCTTCCAAATGGGCAAAGTGGGCTTTGTAGTGGATCCATATACAATCACTTCATAAAGCATCCAGACTAAATCTTACTCTTGCTATTTCCATTATCAGCAAGATGGCAGTAGCACACTGAAGATGAGGGGGATTTTGTGGTGGTGCACCTGGAAGCAGTGGGTTGTATTCAATTAACTTTTACTCAGAACAGACCCACTGAAGTGAATGAATCTACGTTAGTCATGGCCATTCATTTAAATGGGTTCACTCTGAGTAAAAGTTAGTTGAATATAGCCCTAAGGGCAGCATTCCACCAAACATTCCACCAAACAGCATTCCATCTGCAAGTGCAAGGACAATTAGCTGCACATCTAGGATCTGGCATAGATGTGGAGAGGGTTCAAGGGTATGCAGGGGGAGGGAGGAAAATTCCATTGTTCAAGAGGAAATGATTGTGTTAGTGGATCTATTGAGCTTGCTACTTGCATTATCATTTGCCCACGTGATGAAGGCTACCCAGTTCAACTGAATTTGCTTTGCAATCAAAGTGGTTTTGACACCCATTAGGATCAGATCAAGTCATTTTGTGTCCTCAGGACTGACCTCCGTTTGCCCTTGCACTGGTTTTCCTTCAGGAATTATTAGGCCGTTTCTCCAACTGACTCCACTCCGCACTGTTCTCAATTTTCTGAATGTCCTGCAGGAAGACAAGTCACAGGCTCTTCAAAGGACTCCCCACAGAGACATGTGGCTACCTAAGATTTGGTGGGCTAAGCTAGATACAGAGTTTGGAAAGGGAGAGTAGCTCCAAGCAGATGCACATGGTTCCAGAAAAAAATGGATCCATCACGCATGCCTTTTTCTGTTTAGATGCACTTCTAACATTATCACAAATACACCTGTTTCCAGGAGTAGATTCATGGTCATTGTGCTGTTTCTAGAGTGATGTGATTATGGCAGCCCTTTGAACAACTTTCCATCTCCTACAGCAGATAACAAAATGCAGACGAAAGCAGGGTTTGGACTGGAATGGCACAAGAAACTAGTGAATTGACCGATCCTAAGGAAGCAGCCCTTGACAATCCCAAAAGTGAAACTAAAGAAGGCAACTCAAGTTCCTGAACCAAATAAGCACCAAGAGGGTCCCCCTCCCTTGCTTATAGGTTGGTGGCTGTAGCAGAGCAGGACTATACACAAGCAATTTGCCTCTTCTCGATTGTTAAACCCAAGTGTTTTCATGAAACAGATCATGCCTTGGTTCCTTCATCCTTGCTGGGCTCTTGAGTTCGACTGATCCAGAGATTGATGCGAGATGTGACGCCTCCAGGGATCTTCAAACTCTCCTAAATAACAAAAGAATAGAGAGTGCAGAACTGCCAAGTGGGGGAAAACAAGTCACTTATCACTGCCTTTCCTATGTTGGAACATCCTCACTGTGACAGGAAGAGCAGACAAGAGTTTCCAGCATGGGCAAGCAGAGCAAAAAGAGCATGTGGCCCTGCTACAGAGGTGAATGGTACAGAGACTTGCATGGCATATCCCAGAGTATGGCCTGAAAGCACATGAGGCCACACCTTGCAAATGCTAAGCAGGTCTGGGTCATGTTGCACCCAGATGGGGACTGTCTAAGAACCATGTCTATCCTGCCTTGGATTCCATGGCAGAAAAAAAGGCAGGAGAAATGTCAGAATATGAATGAATGAATGAATGAATGAATGAAGATGGGGCCCTAATTAATTAGGATCATAGGGAAATAGGCAGCTGCCTTATACTTAGTCAAATCGCCGGTCCTTCTACCGGTCGGATCACAGGATTGTCTACACTGACTGGCAACTTTCATCATGGCTACATTCACATCATGCATTTAAAACAGTCTTAGTTGACTTTAGGAGTCATGGCATTCCCCAAAGGATCCAGGAACTGCAGTTTTTCAAGGGTCTCCTAACAAGCCTCAGCTCCCTAAACAGACTACAGTTCCCACTGGATTCTTTAGGAGAAGCTATGACTCAAAGTGATATAATAGTGCTTTGAAGGTATGGTGCAGATGTGGCTGTGGGCTTGGTGGTGCCATCTTCCTCCTGTTAAACACTCCCCACCACCTTTATCTGGGTATCCCTTTTAGGTTTATGATCCTGACTGCACTTAGACCTTACCTTCCGCACAGGGGTGGTTGTCTCAGCCCGGATGGGGACAGTTGCTTCAAAGATGCTGCGCTTGCTGGCCACACCCTCTGAAGGCGGATGGAAGTTTCTCCGAGTAGATGGAGGTAATTTAATTGACCCTGCTCTCTAGGGTCAAGAAGACAGACAGGCAAAATGAGAAGTTCAAATTTCAAGAAAGAACCTCTTCTTCTACTTAATCAATGCCTTGCAGAGAAGCATCTTTCTCTCTTTCACTGGCTATTCTTTTGCTTCCCCCCAAAAAAAGTTTGGTTTGGTTTGGTTTGGTTTGGTTTGGTTTGGTTTGGTTTGGTTTGGTTTGGTTTGGTTTGGTTTGTATTAACTTTATTCATGATCCTCTCTTCCTCAGAGATACATTTTGGATACCTGTGTGATTATCCCTTATTACTGGGCCTTTTGATTCAGATGTAAATCAAGTCAAAGCTTCTTGAATGTCCATACCAGAGTCCCTTTCACATCATTCAAGGGCTTAGTAATTACTCATGCCCATGACCCATCCAGACGATGGGCACATAGTACAAAGAAGTCATAGGCCAGGGTTCCTAAGCCACAGCCATATGGATTTCTGATGGCCTTCCATGTCCCCCAACAACTTGGCTATTGTACTGTATTTTTCTCAGCATCTGGATTCTCCTTCATTGGAGATTTTTAAACAGAGGTTGGATGGCCATCTGCCATGGATGCTTTAGCTGAGATTCCAGCATTGCAGAGGTTGGACTAGATCAGCCTTTCTCAACCTGTGGGTCCCCAGATGTTGTTGAACTACAACTCCCATCACCCCTAGCTAGCAAGGCCAGAGCTCAGGGATGATGGGAGTTGTAGTCCAACAACATCTGGGGACCCACAGGTTGAGAACCGCTGGACTAGATAGTTTGCCTATCCATGCCTGAGTGCTAAGGCCCGGGGCTGGATCCGGCCCAATCGCCTTCTAAATCCGGCCCATGGATGGTCTGCGATCAGTGTGTTTTTATATGAGTAGAATGTGTCCTTTTATTTAAAATGCATCTCTGGGTTATTTATGGGGCCCGCCTGGTGTTTTTACATGAGTAGAATGTGTCATTTTATTTAAAATGCACCTCTGGGTTATTTGTGGGGCATAGGAATTCGTTCTTTTTTTTCCCCTTCAAAATATAGTCCGGCCCCCCACAAGGTCTGAGGGACAGTGGACCGGCCCCCTGCTGAAAAAGTTTGCTGACCCCTGCTCTCAGGGTCCCTTCCAACTCTACAATTCTATGATTCTATTTTATATCTCTTGCTGAGCAGCAGGTGGTGCTGTTGAGGACTCCAGAACACTCATTAGTGATGGTCAGGGCTGTCCCAAGACATTTTGGCACCTTCCTAACCGCCATGCAAGCTGACTAGGACATTTTCCATGCTTGTACTGTATGAAGCACTCACCAGCAATAATTAGAATGATTTTTACACCTCTACAGTACTGAGCATCTGGTAGAAATATTAATAAAGATGAATATTTCCACATTTGAACAGCACCAATCACTCACTAGTCCCCCCAACCAGCATGGCAAATGGTCAGGGATGGCATTGCACTGAAGACCCAGTGTTATGTCATGGTTAGAGTGTTGTATTAGGGCCCGAGAGACCAGAATCCAAACCCCTACTCAGCCATGGAGCACACTGGATGACCTCGAGCCAGTCTCTTTCTCTCTCTCCCCCCCCCCATTTCCCATGCTGCCTCCTTCCTTTGCAGCCAAGGAGTCCCTGTCTCTCCCCCTTCACTCAACCTGTCCTTGGTCCCTTCATAGATTTTTCCTGTTTCAGGGAACTTCTGTGAGTGCAGCATATTGTGCTCATCACTGAATGTACTTCCAAGATGTGCAAGCGGGATGTATTTATTGAGGCAGATTAAATAAAGAATTTGTGAGCTGGCTAAATTGACATACAAATTGCGGGACAAGGACAACAGTGATTTTAAGGAAGAATGGGAGCTTTTTACAAATTATCTAAAAAGAAAGACAACAAAATGAACTGGACTCCTTGGCAGGTTTTGAATAAACATACACCAATTTATTGGTTGATAACAGGGTAGATAGATAATATAAGGATATGTATAATTTCATAACATGCAGAGAATAATATGTGCTGAGAAATCAGAGAGAGGAGCTGAGGGAAGTCTCTGGGGGGGAGGGAGGGTTCGAAGGGGGGGAAGGAAAAAAAATAATGAATATGATATGTCTTGATAATTTGTTATGTTGAAATTGTTAATAAAAATATTTTTTTAAAAAAGATTAAATAAAGAATTTGTGAATAAAGAAATCATAAGGAATAAGAAAACAGTAAGCGATGATGGTGGAAATTAATAAGGAATGTGAGAGTGAAAGCGGGGCAGGGCATATTTATTGAGTCAAATAAAATCAATCATGAATTAATTAATGGGAAATTAATAAAGAAGAGGTGTTAAGAGGCTCTTTTATAACTTTGGTCACAGCCACATTGACATGTTGGCCTTGAGTCAATGCAACCCATGGCCTGAAAATGTTTAGCCTCCCTTGCCATAGGTCATGACCACTGCTTGTTCCAATATTTACCTGCACAGCAGAAGTATATTTCTCCAGCTTCTCCTCCAGCTTAGCAGTGCTTGCTGGGAGCCTCATGCTGGCACTAGTGGAAAAGAGCAAATAATACAGGGTATGAACAAAAACCTTCCAAGATCCTGTAAGGAACAGTGATATTTCATTCCCCAAGTGAAAGGTCACTGGAGCCTAATAAGTTGGGATCAATGCTCTGGAGTCCATTGTAAAGCTAAAATTAAATTTAATGCAAATTTGAAACATCTGAAAACTAAGTCTTGAACATTTTTTCATTTGAAATGTAAGTTGGGGGGGGGAATTGGGTATTTAAAAAAAAATATGAGGGCAATAAATTAACACTCCCTAAATTAATACCACGGCATCTTCCCCCCCTCTTCTTAAATTCCAAAACACAGCCTCCATAGCTAGCACATTACCTACTGCTCATACTAAAAACAAAATCTTTTCAAAAGCTCCCTTATTCTAGAAAGCAGAAACAACTATTTTTGCCCTTCCCGGCTCCTGTTTTTAAACATCCAGTTGGAATTGTAAATAGCAATGTACCTTAAACATTTTCATACTGTGAATTCTAACCACTGCTGATCAGAATCAAAGATTTCGTTCCCATCAAGACCATGTCTGGGATACAACTGTTTTTACAGTGAGAAATGCAGCTTTTAAAAATAGATCTTCCTGCACTTAGCAGTGGATTTATGCAACTGAAAGAATGTGCAGCAAAGAATTCGCTTGGTAGGTCCACAAATCAAGAAGCCACAGAAGGGTGAGATATTTGTATCTTCTCCAACATACAAAAATATGACAAGCTTTCTGCTACCAATGGAATTTGATGGCTCACTCCTCTCTCTTTAAAAAATAAAAATGCTGCAATATTTATTTTAAGTCTTTTCTTTTTACTTTGACTTTTTTATAGCAAGAAACACTTATGGATACAGGAAGTGCAATGACTTTGTACTCAAGGATTTGATCTGTGTACACACTGTGAATGGTCTTTAAGTAAGTTATATTCAGAGTAGACCTATCAAAATGAGTGAACATGACTAAGTCGAGTCCATTGCTTTCAATGGGTGTACAGCTTAGTTTAATACCACCCCAGATATTCAAAGCACATGACCTCCCCAAAGGCTCATGGGAACTGTAGCTTACCCACCACAGTTACAATACCCAGCACCCTTAACAAACTACGGCTCCCAATATTTTTTTGAGGAAATCATGTGCTTTAAATTTGCTCCAGGTGAATCGTGTGCATGCAGCCTTTTACAGCTAGAAAAGCATTCTACTCTCCAGCCCCCCGGTCTAATGTTTTCTATGCAGAACTCAAACAAATTCAATAAATATTTCAAAGGTCCACAAGAAAGAAATCTAACAAAAGCTCGCAAGCCCTAAGTGTCCTGAGCATTTTGACAAATCTAAAGAATTAGCTGAGCCTGATACCCACTTACCTTCTGCTTAATGTATCATCTTGTTTCTCTTTCCTGGGGACAACCTAGAGACACAAGAATTGGTGGTGAGAAATGGTGGTCTTTGCCACAAGGGAAGAAATTGAACTGCTAGACTAAACCTGCCAAGAAGATACCCTTCCAACATGGATGGTTAAGGCTGGGCATGATAAGCCAAGCAGGCCGACTCTGGGCAATTGAATTAGCCAAGGAGCATAGGGAGTGGGCTGCCATATATCCCCTGCTGTCCCTTCTGTAGCCCAAACTTTTTTCAAGGAGGGCCAGATTTGATGAAGTAAACATGCGTGAGGGCCGACCAAAGTTGCTGAGCTTTTTTTAGGATTTTACCCCAGGACATATACTGCCACGGGGGCCAGATTAAATTGACCAGTGGCCCCCGAAATGGACTTTGGACATGCCTGGTATATAGAGTCCCAGTTATCTGAATAATGCACAAAGTGGTCTTTGTCCTTTTCAAAGGAGGGGTATTTTCCTGCCTTGATCATGAATGCTTACCCGGAATGAGATTGTCCTTGGGCTGACTCGTTTGAATGAACTACTGTAGGTAATCAGAGGTTGAGAGGTTAGTAAGGGAGCCTCAGATCCATCTTGAGCAGAGGGAGAGATTACAGCTTCTTCTATTTTGAGCCTACTTCTTTCTGCTGCCTGGAAAACAAATATGAGTCAAGAAACCATCGGGTGGATTGAGAGAAAAGTCTGGGCTGATACGATAATCGCAGGGACACTTCTCTGAAGTGGCCCCTCAATTATGGAATTCATTTAGGAGTGAGATCCATCCTTCCATTTTCATAACAAGCCTTGAAGACTTATCGGTTGACTGTGGCATTTGGGAGCTGGTGAAATAGATGTTTCTGTGTTTGATGGTGTTTGCTGGGCTACTGGGAAGCAGTTTATGCTGGCTTTTAAGACAGACTTGGGGGAAGTTGATGCTAAATTTTAAAATAGCTTTAATGTTTTATTTTATATGGATATTTTAAAGTTAATCAGTGTTTTGGGAGGCATTTTTTTGGCCTGAATGTTGGTCTACACATTTATGTGTATATATGAACAAATAAAATAATGTGATATAGACTTTATTTATAGCACAGATGAACAACCTGAAGTCCCATCCTCAATTTACCTAGCCCACAACAGCTGATGATGTCCCATTCTTCCACTCCATCAGAGTTCCTTCCTTTCAGTTTATTTACTCCTTATTTTTCATAGAATCATAGAGTTGGAAGGGACCCTGAGGATCATCTAGCCCAACCCCCTGCAATGCAGGAATATGCAGCCATCCCATACGATAATCAAACCTGAAGCCTGGTGTTACCAGCACTGTGCTCTCACCAACTGGCTTCTCAGTCCCTGTGCTGAATGAAGCTGACACCTGTGGAGACTCCAGTTCACTCTACCTCTGACTTGCACTGATACCCAATGAACATCTACTGCCTTTCCCTTCCAGCCCTTTGGCTTCCATTTCCTCCCTCTAAAATTCCAAGACTGAGTACCTGTGGCCCAGAGGCAGCTGGAGCCGCTTCTGTGAAGCTCCTGACCCTGGGGTTAATCTTCACCTCAAGCCGGCTGATGCTCCTACGCTCCCAAGAAGCTCGCAGAGGCTGCTGTGTGGCCACCACATTCTGGACTGCGGCCGGTTGCTGAGACTTGTGCTCCTTCAGTGCCTTCTGCTCCTCACTGAAGACTGAATCCTCATCAACTTTGAGGTCCTTCTTGGGGTCCTGATCTAAGTTTTCCTGTTTCTCTGAGCTTCTCACCTTCTTTTCCTCACTCAGGTTTTGATGGTTTTCTTTGTCAGGCTCCTTTTGCTGAGCCAGGCTTTCACATTTTTCCACCGTGGGTTCCTTCTTCTCCTGGGGTGGTTCTGAAAAAGACTTAGCTTTCTTTTCAGCAGCTTCCTCTTTCCATTTCCTGGCAGGCACTGTCTCCTTTTTCTCCTGTTTCACATTATTGAACATCTCCACTCTCCTCCTTACTCTGTCATCTGGCTTATTTATTACCTCTTCCAGTGTCCTCTCCTTTGCCGGCTTTGAGTTCTCCTGCCTGGAGGGCTTTACTTCCAAGGAGCCCCGGAACCTACAATGAAGAAAGAGAAAGGAAGCTCTCAAAAGTTCCCTTTAGAGCACAGGAGCTGACATGGGTGCCCAATGGCGCCCACAAGACTTCCCTGATCCTGTTCTTCCTCGCCTTCCCCAAACCCAAACTAAAGCAAACCAAAAGATTTCACCAAACTTGGAAATCAGTGGAATTTGGTTCAGGCCCCACAGTCAGAAGTTGTTTCAACCTCTGCATAACCATGCAGAGTCATATACAAGGTGTGACCTGAAAGTTCGGTGAATGGTCACAGAAATCGGACAGCGAGAAATATTCGAACACATAATCGGCATTGGAAAGCTACAAAATGCTCACAGTTGTGTATGGAGATGAAGCTGTATCTCGAAAGACAGTGGTTTAAGCATTTCCGTGAAGGGCGGCAAACCATTGAAGACAACCCTCAGTCTGGCAGACTGTTGAAGAGCAGAACAGCGGCAAATGTCAACAGAGTTATTGAGTTATTGATGCGGGATTGGCGTTTGTCCGTCCGAAAGATGACAAAAGAATTGCATATTCCGTGTGAAATCATTACTGAGGTTACTGAGTTGTCCCACCCTCCATAGTCTGCCGATCTGGCCCCACTGGATTTCTTTCTTTTTCCAAAACTGAAATCCGCACTGAAAGGGCACAGATTTCCCGACATTTCACGCATCCAAGCTGCTGTGACGGGGGAACTGAGAGCAGTATGAAAAGAGGACTTCTCCAGAAGTTTCCAACAGTTCTATGAACGTTGTCAATGGTGCATTTTATCAAAGGGGACCTACTTTGAAGGCCTGTAAGGCATGTATGTTCGAATATTTCTCGCTGGCTGGTTTCTGTGACCATTCACCAGACTTTCTGTTCACACCTTGTCCCTTGCAGTACCAAGCAACAAGCTCCAGAGCCTTGAGAGTTCTGTTTTTCCCTTCCCAGCAAACATATACCTATTTGGTGTTCGGCTGGTCACATTCTGCACTGTGTTGGGGGTCTCCTCCTTCACTTCGGTGGTGGAGCTCAGCTGCCTGTGCCTCCGCCTGCGCTCCCTCTCCTGCTCTTCCTCATCCTCAGTACTCCATTGTTGGGCCAGGCTGGAAGGGAAAGGAGGGAGGAGAGAGAAACAAGCATTATTCAGCTGCTGCTGATTCAGAAATCCTTGCACTGATGGAATGAGCTAGATGGATAATGCACATAGTCTCCAGAGCTACTGTAGCTGTGCGTACAAGGAAGAGCTTTCTTGGCTATGGCATCACAGTTCTACAATGTCCTCCTTGGAGAGGACCACCTGGCTCATCCTAAGCCTTCTCTTAAGACTAAGTTTTGTAGTGCAGCATTTGACCAATGGCACTCTGACAGTGACTTTGTTATTTTTCTGACTTCAGAGGATTTTGCTTTTATTCTGCCTTTGCAGAACTGTCTTCTAGGTCTCTTTCAGACAAGCTTTTCATTGCACATTCATCCTGATCCATTTGCACAGTGCATCTCTGGGCCCAGTTTAAACTGCTGGTTGTTGCATTGGAAGCCTTAAATGGTACAGAACCAGGTTATTGGAAAAGCCACTTTACACCTTTATGGACCTGCCAAGACTGGCAATAGAGGCCTGAATTAAGGATCTGCCAAAAAGTTCCATCAGTTTGTTGTGCATGAGATACAGGGACCTTTCTGGGGTGACTCTAGCCCTAGAAGTGTATTTAGCTCCCTCCCTTATCAGGCCTAAAGGCCTGGATTCTCCAATCTACATTTAACTATCCTGTGAACTGCCCTGAGAGGGTGGGATACAAATTTAATAAATAATAATAATTACCGTATTTTTTGCTCTATAAGACTCACTTTTTCCCTCCTAAAAAGTAAGGGGAAATGTGTGTGCGTCTTATGGAGCGAATGCAGGCTGCGCAGCTATCCCAGAAGCCAGAACAGCAAGAGGGATTGCTGCTTTCATTGCGCAGCAATCCCTCTTGCTGTTCTGGCTTCTGAGATTCAGAATTTTTTTTTTCTTGTTTTCCTCCTCCCAAAATAGGTGCGTCTTGTGGTCTGGTGCGTCTTATAGAGCGAAAAATACGGTAAATAAATGTACCTGTTACTGAATTTTTAATTGTATTTTCTGAACCTTTTTAATGCTGCTGTTTTAATTAGTTGTGCTCAATGTCTTCTAATTGTTTTATTTTTTTGAGATGGCCTTTTACCCTTAAATGCAGTTTTAAATACAGTATATATTAAATATATGTAGCTAAGGACAATAATTATATATATAAACCTCTCTTTTCTTACTCAAGATTGGTTTTAAAAATTTCACATGACACACACAAACACACATGAAACATGGTTGTCTTTGCTGTACCACATACTTTATATGTATTCTGAGATGGTGTGGTTACATGGAGACAGGACCCAGACCTACTATGAGGCAGAGGGAGGCAGCTGCCTCAGACGGCAAATTCTGAGGAATGGAAAGGGGCTAGAAAGGTGTGACAAGGGGGGGGAGGGAAAGGAAAAAATTGTATGGGAAATTTAAAAATTGGAAGAAGATAATATAAGGTATGTAAAAATCCTGAACTCAAATAAATAAATAATCAAAACTGGGGGGGGGGGGAATCAATAGAAAAGTTATTTTCAGAGAAGTGTTTTTATCTATTAGTGTAACAATACATGACAATGATTAGCTGGAGAAATCCTACCCTGCTTTCTTCTCCAAATCAATTAAACAAACATGTCATCCTCCTGCTCATCATTTTTAGAGAGTCTCATATTGGAACTAGGAGTTTATCAACATTTGGCAGAACCTTCTTCATTGTATTTATTTTTGTCTAATAAAATTTTATTTTGTCTGGAAAAAAGAAAAAAGAAAGGTGTGCCAAGTGGTCTGCCCTGCATTCCCTAAAATAGCTTGCTGCCCTAGCAGTGAGGCAACCTGAGGCAACCCACCTTGGGCAGCATGCTCCAAGGGGCAGGAGATCCTAATCCAGCCTTGTCAACAGAATGCCCCCTTTTCACCAAGACTCTCTGCAAAAATGGGGTGTTCCTACAGAGCTGCTGTGTTGCTGCTGGTCTCCTTCCATCCTGCTGGGATGTGGGCACAGATCAGGGGGCGGGGGGGGTGCATCAGTGAACATTTCTTGCTCTCCTTCTTTGTGCCTTAGCACACAACTGGGTGGGGGTGGGAAACCAGTTCCAGGGAAACTGTGAAAGATGTGGCACTAGATTTCTCATGTCTACATTATATCTCCAGAGTTCCACATCTCCTGGGCACAGCTCTGTTCTCCAGACAGCTGTGGAGAGGCAGATGCATCAGAACAGGTTGTGTACAGGCTTTCATGAGCACAGATCTCTGTGCGGAAGCCCCCAAGATTTCAACTTGTTTTGGTGGGCATTGCTGAAACTCCTGCGACTGAAAAGGCTCCAGCTATCGACTGTGGCACTGGCGTGCCCAGCCCCCTGGCATTCAAGAAAGCTGCCACTCCTGCTATCACAGGATGCTGGTTAATCATTATTGCGCCATGGATTCCACTGCATTTTTTTTACTTTCAATAAAAAGTTACGCTGTGTTGTTTTCCACTCTTGTGAGAGGGCCATGCAAATGGGGAAGTGGGGAATAAGCGGGGGGAGGGGGGAGGGGACAAAGAGGAAAGAAAAAGAAGTGTGTTTATACCTTTGCACTGAATTTTTAAAATCCTTTTGGAGCAGCAAGCTGCCTGCCTGCAGCCAGTAATGAAACCAGAAATGGCAGCAATCTGCTTGGAGTACACATCAACTTCTGTTCCATTCATGACTCATAGACCCTTCCCTTCTGTTGTTCTTAGATCATAACATGAGAGCCCCACCCTCTTCTACAATCTGAGGTTTTTCTCTCTCTTTTTTTAAGGAAGAATAAGAAGAGGAGGAGGAAGAAGTGAATTAACTGTGTGCAGTCGTACCTTAGTTGTCAAACTTCATCCATTCTGGGAGTCCCTTCGATTCCCGGAAGCGTTCAAAAACCAAGGCGCAGCTTCCAACTGGCTGCAGGAGCTTCCCGCACTCAATCAGAAGCTGTAGAGCCACATCAGATGTTCGGCTTCCAAAAAACATTCGAAAACAGGAACACTCACTTCCGGGTTTTCGACGTTTGGGAGCCAAAATGTTCAGCAACTAAGCCGTTCGACAACCAAGGTACAACTGTACTGTTCCTTTAAGCTAAGTGTTGCTGGACTGCTTCTAACATCATCCCTGGTCATGCTGGGGTGGCCTTAGGAGAGTCATAGACCATACTTTCTGGAGGCACCTGCCTTAAGGACAGTCCAGCACTCAGTCAGAAATCCTGCCATAGGCCCATGTATGAAAGCTTTGCCAGATCGCTGTATGCAGTAAATGTTTTATGTTACCAACACCTGCATCGATTCTGAATGAGGAATACATGCTGAAACAGATAGCGCATTAGTACTACATCCATTCCATACACTGACAGTCCAGCAACAGCTTCTGCTCACGTGGAGCAGGATCGATCATCCTGCACTGAAGCATTCCTGTTGGGACCATGGGGGAACCCAGCCAGAGGAGGGTTTTTGTCTGCAGTCTGCTCTGCTGCAGTTCTGCCATAGGCAAGCCTGAAAGTTGGCTGGCAGACACATTCCACTATAACAATGCGGTTCATCAGCATCCTCCATCAAAGGCTTCTGAGCCCCATCCACAAGAATGACAACATGGGAAAACGTTGTTCTTTTGCAATGAAAATGAAGCCAAATTCAGGTGTTTAGCCCGGAGATGTGAAGGCAAAGGTGTGTAGAGAGATGGAGTGCATGCATCCGCCACACCCTCAGCTTTATTGACATGCCCCCTCCACTCTCAAACTTCATAAGGTCAGAAGGTAGTTTGCAATAAATATTATTATTATTATTATTATTATTATTATTAGCTTTTTTCTTTTGCCATGACAAGACGGATGAGGTGTCTTCTCCACTAGGATGAGATCTATTTCATAGTTTGTAAGCCATTGTTTCTATGTTCCCATCCACACTTGCAAATCAGCATGCATATTTTTGTGTCCTCTTCTACAAGTATGCTTTTCTGCCCAGCCACTCTGCCTGGCAAGGCAACATGGCACAGCTCGGACAAGGCCAGACTGGCTTGGAGGGCTGCAAAGTCAGTCCAGGCAGGCTGCTTCTGGGCCACCACCAACAGTCACCTAGAGCTGCACATCACAGAGGGCAGCAGCAGACTTCTCTTCTCCACAAGGTATAATGGCTGAAATAACAAAAACTGTACACACTATGATACCTGCACTGGCTTTCAGTCACTGCGGACTGGGCACCCACCTCGCACCCTCCCTACAACATGGCAACCAAGGGTTGTTGTTGTTTTTTTAAAATGAATAAACGTTTCACCTTCAAAAGAGAGAGAGAGAGAAGGTGGTTTGCAAGCATGTTTCCCTGAAAGAGCTTGCAAGCTTCCTCGCCATCAGGAAATTTAGCTTATCTGGGCTCATTAGGAGACTTGTCAGGTTCATCAGGTAACAACAGCAAGAAAACTGTTCAAAACTTGGTGCTAAACACACTAAGGTCAGTGATTGGGGGTGGGGGAGAGATGCCCAGTGAGGTTGGGAGCAGAGCTGATCCATGTACTCCTGTCCTTTTGCATACTTTTGCCCTCACATGTCCAAACTCAACTGCCAAAGAGCAATTTTGTTTCATGTTCACCACAGGCGCACTTTGGGAAAGTGAAAATGTTCCATAAAACCTCACTTTTTATCAAATCCAGCAGAGGTTTTCCTATTTCTCTTTGCACAACTGCCTGGTGCTTAGGAAATCCTTGCTAATGATTTTAAAAACATTGCAAAACCACTCCACAAGTGTTTTTGCAGCATATTCACTCTCCAGAGGTTTATATCTGTATATCTGATCATGACCTCAGCAATGCACAAGTCTTTGCAACTTCAGTCCCAATCCGCCAATAATAATTCATTTCAATGAGGTTTGTGCAGGACAGGTTCCTAGCAGATTCTGATCTTGCTGCCTTAATATTCAAGTCAATTGCTCACTAAGAGAACGATTCACAGCTCTCCCGATATTATTACAAATCGTACAGGTATTTGTTTACCAAGGAAAAGAAGTATTGGAATGAAACTATGAGAATGTCTAGCCCATATTGCTGCCAAGGCAAATTTACCAACTGCATATGGGGAATCTGTAATATCGTAAACAAACAGTTACATCATTATGAGTTAATATATCATAATCCTGTGTGGTCCAAAGATCAAAGACTTATTAAGCCTTGGTCTCACTTGTGGCCTCAGGCAAATATTCACCTCTCATCCTTAATTCCCAGCCTACAGTTCTGCAGAAGTGCTGCTGTGAAGATGCAATGGATAGTGATGGAACATTTGGGGCAGAAGTGGGGGAGAAACAGATTAAAAGCAAATGCAAGGAAGGGAGCTCCACTTGGGAAGAGCTGCCACAATGATGGCATTTTGCCAATCTCACCTCTTCCAAAGTTTTTCCTAACATTTTGCCAAAAGCTGTATCCTTGCAATTTTCACCCATTGCTTCTAGGCTTCTCTCTAGAGCAACAGTCCCAGCCAGTGGACGCACCTGCCACACCAGGCACCCGAGCGGCTAGCTACACCGCTAGTCCCAGCCAGCAGATTTTGGAACTCTTGAGGCAGATGAGCTTAATAATAGGAACCTCTAACAGAAGTATTGCCCAGTCCACATTTCACTATCACATCAACAAGGATACCATGGTAGTCCTTGCCAAATGCTTTGCTGAAATCAAGATATACTATATCACAGTGATTGACTAAACTATAAAAACAAAAAATGGTTGGTCTGGATAACCTAGATAACTAGGCCTGAATAACCTGGTTCTCTTTGCAGTGTGTATTCAGTGATAGTGCATCTAAATCTAATGGGGGGATGGGAACTCTAAGCCACAATTTCCTAGCCTTAGCTACCTAAGAAAGTTATTGGTCAGATATATAAATGGATAGTTATATCAATGAAGGCTCTTATTTAATTTCATATTTTTAAAAGTGAAGAAAATGACTTTGTATACTGAAAAGTGATATACAATTAATATAATATTAAAAAAATAAAAGATTGAAATATTGCCACTTATCATAAAACACTTCAAAATAGCAAATTCCCTTTGCTATCTTTATTGTGCTCGCTCAGGCAACAATCTAGAGACAATAGACCACTTTCAGCTAAGTTGTTGAATGAGCCTTGACTCATGCAATTGAAACTTCTCACCTTGGGTCCCTCTGGGCACCCTAAATCTGCTCTGCAGGGTTAGAGGAAACCCAGAACATGTTTAGGGATGGAGAAGAAATGCAGGGGGGAGTCCGTTATATGGGTGACCTCATTCTGGTCATGCACATCCTACCTGATGCTACATTGAATTCCACCTGACAGCCATTGGAAGGAATGCAACATAGCACTAAAGGGGCATTGAATGAAATGGGAGAAAGCCCCATGGTGCTAGTACTTCCACTTGTAGGGCTCATTAGCTGAATCCTTCCTCCTAGAATTCCCATTTTTGTCCCAAGGGGAACTACAGCTTGAGACACGTGACTTGGCCAAGGTAGAGTGACAGTCTGGCAAGAGTAGAATCTTAAATCAAATTCAGTTCCCTACTTCATGACACTAACTCTCACTTAGGTAGGACTTTGGGGGAGAAATCCTTGGCCCCACTCAGCAGGAATGACAGTGGCAGTGGTGTGGATGGGGTAGGGAAGGGCTTCACCACATTTTAAAATAGGTGAAGTAGTAGACATTACCATCTAAAGAGAAGGGACCCTGTAAAACCTTTCATTCCAGAGCCTAGAATAGGGATAACCAATATGAAGTATTCCAGTTGCTGCTGGACTACAACTCCCATAATTCCTTGCCATTGTGCATACTGGCTTGGGTTGATGGGAGTCCAACAAATATGTGGAGAGCACTACATTGGCTACCCCTAGTCTCAAATCACCTAACCAACCACATCACTGACTCTCAGCACAAGCTCCTGCCAATATCTGAACGAAACCCACTCACATATCAAAATATACTTGGAGTCCTGCAGTTATTTCATGCTCTTTATCGCAGCTTGTAAAACAGTGATTGAATTTCCCCCCAAACCTCAGGCCTTTATATACATTATTTGCACAATGAGTCCCATCTGATTGGCTGATTCTGCTTCCCTGCTGGAGCCTGATTGGTCTTTTCCTGCAGGCCAATGAGTTGTTGCATTCTACGATCCTACCAGCCTAATAGGCTGATTAACTTCCTCCTGGAGCCTGATTGGCCTTCTCCTGCAAGCCAATCAGTTGTTGCATTCTAGGATCCCACCTGCCTCTTGTTCTAGGATCCAAGCTTAGTATATAACACATATAAATCATACATGTGTACAATCTCAGCTCAGTCAGAACTCTGCAATAGTACAGCTGACACATGTATAGAGGTTCTTCTCAGACCTTCAGATGAACAGGCACATTTTGGAATGGGGCAGACACCATACCTATTTCCTGCATGACAGAATTCAAGGAATGTCTAAAAATGTTTTACCTTTCAAAAACATAAATTAAAACTCTGCATTATATTGAGCAGGAAAATATGTGTTAAGGGACATGGGAAACCCCTAGATTTATATTAAGCATTTGACTGGTTCACAGATGTGTTTGTTAATAAATCAGAAGATGTAACCAATGCTGGACAGGAAACTCATAATTGGCTGTGTGAGTTTGAGCAATTGGAATGCATTACCAAGAGCTGAAGAGGCTTTCCTGTAGAAAATGTGTTTGCAGCAATTGTCAAAACAAGATACCAAAAGAAAGCAAGATGCAACAGGAAATCAGGCACATATTAACCACTCCAGGAACAAGACTTAGTCTTCCAAAGTATCTTTTCTCCTTCCTGTTTTGAAGCCAGACAATGCACGGCTCTTCCTTTCCTTTATCACAAATATAAAAGGAAGGAAGCTGAGAAGACACTGCTCCCGCCTCCCCCCACCCGGTTACATACAGACCACCTAGTGCCCAAGGTGTCCTTTATATACCACAGCAGCAGGATTTGAGATTTCTCCTGTCTTCCCTCAAACTCCCTGTCTTTCAAGTTGCTCTTGTTGCGATTACTGCGCATGTCCCACTGAAGCTACTTTTGTGCTCAGGTTCCATCATTGCCAATTTTGTCATTTTTCTTTTGTCAGTTCAAGTTTGAGGTCACGCAATCTTCTGGAATCCCCGGTTTTCATTTTATAGGAGTTCAGCCAGGATCATTACATAGACACTTATTTGACATCTGAACAGCACACGCCAAAAGAGTTGCATACACATGTAGCTGCCCTCCTTAAACACTCATCATCTTGACAGCACTTAAATTCCCCTTCTCCATTTTTTCTTTGTGAGCTATAACCTGTTCTCCTCGTACCTACCCCCTTTGCCCTTGTTATGTTTGCATTATTCAAAACAAAACTAACACTTAAACAACACAAATAATTTTGATCACTGCACAGGAAAATTTATTTCTATTCCTGCATTGCAGGGAGTTGGACTAGGATGGCCCTCAGGGTCCCTTACAACTCTATAATTCTATGATTTATTTAATACATTTATATCCCACCTTTCCTCCAAGGAGCTCAAGGGGGCATACATGGTTCTCCCCTCTCCCCAGATATCTTAACAACAACCCTGTGAGGTAGGTTAGGCTGAGAGGCAGTGACTGGCCCAAGGTCACCTGTGAGCTTCATGGCTGAATGGGGACGAGGACCCCGGCCTCCCAGGTCTTAGTCCAACACACTGCTTCTCTTTCTGTGTTATTTCTATCCCATCCTCAGCTCATGTCGTTGTTAGCATCTAGTCTACTCACTTGGGCAATATACACGGGGTTCTAACTCATCCCACCCATCAGGTTGCCCTGCCCTATGTGTAGATAATACAAACGTTGTGATTACATGTGAAACTCCCAAAAGATGGGGGTAGTCTAGGTCATCACTTAATTGAAATTCCGCCAGGCTTGACGTTACATCACTCCTTGGCATCTCACCAGCAACAAGAAACAAGAAGGTGTGGAACTCTGGGGAAGCTAGAATTTTGGGGCAGACAGATGAGCAGATAACATCCTTAAGATTGTCACATGAATCCCGACTCTTAATTTAGGTTGTTGTATTGTGCCATAATCAGAGATGTGATGGATGAATAGCAAGGACATGACAAATGCTCTCACTTCCATCAGACTAGAATTAGGGAGAAATCATCACTGGACCTCCCTCCAACTCACTTCATCATGCATAGGTATGCTCAAGACCTGTGATTATCACCTGTAAACTTAGTGTGCACAAAGACTTAAAGGGGGGAATTTTGAATATATTTTAATATCACTGGGCAGAATTCAGTCAAAATTAAACACTGCAAGTCCATCCACTTCAGTGACAAGGTGCCCAAATCCTTGCCACTGAACAGAACTAGAAACTTCAGGTGTATTCTGCCAGTTCTTATTAAATTCCCGCTGCGCTCCACAGGCTTCAGGTTCCTTTCACTGAAGCCAGGAGAGCAAGACTCTCCTGGCTTCAGCAGAGAGGGAGAGCTGCGCAGGGCCCCTTCAGCCAAGTGGGAGGAGAAATGGAAGGGGCTCCGTTTCTCCTGCTGCTTCGCTGAAGGGGCGCTGAGCAGAGAGGGGGATAATTTTTTTTCTTGTTCTCTCCCTCTAAAACAAGGTGCGTCCTATGGCCCAGTGCGTCCTATGGTCCGGTGCATCCTATAGAGCGAAAATTACGGTAACTCTAACCGACTACAACTCTCATCAGCCCTGATGATTAGTCATGCTGGCTAGGGCTGATGGGACTTGGAATCCAGAAACATGTCCAGGCTCCAGGCAGGACAAGACTGAACTAAACTAGAGATTTTCAAATGGTTGAATTTTGCACACGTAAGAGCTACACAATTTCAATTATATAATCCATACAAAACCAATTTCTCAGTTAGAGGAAATGAACTTTTGGGATGCAGCTGTATTCTTTGATGCTCATAAACCACATGCCTGTGAGAGGAAAAGTCACAAACACAAGTATCAAAGCTTCAGATTCAGAGGAAATATCCTGTTCACAAGTTATGCATTTGCTCCAACATTTCTGTCTTAAGTGAAACATCCACCAAATGGGAATCCCGCCTCCTTTGTAGTCACTGAGGAATGGCCAGCTCATTACTTTCTGGTGGGTCTATGGCAGGCATAGGCAAACTTGGCCCTCCAGATGTTTTGGGACTACAACTCCCATCATCCCTAGTTAACAGGACCAGTGGTCAGGGATGATGGGAGTTGTAGTCCCAAAACATCTGGAGGGCCGAGATTGCCTATGCCTGGTCTATGGAGACCATGTAAATTTGGCTATTTGGGAATCTTATGTACAGTTTGTGCCAACACACATCAATTTACACTTGACCTCTTCCCACCCTTTTTATAAAAAGCCAAATGTGTGAACAACTGCAGGCTACCTCTTTCTCACCAAGGCTACTGTATCCTAAAAATTTCTCCCTACCATTCAGAAGCACCCTGGCTCCATGCTAGAAACCAGAGCTAAGGGTTGCACATCAGTGCCAGCCTCAGGGATCTGCCGGAGTCACGTGATTATCAAGTAGTTGCTACAATACACTCAGACCTCCAAGATGAGGATAACTCTGTAGCAGGTACAATGTCCTCCAGGACTTCATATCTCTAGGCTTTCTCTCCACCACCAGTATATATAGACACATCTCTGTGAGGTGCAAATGCCATATTCCTAAGATATCAGAGCAAAACAGGTTCTACTGTATTCATAATCTGGTATCGTACATAAGATCCCACACCAAATATATCACGTGGTTGTTTTCACATCCTTCCTTAAGTTTCCTTCCCTACCTGCAGCACTTCTGGAATGAGGATTATAACACAGGAAGAGGGGAAAATACACCATGCAAACTGCTTGGGGAGATCCGTGATCCATGCGGCTATGACAGCATCATCCATTTTCATGACACACCAATGAATGCATGCTCAATAGGGCTGGGAAACATTAATCACTCTAATTATTGGGAGAATAACAATGACTTCCTTAACTACCAATTTAAAAACATGGATTTTTAATTAGATCTTAACCATAGGTGTTCCGTTTAGACCAGGGCGTTCAGTTCCGCTGACATTGTCATGGACAATTTGTATCTGGGATGAGCAATCATTGTCAAGTGCCAAAAAAATATTATACAGCAGGTGGAAGACTCTGAAATTTTCTTGTCTTGCAGTATATGTGAACCTGAAGCACCAGCAAGTTGGTAGCAACAACAGGGGAGGGCTATTGCCTTAATGCTCGGTTTGGAGGCATCTTAGAGGCATCTGGCTTGATGTTCTGGGGAAAAGGATGTTAGACCAGATCAGAGATAGCCAACATGGTGCTTTCCAGATGTTATAGTATATCATATCATATAATTGCAGAGTTGGAAGGGACCAGGAGCGTCATCTAGTCCAACCCCCCTGCAATGTAGGAATCTCCTGCCCAACATGGGTCTCAAACTTGTGATCATGAGATTAATAGTCTCATGCTCTGGTGACCATTGGACTACAGCTCCCTTCATTCCTGACCATGCTGGTTGACTGGGACTGATGGGAGCTGGAGTCCAGCAACCTTTGGATGGCACCACATTAGCTAGACTTGGACAAGTTGGACCTTTGGTCCGATTCAGAGGGCTCTTGTGGCAGTCCCCAAAAGAAAGGCTGGAGGTTCAAAACGGGACCATGGTCTAATCATGGCCCAACTCTAGCCCATATCAGTTTGCCTGTCTATATGTATTTGTAATATTTCTGTGCCATCTTTTGGGGCAAAGCCCTTCCAAGACAAAAAGCCAGTTCAGAGATGGAGCCAAATGTGTGTGTGATAGCAAAATGATTTTCCAAAGAGTGCAGGAAGCCTTGTAGTTGGGAATGGATGAATCTGTCAATTTCAGTTTCTTTTCATTTCTCATTTTCCCAACTTTACACACAGTTCTCCAATTTCCACATCAGTTTGTGAAGTCCTCATGAAAACTCAACAGCATCTTAGTGTGAATTTCTCCTGATATACACATTTTTGTATGCAGTTTTGCCTAATAAACTCACTTTTGCAAAGCAACTTTACCTAAAATAAAGCATTTTTTTTACACTTTCAAGAATATTTGCACTTTTATACATACTTTACCCTACTAATTTTTGTACATATTACTTGGCCAGAAAACTACATTGCAAAATTCAGAGATGTGTGAATTTTGAAAGATCACTATGTTCAGTTCACACATTGTTTTGGAAAGCGAAAATTAGGTAAGCTCGTTTTTAATTACAAACTGAAGCAAATTTCTCCCCCTTGTAGTATTCAGTTGGGGGAAATCATTAACCTTCCCCAAATAATCTCCAGCTGCCACTGAACTATTATGATCAATTGACCAGTTAGATCAGGTTGCCAACTAACTTAAAAACTTGCAATCAATGGGCCTGCAGCTTTCAAAAACAGCTTTGTTTGTTTGGTTTGGTTGTACTTTTCTCTGAGGGTGGTTCTTGGGAGTTCCTCTGCCCCAGTGCAAAAGCCAACGAAGCCAATTGCTGGACTTAGCCCAGGAATCAAATCTTACTTTGATTATTGGCTCACTAGGCGTGTGCTGCAAGGTACTTTCCTTGGGAACTAGATCTGCTCGTTTGATCATCACCACAGAGAAAAGGCAAAAGCTCAGCTCAAATGTGATGTGTTGCCTGAATGATCCACAATGTGATGTTTGCCAAAGGACTGCCCATGATGCCACATTATATTTTATTGGAGTAGAGCAGGGGAGGGGAGGGTCTTCACTCAAACTTCCAGCTTGGCAGTTAAACGCTGAAGACAAGAGACAGGAAGAAATTCCCTTGTGGTCCTGCCTTAAGTGGCCCTGGGCAGGTTGCTATCCCATAGTCTCAGCTGTAAAATGGGAGAAAGAGTGGAGCTGGCCCATATTATTTTGCCACCCCAAAGAACAGCATCAATAAATCTAAGAGGTTCATCCTCTGCATTGCAAGTAATGCTTGGACATACCGGTTGGGTTGCATCCTGCTTCCTTTGGCCAACTTGTGATGAAAGTTGAATTGTGACCCTGAATAATGTGTCATGGCTTGGAATGGCTGTGCAGCTCTACATAAAATCTGGTTCTGGTTCACACAACTATGATTATCACTTGACCACTCTAATATGAAGTCATGGGGTGAATGTGTGAATGAACTATCCCAGCTATTAGACAGAACCACTATAGCGCATCAAATCAATACAATTGTGGTTTTTTAGTGGAGTCAATTAACACATTCAAGCCACCACTGAGGACTGGGGTGACATATGCATGCTCGCTACTGATAGCTGCAACATCAAGTTCAGAGATATAACACCACAGATACAGCTTTCATACTCTCCTCATTTCAAACTGGCACACTCACCCAAACAATGTAACATTAGTCCATTCATTGCATGAGTTTTAGGCAATCAACCATTTAAATCTCTATACTAGCATGTGATGGAAGGGTGGTGAAAAGTTCTAAAGGGAGAAAGGCACACTTTCATAGAATCATAGAACTGTAGAGTTGGAAGGGACCCTGAGGATATGCAGGTATCCAACCCAATATGCAGGTATCCCTTATCAGGATCAAACCTGCAACCTTGGCATTATCAGCACCATGCTCTAACCAGCTGAGCTATTCTGTCTTTCTCAGCAGGCATCAACCTAGAAAGGGTAACCTCACTTTCTCACGCACAGGAGAGAACATTTGGTTAAAATGCTACTCGCTATCTGGAGAATAATAATAATAATAATAATAGTCATCATCATCATAATCTTGCAGGGAACATCTTTTTAGTCAACCAACATGTTTAAAATCCCTTCACCTAATGGTTGGATTCTAAGCGATTAACCAAATCCGAATGTGCAACCCCGCTTCCACCCTAACCCAGCTTCGCCGTGGAGTCAGTTCCCACAATCCGTGGCCAATCCAGCAATCGCCTGTAGCGAAACCACCCAGCCCTGTGCGCTCGGGCAGAGATGCGAGTCCGCCTCAAGAAGCATAAGTTTCCACCCCACACTGGCCTCCGGCGAAGAGAAAATGTGAAGCTCCGTTTGTCTATTAAAGGGGCTACTAATCAACTAATTCTAACCTGCGCCAAGGGACCATCCGCCTCTAAGGACATCCATGCGCAAGTTTTGCTCTCTTCCCTTACAGTCCAGAGGATTTCCCCGCTGCCCTCTCCCTGGCAGGATCCCAAAGAAACTCTGCCTGCCCCCTGCCCCTCCTCCTCCTCCTCTCTGGCTGTCCAAGACCCCTCCTTCCTTCCTTCCTTCCTTCCCAACCCGGGGGGATTCCGGCTCAGGGAGAAAGCAGCACCCACCTGGAAAGCGCAGACCAGTTCTTTCTACCGAAAGCCATGCTGATCTCCTCCGCTGGGCTTGGCCAGTGGCGGTGGCTGCTCGCTTCTTATTCTTTCCAAGGCGCTTGCAAAACTTCCCGGGGCATCAAGGCAGGAGCGAGATCCTCGGGGAAGAAGAGCACCCCGGTTCTCACGAGGCGGAGAGTCCCGCTGCGCTCGCCCGTCCCCTTCCTGCCTCCTCCGGGCTGCGCTGCGCTGCGCACCTTTCCCCTGCGGTGCCACCCGTCGACTGCCGGGCCGCCTGCATCACATGGTGCTGTTATCTACCTTGACAGGCTGGGAGCTGTAATTTGTCTATTAGCAGCACCTTGCAAAAGGCACCCTGCGAGGGTGGGACGTGACCCAGCCTGCGCACAAAGGCAGCCATTCTTTGGTTGCCCGGGCTGGGGAAGAGTTTGAATTCAGCTCCACGCTAGGGCCAAGGCGCCCTGGGTTTTCGGGGGCAACTCCCTGCTCAGAACCAGTTTTTCCTGCCTCTCCGACTCTGCCTCCGGTTTCTCCACGGCTGTGCAGGCAGAGGAGGTGGAAAAGGGAGAGAGAGAGGGTGGAGAAAAACACTCCATCAAGTCATCCGTGTCCCACTGAATCAGAGGATCAGAGGCACCCAGATGCTTAGAGGGCCAACTTGCAACTTGGTCACTTTCATGGCCATAGCGGGGGGAGGGACGGGGCCAGCTCCCCCTCCCTAAATCAATACAAATCCATACAAATCTGAAGTTTTGACCCCCTAACAAAAGCCTGCCCCCCCCCAAAAAAAAATCGTGGTTACACCCATGGTCACCATGTCAATTTTTTTAAAAAAAAAAAAGAGAGAGAAGCAGACTTTCCCAAGGCTTGTTTCCAAAGGAAGTCCCTGTCTATGAGACCTAATGCTGGTGGCAAATGGGTGGTGATCATTTTGTTTTTGAACCATCATTGCGATTGCCTGTGATTTGCTGGGCTGTGGCAGGTTCCCAAGGAGTGAGTCACAGGGCCCATGAAGGAGTTGGAGTTGTGCTCTATCCAGCCTTGTGAAGTTAGGAGGCTGGATGAGGCGGGTGCCTCCCTGTACAACACCCACCGACACCTGAGCCCCTTATCCAAGACAGGTGAAGCAAGGTGCGCTGATCTGAAGCTGCTTGCGGAACAAGTTCGAGAGCAAAGTAAATAGCACAGATCTGAAACTCATTTCAGTCGAAAGATGACATCGTTTGGGATTATCTTTAAAAGCACAGACTTCTAATCCTCTTTGGCCTAACCCTGACGGCGGTCGTGCATGCAGAGTCGCCATCATTTCTAAATGCATCATTAAATGAGGGCTTGCATGTGGGAAACTGTTATCCCAGGGTTTTCTGGACACACAGATCCCTCTTTCAAATGTCCTCTTACTAGAATTTTTTTCACCCTCTGACTAATGGGAACAGTTTTGCTGTCCTAACCATTATTTATGTTTGTGTCTTAATAACATGTAGCCACAGATGGGCAGGGAGAAGGGACACTTATTTTGTTTTATTATATAGTAAAGTTTTATTTATTTTAAAATGTACTGTGGCTTTACATTACATAAATGATCTCAAAGCAGTTTGCCAGATCAGAAATATTAAAATACAGTAAAATAAATCAATGGGGGGGGGCAAAATGACCCACACTCCAGATACCTTTCCTGAATGTTCAGCTTACATTTAAAAAGAAAACACCAGGTGCTACAGTCCTATGCACACTTAATAGACATTGGGTGATATTCAACTAAGTTTTAGGAAGAATAGCCCCATTGAAAATAATGGACCCAATGGACCCAATTGAGTCATGTTCATTAATTTTAGTGGGTCCCTAAGATGGCTGGCACTGTGGGTTAAACCACAGAGCCTAGGACTTGCTGATCAGAAGGTCGGCGGTTCGAATCCCCATGACAGGGTGAGCTCCCGTTGCTTGGTCCCTGCTCCTGCCCAACTAGCAGTTCGAAAGCACCTCAAAGTGCAAGTAGATAAATAGGTACCGCTCCGGCGGGAAGGTAAACAGCGTTTCCGTGTGCTGCTCTGGTTCACCAGAAGTGGCTTAGTCATGCTGGCCATATGACCCGGAAGCTGTACATCAGCTTCCTCGGCCAATAGAGCAAGAGGAGCGCCGCAACCCCAGAGTCATCCGCAACTGGACCTAACGGTCCGGGGTCCCTTTACCTTTTAAGATGGCTGCATGGTGCCTCATATACCTCCTTCTGGCAACTCATGTAGCCAAGCTGGAGCCAAAGGTATTGCTCTGCTTTCCTTTGGACCACATCAGTGAGGCCAATAGGGAGGTATTGTCGTCTGGGCAGCCCAGGACCTCCATACACACTGCCCAGGCTTGCACCCTGGGGTGGTCACTTCAGTGCTACTAATGCAGCAATTTGATTTCGCCTCTAGAGACTCACTCCTTTGTCTCTTGAGACAGACAGATGCCAACAACTCTGATTGAAATTTAGCTGACTACCACCATATCTATCTGTCTGTCTGTCTGTCTATCTATCATCCATCATCTATCATCTATCATCTCCAAGGGTCAGTAACAAGCAACAGATGGAAACTGGTGTAAATGGAAATGCAATGGAGTATATATTAGAGCTGGGGGGGGGGGGGGGATAAAACTATTTCAGAGAATCAAAGACTCAGCTGAGTGGGACTTCTGAGTACAGCCTCTATAACTGAGCTGATTAAAAGAAACCCTCTTGTCTAGATTCTTGCTTAGAAAACCACTGCTTTTGAAAGCCATTGTGGTACCATGGACAGTGTGCTTTTTCTCTTTGTACAACTTTGAGGCAATCCATGGTTCAGTCCCTGCTAATGCTCCAAGCTTGTTAGTGAAAGAAGATAAATACATTCTCTCTATGTGTGTGTGTGCAGATAAATATATGGTGAATTTATATATTTGGTTCTGAAGCATTTTTTCTTAAAAAAAATACATAAGATATTGACAAAAACTGTCAGGCAGAGAGCGAAAAGAAGGAAATCTCCCCATCTGTAAAATGCAAATAATATGAATTTGCTTCCATCATTCATTAAACAAGTAATGTCCTTTTAAAAAATGACATTCATGAGATGTGCAGGAATTCATGCTTGTTGTGAAAGGGTGTCAAATTATGGTGATGTCAACAGAATGTTTCCTTCATGTGTGCAGAGGGGAGTGGGGGGGTTAACTCATATTACCATTGCAACTCCATAAAATAAAATTGTACTAATCCATGAGGAAAAATGAGCCTGGTTACCTCTCCCTTATGATGTTCCATGTGCAGGAGGTTTTAGACCAGGGATGGGGAACTGGGGAACCTCTGGCAGTTGCCGGAATACAGTTCCCATAATCTCTGGCCATTGGCCATTCTGGCTGGGACTGATGGGAGTCAAAGTCCAAACAACATCTGGAAGGCTACAGGCTCCCATCTGTTTTAGATGCTAAAAACTTAGACAATGCATATCTGGGTATCATGCACATCTGCACATCCAGATAAATACTATAGTTAAACACTTAAACATTGTAGCATTTCAAGAATCCTGCTCAAAATCCAAGGTGGTTTTTTTAAAGCAGCTTTTTAGTTCATGTGATTAGCGTGAAGGAGAGAGAAACATGCCGGAAAAGAGATGATAGATAGATGAGAGAGAGAGAGAGAGAGAGAGAGAGAGAGAGAGAGAGAGAGATGATGATGCTGATAGATGATAGATAGATAGACAGATAGATAGATGATAGATAGATAGATAGATAGATAGATAGATAGATAGATAGATAGATAGATAGATAGATAGATGATAGATAGATAGATAGATAGATGATAGATAGATATAGATAGATGATAGATAGATAGATGATTGATAGATAGATAGATAGATAGATAGATAGATAGATAGATAGATAGATAGATAGATATAGATATGTAACACCACAATAGCCCATTCAATGTTGGAGGCAAACAAAATTAAAGGGATGACCCGTTGATCCAGTGCACTGACTAGTGATGTTAAATTCTCGAGAATAATCTTTTGGAGAATATTCCTGAAAACATTCTCAAGAATATTCTCAATTAATGAGGTGTGTACATTTAAAGCAGCTGTGTAGACGACACAGAATTTACAGTTTGTGGAGAATATTCTCCGGAGAATTTTCTTGCAGAGAATATTCTCAAGAATGTTCTCCGGTGAATATTCTCACCTCCCGTCACTAGCACTGACATTGTACTACATTAACTAGGGACCTCCTCTGCCCTATCTTTATAAGGCTGCTGGGGAAGGCATGATTTGACTAAAATTGGGCAGTCAGGAAACAGAGCTTGTGGATTTTGTTAAGGAATCCCTCAAATCTCCCACCCCAGTAACTGAAGCACTGGGGTACCTTTCACAGCGAATGTCCTAAGGAGGTCTGCCTTATCAGTTAAGACCCATGGCTCTCCTGGGTTAAGGCATTGCCAGGCGTTCTGCTCAGCTCTCTGCATTATCCAGTGTAAGCATTCAACAAAGTACTTAATTCAACAAAGGCACAGCTGAAGGGGTCTGGTTCAGGTGCTTTTGTGAACCAGGCAGATTCCCCTTTCGCAATCCCTTCCTCGCTGTCCCCTCCCTTATTTTTATTTCCTACATTTAATCTTCTCATCCAGTAAACCTGAGTGACTGGTTGGTTTGCCAGCAATCTCCCGTCCCGCAGGCAGAATGGGAGGGGAATTTTCTTGTTTATTTTTTTTTTAACAGTTGACTGCAGACGGTTAACATAGCATTATTTTAATGAAAGGTTCCTGACTGCAATTACCCTCTAAAATGATAAATCTGTCAAAAGTCTTTCTCCTCCATTTTTAGCAAACTTTCCTCTCCAATGTGCTCTTCTTAAGCAATTTTTCATGCGTGCAGAAAACTCCGTCCGTTGGAAGGAATCCTTCAGTACTGTCACCCTGCCACTAACGAAGGACATCATCATCATCATCATCATAACAACTTCAAAGCTCTCCATTAGCATTGATGAAGCAACAGACCTTTTGGTTATACACCCAATGCAAAATTAAGCTTCAGAAGTCATTGCCATGGGTTATTGTTGAGGCTAAGAGCTTAGCAGGCCTTTCAAAAGGATTAGGCTTTTATAGGGACAGAAAGGAACACCTACAGTTAGCACAGACATTTCTAAAGGACTGAAAGCCGTAATGGGATTAACTGTAACAACAGTAATTCAGAATTTAAACAAATAAATAAAAAAGTCACCTCAATCAACAGGCAGCTTTACTTTGGCTTGTGGTGCATTGCTGATAAATGTATATTAAGAGCATTTTAAAGTGGTATAAAATGGGCATTAATAATAATAATAATAATAATAATAATAATAAATCTGCCATTATATTACACTAGACCAATTAAAATCAGACTGAGAAGAAGATTCAGGTTCAAATCCTTGTTGGGCAACCAAACTCACAATGTCATCCTGGGCCAACCTACTCTACCACTTAGGGTTACTTTGAGGGTAAAAGGATGGGGAAGGGATAATAATATAAGACAATCCTGCTGGATGAAGCCAATGGCTCATCTAGTCTAGCTTCCTGTTCTCACTGTGGCCAACCAGATGCCTGGGAGAAACCTGAAAGCAGGACGTGAGTGCAAAAGCACTTGCACACCTGTGATTTCCAGCAACGGATATTCAGAGCCCTGCTGCTTCTGACAGTGGAGAACGAACATAGCCAACATGGCTACTAGCCATGGGCCAGCCCCATCCTCCACAAATTTGTCCAATCTTCTTTTAAAGCCATCTAGGTTTGTAGCTATCCCTGCCTCCTGTGGGAGAGAGTTCCACGGTTCAACTAGGTAAAGAGTGAAGTATTACTTTCTTTTCTCTGTCCTGAATCTTCCAGTGCTCAGCTCCACTGACTATCCAGAAGTTCTAGAGTAAAGAGAGAAGGAGAAAAACTTTTCTCTTAGCCACTTTCTCCATGCCAAGGATAATTTTGCAAACTTCTACCATGTCACAAGTCCGACATTTCCAAATGTGTTAGATTTCCAAACATTGGAGCAGAGTGTGTGGTGAGCGTCTCTTTTATGGCTTCGATCCAGACTTTGCTCCCACTGCTCCCCACCTCCCCCATAGTGCCTTGAACCCTTTGAAATTTTGCTCCAGAGAATTGAGACTCTCTGGAACAGTGTATCTGAGTGCCGCAGTGGGAAGAAGAGTGTGCAGAATCATCTCATCTCCTTCCTCCAGCAGGATCCCACCAATGGATTGAAAACCTTCCTTTGACAGAAGAAACATAACACAGAGCCACAGTTCTCAGAGTTCCCAGAGAAGGGAGGTTAATTGTTAAACCACTCTGGAAGTTGTACCTCTTTGAGTGGAATAGGGTTCTCCTAAGAACTCTCAGCACCCATAAAAACTACAATTCCCAGCATTCTTTGGGCGAAAGCATAGCTGTTTAAGTGATACAATAGTGCTTTTAGTGTATGGTGCAATTACGGCCTTAGTTAAGGTGTGTGGCGTGTTGATAGCTGCCTTCCAACAAATGCAAACCATAAAGCTTTGATGGCCTTGTACTTGTATCACAGAGAGGCAATAAAATTATTATCTTTCACCAGCAAGTGGGTTTTATTACACTGCTTTAAAAGATTTATTTCCCAGTCTAGTCTTCTGCAGACCTATCAGCACCCAATATTTCCCAACCAGCAATTATGCTAATCTCAGGTTAATCTGAGGAGGGTGAGTGGAGTGTATGGCTTGGTTTTATCATTCTTACTTTCAGCACTTTTGCTTTTCTTTTGTGATCAGCAGTTGGAGCTAAGATGCTATTTGTACATCATCATAGCAAATCTTTTGTGCATTCTGTGGGGAAAGCATTAAACTCACAGTTTATATAAAGACATAACAACCATTTTCCACTATGGAGACTTTGTTGAGATACTCAGATGAAAACTTTGAATCATCCAATGTGAAGAAAAAGTCTGCTAAAATGAAATTATCACAATGATTATGAGAGATAACTATGGTAGTACTGTGGTGTGGTTTACATCCTGTTTTGCAAAAGTGCTCTGATGCAATTGCATAAATGTCATGCTATTTTAGAGGAAAAATCTTGGTGGCACCTCCAGCAAGAAAAAGAACAAATATATGGGAAAGAGATGCAACCACATTGTGGCATAGGACTGTGAAGCACAAAAGGGAAATTCAGTGCAATGAGAAAGCTGCTTTGGGTGCATTTTTATGGCAGATTCTCTGGCTGAATGCACAGTCCTTTTGCAGAATGAAAATATAGAATACGTCTGCATCTATAGTGTGTGCATGAGAACAACTGAGTCCAAAATCTGTACTCAAATCTTTTTTTCTCCTGAACTCTCCAAGAACTGCCTTGTTTGTTTGTGTGTGACAAGGTTTAATCAGCAATTCTCTTACCTGCTCCAGTGAGGGCATCCACTGGCTCCCTGGGGGGCAGGCACAAGGTAATGTTTAACTTTATCTCTACCCTGTTTCTGGTACTTTAGCTGGGCAATAAGCAATGTAAAAGAGCCTGGTGTTGTTGTTTTTAAGACAAGCTGTACTTCTGACCGAAGCAAAACTGGAGGTCATTTAACCATTACAGTGGTACCTCGGGTTACAGACGCTTCAGGTTACAGACTCCGCTAACCCGGAAGTAGTACCTCGGGTTAAGAACTTTGCTTCAGGATGAGAACAGAAATCGTGCTCCGGCGGCGCAGCAGCAGTGGGAAGCCCCATTAGCTAAAGTGGTGCTTCAGGTTAAGAACAGTTTCAGGTTAAGAATGGACCTCCAGAACGAATTAAGTTCTTAACCCGAGGTACCACTGTACTCCTACCTTCATTGTGATTTGCCCATTTCCCAGAGCTGTAGAGGCGGCTACTGACCCACTTGAAAGGAATAAAAAATAAGGCATCTCCACCCAGCAGATCTCAAAGCATGATTGACTGCGAGAGGAAGCATCTGAGAAGACAGACACCTAAAGATATCCCAGAAGCAGGTTATTGCTTCAGTTTCAACAAAGGAAAAGAGAGTCCCACCCCACCTCATTTTTAAAAGCTTAGTGGAAGGGACATGCCAACCGTCTGGACATCTTCATAGCTTCCATTCGGTTACAAACCTCTCACTTTGCTCATGTACATTGGAATCTTGATTTCTGGACCTTCTGCTTGCAGTTGAGCCAGTACTGCTATTAGCCAGGATAAAGAGCTTTTGCATACTTTCAAGTGAGAGTTGCTGTCATCAAGTTTTGGAATAAGAGCCTCACGTGAACTCGGTGTAGGATCATTGAGTAGATGAACATTTTTAACTGTAACTGCTCTTAGAATGCTACTAATTGTTTTACAACGTTTTTGCAAGTCACCCTCTGCCACTGTCCAATACAGTGGTGCCTTGGTTTAAGAACAGCTTAGTTTATGAACAACTTGGATTAAGAACGCTGCAAACCCGGAAGTAGGTGTTTTGGTTTGTGAACTTTGCCTGCTTCCTGTTGAGTGTGTTCCATTTGTAAATTGAGTCCCCCGCTGCTATGGGAAAGCACACTTTGGTTTACGAATGCTTTGGTTTAAGAACAGACTTCCAGAATGGATTAAGTTCGTAAACCAAGGTACCACTGTATACACACACACGGGCATACAAACTATTTTTGCACCATTGCACCTGTAAGCCCACTACACTTCTTTTCGCAGTAACTATGCTGGAATTCTTCATGACCACATAACTGCCTTAATTCACAATCTTGTATTGAGGTTCCTTTTCCACCTCCGTGCACAGACAGACAGACAGACACCTTCTTTTCCTTGGACACTGCCTCAAATGCAACAGAGAGCATAACTAACAGGAAATCTTGGTGGTGGACCAATCCTGGTCTAGAATTATGTAGGTGAAAGATCAACAACAAAAACTGCACCTGTGACACTTGAGAATTCACAAAAGATGATGAAATTAAATCCACGTCATCACTTGTAAGGCTGCATGACTGACTAGGGAATGAGGCATGCCACACTCTGCCTTAAGTGTCCTAGGGATTTATAGCAACTTGTAAAGTTTACAGCATGGGTAAGCAAACTAAGGCCCAGGGGCCGGATCTGGCCCAATCGCCTTCTAAATCCAGCCCGCGGACGGTCCAGGAATCAGTGTGTTTTTACATGAGTAGAATGTGTCCTTTTATTAAGAATGCATCTCTGGGTTATTTGTGGGGCATAGGAATTCGTTCATCCCACCCCCAAAAAAATAAATATAGTCTGGCCCCCCACAAGGTCTGAGGGACAGTGGACCGGCCCCCTACTGAAAAAGTTTGCTGACCCCTGCTTTACAGGGAACACTAAAATGATGGGGAAGTAACTATGCTCTTTTATGTGCACATATGGGACAAAGAGGAATACATGGGGCCTGCAGGTCAAACCACAGATTTCCTTTTATTTTACTAATTACTGAATAGAGGTTCCATTGTTAGAGATACTTGCAGACCTCAAAGTGTGTAAACTAAAGGATTTGCACCTTAAATACTTTGTTTTTGCAAGTCCTTCTCAAACCCTTCTTTTCATTATCTGCTGCATAACCAGTAAATCACACATAATCAGTACATAAACAGTGAATCGTATTTCTCTTTCTCCTGAAGACTTGTGCTATAAATGTGAGAATTTCCACATTTGATAGAAATGTAAATTTCTAGGCTTGTGGTTGCAGAGAAATCCAGCATAATCCTGCATTATAAAATCTCACTGGTAAAAACAGACAGTTGCTTAGATAAATAATTGCCTTGTTGTTGTTGTTGTTGTTGTTGTTGTTGTGTATGTAATATCATTGAATGAAACCCAGAAAAAAAGTAGAGCAAGTATGAAGTCACTTGAAATCAATGGAACCAATGTACCCAGTCTAATAAATTCAATGTATAAAGTACCTCAGTTAATCTGTACAACAGCCATGCAAAGTAGGTCAGTATTATTACCCTCACACAGCAGATGGAGACTGGAGACTGAGAGATCAGTAGGTCACTGAGAGTTGGTTATCCCTACGCCAGCCCCAAACCCAAACCCATCGATGGCTGGTGGGGATTTTGTTTTTCTTCCATGGAGAATAAACACATCTTCCTGGTTCAGTTGTAGGGTGGCCCAATAAAGCCAGTCATTCTGCCTTGCCATCAGTTTTCCTGCTTTGGGGTTTGGCCAGCAGCAGCTTGCAGACAACGTGTTCCAAGGGAAAGATTGTTCCATTCCATGGGATCCTTCCCTCTCCTGTGCTTGCAGTGAGGCAGTAATGCATAGTTTTGTGCCTACTATGGGCCTTCCCTCAGAGAAGGTTTGCTCATATTTGATCCTCAGCACTTTGTACTATGACTGGGCACATTATTACCCAGCTGGGCACATTGCCACCGACAAACCACAGCAGATCAGCACACTGCCTGCTGGGATGCGCTTTACCGGTAACTAAGTTCACAGAGTTCTTTGTGCATCGTAGAAAAATGCTTCCACCTCATGCAGCAGGAATGCGGTCCCTACATGTGCCAGTAGTCAGTAGCCATTCCAGTCTACAGCTGGAGAGACAGGTTAGTGCTCAGGCTTATCTAAACCTGAATTCCTAACTAAACTTACAAACCAGCTGGATTATATTTTGAGATAGCCAATGTAGTGTGCGTGGATCTCCACTTATGCAGTAGAGCTTCTCCTTTCTGTCCTCCCCACACAGGTAAAAGGTAAAGGTAAAGGACCCCTAGATGGTTAAGTCCTGTCAAAGGTGATTATGGGGTGTGGCACTCATCTTGCTTCAGGCCAAGGGAGCCAGCGTTTGTCCACAGACAGCTTTCCAGGTCATGTGGCCATCATGTGACTTCTGGCCCAACAAGACACCGTGACAGAGCCAGAGCGCACGGAAATGCCTTTTACCTTCCTGCCGCAGTGGTACCTATTTATCTACTCACACTGGTGTGCTTTTGAACTGCTAGGTTGGCAGGAGCTGGGACCGAACAATGGGAGCTCACCCTATTGTGTGGATTCGAACCACCAACCTTCTGACCGGCAAGCCCAAGAGGCTCAGTGGTTTAGTCCACAGTGCCACCCGCTCCTTTTACCTTTCCCCACACAACCCTACATGCCCTCCACACCCTTTACCACTGCATCATAACCCGTGAAAAGCCACTCTGGAAAGGGGAAAGGCCTTAGAAAGGGGAAAGGCTGGTTTTTCAATCCCTGCGTTCTCCTGTCTGAAACCCCAAAGGACTGCTGTCAGTCAGTGCAGACTCAGCAGAGTCGTCTTCTTATGTTAAAGTCTGGAGAGCTTCCAGAGCAGCCTCCGGCACAGTGCATGGCTCCAGGGTGCATCTGGGAGCGCAAGAAAATGTAATGCAGAAGGCTCAAAAAGTCACGAGACCTTCAGCAAAAAATCATTAGCAACCCTCAATGAAAGACCTGCTGGTTTTTGTCTGGGATTGTCAAGAGTTATCAAGCCATCCTCACATCCTCTTTTTCATGAGCAGGTAAAATGAGAGTCATCATAGCAATCCATAGCTAAAAGCAGAAGTTGGCAAATGTGTCCTCCTTTTTGCTCTTCAAAATATGGCAAGCCTATAATCTGTGCCCATATGATATAGAGGGTGTTGCCACCTGCTGGTAATGAATGAACTTATATTTCGCCTCTTTCGTCTATGGCTTTCCAATTCAAAAACAACCTTTTCAGAATGGCAAATCAGGCAGATGGTGCCAAAGACCAGAACTCTAATGTATCTGCCAGAGATGGATCAAATGATCAGGACAGGGAAAACTCTTTCCTCCCGCAAGGGAGATGGCTTGGCAGTAGGAGATGGCAAGGATGCAGCAACTGTGTGCAACTGGCCTCCAGTCACTGGTGTCGGGAGGGTGAAGGAGGAGCCGATGGTGAGTGGCAGACACAGGATTGACTCCTCCAGTGTGTTTACACGGCACTGACCTTGCCATGGCCTCGCTCCTACCCTTTTCTGCCCCAGTATGCAGCAACAATGTGGGGGACATCTGGCCAGCTGAGCACTGCTGCCCCACCCCTGCTGCTCTCTGCTATAGTGACTTGTGTTGCAGTAATACTTATGATGATTATCATCTTCATCATCATCATCTATTCAACTTATACACCACCCTATACCCAGAGGTCTCAGGGTATTTCACAACAAAACCACAACATATAAAGTCAAACCAAAAGCAGTAACCCAATAACCCCATCCCCCAAAAAGCCACATTCTAAAAGGGTGTTGGATGCCAATAAGACCAGCCAAAGGCCTGGTTAAAAAAGGAATGTTTTTGCCTGGTGCCTAAAAGTGTATAATGAAGGCGCCAGGCAAGCTTCCCTGGGGAGAGCATTCCACTGCAGAGAAGGCCCGTTCTCGTGTTTCCACCCTCTGGACCTCTCGAGGAGGTGGCACATGAAGGAGGGTCTCAGAAGATGATCTCAGGGACCAGGTAGGTTCATATGGGAAGAGGCGATCCTTGAGGTATTGCAGTCCTGAGCCGTTTAAGGCCTTATGGGTCAAAACCAGCACTCTGACACTTACAAAAGGTGAAGTGGTCAGAGTGCTGTACCAAAACTTGTTTTCTAAAATACAGGCCTAATTCTCACCATCCTGTAGTAGCAAAGCTGTCTGGACTTTGCTTCTTCATTCGTTGGATAGGAGTGCATATTCAAAGCTCCCCCACTCAAAGTAATTCTTCCACAAAGAAATGTGATGTCGGGAAGTGGGTGGTCATATGTGATCTGAGCAGCAATTAATGCAGCAATATTGGGGAAGCATCACAGTACAAACCATGAAGCAGAATAAATCCATCACTAAGACAATATTATTGCGTCTAGAACATGTTGCGAGATACACCCACAATTAAACACCTGCCTGTAGGGCCCAGAGACAGGAGACAAAACAAAGCAAGCTGGTGCCCTATTCGTAGGGAAGCAAGAAGATGTGGAATGGGCAATATGGAAACAGTGAAATGGCTCAAGCACTTCCCACCTCCGTTAAACCTCATGATCAACAACTCAATCCACCCACCATCATGTACGGCATTCCAGGAAACTAGAAAGAAACACATTCTGTGTATTCATCCTCAGTGCTGCTGTGCTGTTGTTTTTAATGTACAGAGAGAAACAATGTTTGCATCGCCCCAAACTGCATGTATCAGAAGAATCAGCATGGAGAGGTCAGGGGGACTTTTTGATTGAGAAAGACAGAGCACCAAAGCTTCCCTAGCAATGACATTAACAGCATTCAGTCAGTAAGTTATAGCATCAATAGAGCCCTCTGTATGGTCAAAAGATTTGTGCAGGATGGTCATCTATGATACAGGATCCTCTTTCCTTTTGCACTTTACAGATTCATAATCTTAGACCTGGCATGCCTCTCCCTCAGCCCGTAAGAGAATGCAAAGTGCCAATGATATGGCCTTGGAGGGAAGACTGCAGTGCAAGATCATTGCAATAGTCATCATCAGGACTCCTGCTAGCAAGATGCTGGGTGCTTCCACAGGAAGCTTGATGGGCTCATGAAGGGCTGAGAGGGCATGAAGTGCAAAGTCATAGTGATCTTTTAATAATGTCTGTACATGCAGCGACTCTACAGCTAATGCAGGAAGATGAGGCAAGACGAGGGAGCACAGGGCGGGGGGGGGGAGGAAAGAAAGAGGTGCAGGCACTGTGGGACAGGATCTTCATTTTTCCATGCAGGCCCTGGAAAAGAATGGAAAGCAATTGTTCAATTAAACTGGAGTTGGCCTCACTTACAGTGATCACACAGGCACTGTCACGATCCTTGAAGCCTTTCCTTTGCACAAACAGCAGTGTTTAATAACAAACATTCCAAGCAAAATAAAATACTGTAACTTAAGTAACAATAAAATAGAATGCCCATCATAGTTGGACTAAGTAGCCAACACTAGGTGACAGCTGAGCGAGGACCAAAGACTAAGGAATAACGATCATTACACCCACGCTTTCTATGGCCACTGCTTTCTGCACTGCTGTACCACCCAGGTGCCAACTATGCTATGTTATTGTCAACTCTGACAGCAGAATTTCTGCTCTTCTTGTGCCAAATTTTTAATGACTGAGCGCATTTATACAGGCAATGTGTCACTGGATCCCATCACTTGGCAGTGTATTACATGTCTGTCTGCACCAAGAGCATCATGTGATGACTCCAACTGTGAGGAACTAAAACAACTACAACAACAACAACTAGTGCCCATTCTATCAGGCTACCTTAACTGTTTCAATCCCAGCTGTTCCTAAGTGTTGCCCCTTCCTGCCCATCCTTTTTTTCCTTTTGTGCCATGTCTTTTAGCTTGTAAGCCTGTAGGAAAGAACTGTCTTGCTACTGATCTTGTAAGCTCCTTTGGGATGCTTTTTGGATGAAGAGTGGGGTAAAATGCTTTAAATAAAAGGAAAGACAAATCTGGACCAACAGGAACCTACTGGAAGGGGCAGCAGCAGGAAGTGGATAGGAGGAATGATAGTTGGGTTACACACAGTCATCTCACCAGTCAGGTTTTAGTTGCATGAGAATGGAATATTTTTTTCCCCTTAAGTATGAGCTGGTTGGCTATATATCCCTTCTCACAAAACTCAGAATTCAACATAAAGGCTTTGAAAGATGGAGGGACATGAGGAGAATGTGGTCAGATTAAGTATTCAGGCTTCTTTTTGCAGTCCACACTTTCTTCATTTGCCAGCCTTAGTCCTGTTTACTCTTCCACATCTTTAGTATAGGAACGAGAGCTGAGCATGTGGTGCAGTGATAGCTCTCTACATGGTATAAAGAGAAGTGACTGCTGGACTGGTGATACAGATGATTTTCAGGACTTGATCCTGAATCGTACAACAACCTCCAGTACAGTCTCTAAGGTGGGGTAGCCAATGTGGTGCCCTCCAGCTCTCATCATCACTGACCTTTGGCCATACTAGCCAGGGATGATGGAAGTCGGAGCCCAACAACATATGTAGGAAAAGAGGATATAGCAGTGAGCACTGGTTAGGAAGCCAGCTGACGCCGACTGGTTCTAACGCAGTCAGTAAGATTTGGATCACTGTTTCTGACACTGAATGGCATGCAGAAAATATGAAATAATTAAAAGCTTTGTGTCTGGACAGATATATTCAGAGATTCAAAAGTTGTTTCCCGTCATTATCTCAGAGACAACGATTCAGTGCCCTGATTGGTATGTCCATAAGTCTATCAGCAAGTCAACTTTCTGAGTCCCAGTTGGCATCTTAATAGGGCACTTTCATGTTCAGGCTTGTAAACATTGTGGCAGGTATCATACCTCCTGTTTCCAAAGCTGTGAGGCTTCCACTATATTTTTTATGATTGTTGTGAGATGCAAAGCACCTTGTAGATCTGCAGTGGGGAATCTGTGATGAACACCCTCAAGAAGTTGTTGGACTCCCAACTCCCATAATCTGTAGTCAACATGGCCAATGGTCAGAGATAGGGATGGGGAAGAAATTTGATTCAGTTCACCCTGAAAGCCAAATTTATCAGCTCACACTCTCTGAAACAGTTTTGAGAATGGAAACACAGCCATCCTCCAAAATCCGCACTTATTTGGCTTTTGCAGTGCAGTTCTCCAACCAAACAAAAATGTATATGTTAGGGGGAAATGTGTATGAAAACGAACAGTGAAAATAACATACAAAAATATAGTATATTAGGAGAAACTGCTTGCAAAATGTGTACATTAATCAAAACTGCAAAATGTGTACATTAATCAAAACTGCATGCAAAAATGTTTTTATTGGAATTTTATAAAAATTCTCACTAAAATGCGGAAACAGTTTCTGGAGGATTTTTTTTTTAAAATGCAATTTTCTGCAGAAATGTGGAGGAACCCAAAAGAAACAAAATTTACAGATCCTTCCAACCCTATTCAGGGATTATGGGAGTTGTAATCAAGCCCTACCTGGCAGGCTACAGGTACCCTATCCCTGACATATATTATCTAGTGTGTGCCCCCAAATAAGTTTGAACCTGTTTTACATAAACAGGCAGTAGTTATTAAAGAGGAAAGAAAGAAAGAAAGAAAGAAAGAAAGAAAGAAAGAAAGAAAGAAAGAAAGAAAGAAGACACAGCCTAAACTTCCACTATTGAATTGAACTCAACGGAGCCAGGAAAATGGTGCTGCTTGTATCTCTATGATACAATGGTTCAATTGCCCAACATTGCCCATTGAGTGGCTTCTGCATTCAAGGAAGTATCAGTCAGGATTCGTGATGATGCTGAGACTGGAACCCTTTACCAATGATAGCAAAATTATTGTGGACAGGAAACTAAATATATAGGAGTAAATTAAGACTGTCATACTTCTCACTGTCCTGTTGGAGCTTTGGCAGCATCAAACATTTTCTTCCTGCCTTCCATTCCTGACATGGCCTCCACATTCTTACGCCAGTCACCCACTTCTACAGGACGCTCCTGTAAAGAAACCAGGAACCTTACCTTAGTACCATGAGAACAGAATAGTAAAGGCAAATTCATAGCACCAGAGCTGTATGTGTATTGTGTGATCCCACCTTAACCACCAATTAAGTGCAATATGGTGCACGGACTTTGGCATCTTGAGAACTCTACTTTCATTTCAAAGTTTCTGGTCCTCATGGCTGTGAAGGTGAAGGTGAAGGTGAAGGTGAAGGTGAAAGTGGGTGGGCAGTGCCCATGGCATCTCAGAATTCAGAGGAAAAAGATTAGGCAGAATTTTCAAAGGCCGTGAGATGGGACTTTGCATTCTGCATTATAACATCTTGCCTTTCTCCAACAACTGGAAGAGGAAGTTGTCCAAATTGGCTTGGGTGTGTGTACACATATCACAGAATCCAGTGCAAATGAACTTTTGAATGAATGAAATTCACACATACTCAACTCTATGAGGACTATGCCTCCTCCTTGCTCACTGGCAACCCATCATGAGCAGACATTGCCATGCCCAAGATTAAAGGTTTGCATGTTGAGTAAAATGTGTTTGTGCAGACGTTCAGAAAGTCTAATCCTGAGTTTTGCCCTCTTAAGGTGGAAGCCAGTAATATCAAGCTGGCCAAATATAATCACAGCTAAACATGGAGTTTTAAGTTGATGTTTTAATCATTGTTTTGCTAAGGTTTTCAGTGTTTTAAGTTGGTTGTTGTTTCATTGTGCATTATATATCTTATGGTTATCTGTAATCTGCCTTATGAGGGCCACACCCAATGAGGTAGCGTAATAATATCCACATAAAACAAAGAGGCCAGGCTCATCACAAACATGCACTGACCACCACATTTTCCCAGCATGCCCCACTGCATGCAGAAAACATTATCTAAACCAGCTTTTCCAAGCCTGATAGCCTCCAGATGTATTGGACTACAACTCCCATCAGCCCCAGCCAGCATGGCCAATGGTCAGGAGAGATGGGAGCTATAGGCCAGAATATCTGAAGGCTACCAAGTTGGGTGAAGCTGATATCAGGCTCCCTTCAGGCTGGGAAGCAACACACACAGGGTCCTTGTATGGCTACCACACCCTTAGATGTTTGGAAAGAGAGACCCACACTGGTGTTCAGGGAGCTTAGCATGCTCTGTTAACCATGGGATACTTTGAGTATCAGGTTCAAGGCATCTTCTGAGCCTAAATGGCATTGTGCCAGAGTTTGGGCCAGTGTTTGGCAGGCACACCAGAGTCTGGGCCAGCTCCTTATCAGGAATTTACCCCATGCTGACATTTTTTCAGCTCTGAATGACTTTATGAGTAATAAAGACAAAGAGTCAGAACATTAAAATTTGCTTCCTCCATATGCAAGCTTGCAAAACACACTGTATGTGTAGTGAGCTCCTCTACTTATTATGAAATAGTTTCTGTTAACTACTGATATTGGGAAAGCTAATATTCAAAACAGATCCCCATATGCTGGCCCAAGCAGTGATTTTTCCGCCTAAGAAAAGCAAGGTGTGAAGACTTTCAGCTCACATGAAGGCTACTTACAAATGTTACCATCGTGATAGGGATCACTTGGTGTGGGAAGACCTGGGTTCAGCAGCCTTCATCCACGATTTCAGCCATTCAATATGTGTGCAGCTGCCACAAATGAACTATTTCAAAAGTGCTTAGCACAACTCTTCAAACAGCTAAATCAATCACGAACTGTCTTGACCGTGAGTCAAAACAAGACATAGTAGAAAGGTCAGCATGAGTAGAAGTACAGACCACAGATAATGAGCAGCTCAAATAAACCATCTCCCACAGAGGTGTCTGGCCATGTGTCAAGATTGAGAAAGCCTGGCCTCAGTTTTCCATGCTCTGGTGTCCTCCAATTTGGACTATTTGAATGTGCTCCATGTGGGACTTCTTTAGCAACTGCTCCCTTCAATTTAGATGGTTGGGAATATCCAAAGGATAGCATTATCATGCTATCATGCAGCCAATTGAAAGAAGGTCAGCACACAGGTAAACCTTTCCTCCATAATCACTTTAAGAAGCAACCACTGACCTTCTCGGTGTCCTCCTTTTTGACAGACTTGAGGTTGGCTCTCAAGTCCATGGATACTTTGTGCTTAGAGCCAAGCAGAGCCCTAAGCATAGCGTCAGCAGAGACACGGACCCTCCGCAAGGGAGGGCGTTTGAATTTCCCCCGAAGGTCAAGCACCTTCAGTTTCAGGTCTTTAATCTGCAGAACAGGAGATCAGAAAAGAAGCCTCATGAAGTCATCAATGGGCATGCAAGACCTAAGGTTAAGTTGGTCAAACCTTTTTTTCTAAACAGGAAGGAGTTCATGTGATCTGACTATCTTTCTCTGCTGCAGGTATGGATGCTCTGGGAATCCCCTAGTGCTAACAGTGAGCGCTCACACCTTCCTTTGTGGGTGCCCTTTGCGGGACTGCGCGCAGCACCCTGGGTCACATGGGACGCACCAGCTGGTTGGGCTGGCCTGCCTCCCGCCAAACCTCAGTTAACCAATCAGCTCTGCTGGGAGGCAGGGCCAGTTGCATAAATAGGAGGCGGAGCCGGCAGCAAACATGCAGTCGGCTCCAGAGAGGCATTCCTGGCAGCAGTTTCACACCTGAATCTTTTGCCATGATCAAACAAAATAGGAAAAGCGCACTGGGTCTCCTTTTCCCACTTTCTTTGTGCACTTTATTAAGCAGCTCCTGCACCAGGAACATCAAACCTGAGAATGTCAGGAGAGCTTCTGCATGGTGAAAAACTAGAACACATGATCAGCCTAAGGGCTTCATTAAAAAAATATATTCCAGAATGATTATAGATGTTCCAGGAGGTGAATTTTCCTATTTTCAGTTCAAACCAGAGATCTCCACCTTCATTCTCTCCGGCCTAAATGCCCTAAGAACCAGGTCCTGGGCCCAAGAGTACAACAATGCACATTGACTGTTATATTGTGAAGATTGCAGCAGATGTCATTTTGTTTTCTTACCTCCCGCATGTTGTGGTTACATTTTGCTTCAATGTCATATCGCTCCTCATCCACAACATCCACTTTCTCATGTAGCTCTCTGCACAGATCCTAGAGAGAGAGGTTAAAAGGAAAAGTGGTGAGCCGGCATTTTTCTCCAGGACTAGTTTTGATAGAACTACTACACAAGAAGGCATTTCCTTTTCCTTCTTATCTGGAAGACATGATGTATTTTTGTCGGGGGGGGGGGAGTCTCTCAACAGCAAATTTGACAAAGAAAGAAAAAGAAACCAGATGAAAATAAAAATAAAACATCAGCTGACATTAATAGTACAACAACCGTCAATACAAACCATCTAAGCTTAAACATATAAATTGAAATATTCCCCTTGAGACAGTTCATTTAAGCACTTCAAAGCTCTAGTCTAAATAAGAACATCTCCAGTGTGAAGGAAGAGATTTCTTATCCACCTCTGGCTGCATCTACACAGGTATTTTAAAAACTCTCTATAAATGCTGGGGGGGGAGACAATGGAAAATTTCATAGAGTTCCAATTTCAGCTCTGCAACACCATCTGGTGTCACAGTGTTATAATGCATTTTTAACGTTTTATTTTTACTAATGTAGCTGAGTCCAAAGGCAAAAAAATACAGCACAAGCTGGAGACCTAACTCCTAGTATGGCTCATCAGAGCTCTATAATGCTCAACAACATCAGCAAGTCTTCAGAAGCCATCTTTACTTCCACACAGCTCCCTCAACCAAGAGAGTACCTGGAGTTGGGCAAACGAAAGTCCGCTGGTCCGCAGAGGTGTAACCCTCTCTGCCAAATACCTCTCCTTTTCTCCTTGTTTGTCCACTTGCTCTTGTTCCCACTGTTCTTTAGCTTTAGCCAGCATCAAACTCTGGGACAAAGAAGTCAAAGCATTTGAAATTTGCAAGCTTTGAGGTTTTGTTTCTCTTTCCCCACCAATGCCCCCCTCCCCTGCTCTGTTGGCCGCCTGTTTATTTTGGAAGGCATGGAGTCTGCAGCAGTTGGTGTGATGGTCGGTAGAGCATTGAATGTTTACAGCTCAGGGTGAGAGCCTGTGCAGTCGGAATACTGATGAGATGAAGTTCCTCACTGCTGTTCAGAGTCTTATTGGCACACAGCTCCCCCACCCTATGTGTGCAGTCCCCATGAGGGAGGTGGAGTAGGAGATTCATCTTATTATGATTCCAGGAGGTCTGCCCAGCTGCCTTTGTCATACAAAGTGACTGGATGGGATTTTATACTGAGGGATAAGGATGACTGTGTGTTTGTTTACAGGGAATCAGGCAGAGGGCCTTCTCGGTAGTGGCACCCACCCTGTAGAATGCCCTCCCATCAGATGTCAAGGAAATAAACAACTGACTTTTATAAGACATCTGAAGGCAGCCCTGTTTAGGGAAGTTTTTAATGTTTGATGTTTTATCCCTTTATTTTTATTATTATTAATATTCTGTTGGGAGCCGCCCAGTGTGGCTGGGGAACCCCAGCCAGATGGGCGGGGTATAAATAAATTAGTAGTAGTAGTAGTATTTGTGAGTGTTACTAATTAATAGTATAATGTTTATTTTAATAGGTTGTTACTTGATTATTATTGTATTGTATTTGTTTTCTGTTTTGTACATTGCTTTGAGATTCTTTTGTCTTGTATTTAATTTCTAGCATTTACATCACTTTGAGATTTTTTAAAATTAAGACAAGTTCTAAATAAAAGAAAAGGACAAGGAGAGGGATCCTTCAAAACATCATATTTTTTTAAAAATCAGTGCTACCATATTTTCTGAGATGTGAGTTCTATCATAGGTCAATGCAAAAGTCTCACAGGCTTCCCCTACAATGTGCAAGGTGGAATTCCTACACAATCCCCAACATTTGCTTAGGATAGCTTCTCTTGTGTGCAGCTCACTTTAACAAAAGCACTGCAGCTGGTTTGCGACCTCTGTGAGGATCTAGGATCGCATCCCGACTCACCTTCAAAAGGAGTTTGCGCGAGGCTGTGATTTTGGATTTCCTCTGAGGGAGAAAGACGAATACGTAAATAAAGGGAAACCACTTTAAAGCAAATATATTATGCAATCAGTTGCAGAGTTGCACAGAAAAATAAAAAAGAATCCAGGAGCAACACTTACCTCCCTGCAGAAGTTCATTTGGGTGGAGGAATAAAGACAGGAGAAAGCAGAATGAATATGAGGAATATAAACTTCTGCTCAAGAGAAGAATAGAATTGCTACTATATGGAAAAGTAAACCCATCACACCTCTACTCCCCACTAATCCAGAGATTTCCAGAAGAAGTCGGGATTTTCCTACCCTCCCTATGCTGTATTTTGGGTCACAAATTGTTTTGGGAAGTGCAGATTTGGAAGGTTCACCTCAAAATGTGAATCAAACTGAATTCCCACCCCCATCACTAATGTGAAGACCTTACCTGGAATATGGCTGTTTTGCTTTCATTTAGACAAGTGATTTAGATGGTATACAGTATTCCTCTACAGTTCAGCTGTTCTTGGACCCAAATTAAACATCACACATTCTCCTGGGGTTTTCCATAAAAGAGAAGCATCCTCTTTTATACGTTGACATAGATGTCCACAACTGTTCTCAAACCTAGAGATCCCCACTTTATGGTCACATCTACTAATGGGATCATGGATTAGTTGTCAGTGGGTGAGCTGTGCCACTCTTCCAGTAGTGGGCAATGACATCCCTGAAACAAAAGGGCTAAATGGACTGGCTAGCTCCAGCCTAAGGGGAGGAGAAAAGGCACAATTCCTTTGGCAAATACCATTTTAGAACCTTGTCTCTAAGCCTGGGAAGTGTAGGTTCTTCTCTACCATCTAGTGGCTGATTTGTAGAAGTGGTTTGTGAGTCTTACTAATGCTCTCAAAACTCAAAATTCTCTTTTATAAGTAAACTCGCTAGGCAGCCTCTGAATATTTGTTATTCAATGATCACTGAGTTCAAAATTTCATATCTTACCCTTGATATCTGACTGTATTTGACATGCAATGGCATTTCGAATTTGGCAGTATTGGAAACTAATGCCTGATAGCTATTATTTCAGACTTTCTACCTTTGGGGAATACTTTCCTCTTTATATTCTCTGTGGTTAGACTTGACACTAAACCTTTAAAGCACTCTTATACCACTTCAGCAATGATGGCTGCCCCCAAAGAACCCTGGGAACTGTAATTCGTCAAGGGTCCTGACGAATCCCCAGCATCCTTAACTAACTCTATTTCCCATGATCCTTTGTGGCGAATATATGGCTGTTGAAGTGGTATATGTGAGCTTTAAATGTAGGATGTGACCTACAATGGAACCTTTGAACATCGCAGAGAAATTAGAGGCATGCTCAGTTCACACTAGGCAGTGTTTGAGGACACTATTGCCCACTGCAACATGACAGTGCGCTCTGGCTTATGTCTGAGCTGGAATGCATAGGATTGCACTAGAGCAAATCTTGATATGGCACTGGTCATATGATTGCCATTGAAAGCAGCAACCCTGTTTTCCTCCCATTGGTCACCTCTCCTTGTTTCCCCACTATGATACAGGTGAACCTATGATACAGGTTCATGTTTCTCTTGGGTTATCAGCTTTGCGGGTCCTTGGTCACATGTGCAAACTGGAGAAACTGTGATGTACACACACCACACTGATGCACATCCCTCAGACATGTATGCAACCATATACCACAACCGCACACATATGCAACCCCACACACATATGCATGCGCGCGCGCACACACACACACACACACACCCTGCTAGCAATTAGGCTTGGGAAAATAATTTCTGCATTTTTCAAACCAAATTTGGGGCACTGGGCATCTTCTTGGAGTGCACAGCTGGGTAGCCAACAGCAAATCTTCCTTCCTTAGCTCTCCAAGAAGATCACTGCCCAACCCCACAACCAGGGAGTGCCAAATTGAATAAAATATTGTGGGGGGGCGAAGTAAACCCCACTCTGCATAATCAATCACATGACACAGTGCAGACACACCATTTGAATGGGAATGCCCATCAACTTTGTGGGGTCCCAGCCCCCTCAAATATTTTATTGTGGGGGCCGAAGCCCCCACGGCCCCTAGGAGTTGGCTCCTATGCCCACAACTATTAGGCTTGAAAAATGCCTCCTATGGAAGCCAATGGAAGATTTCATTCACTCTAATTGCATCAGGGAAGGAGCAATTGGAGGCTGCTGTTGGGGTGGGAAGCATTAACCATTGCTTCACCAGTTTGGTTGCCCAAAACTGCCCTTCCCTTGTGGCAATTAGGCTTGAAAAAAGCCTTCTATTTGGCTAAAATAGAAGGCTTCTTTCAAGCCTACTGACATCTTTTTCAGCAGCATTCCTCAGGACAAGTCTCCCAAATCTAGTTCCGCTCTAAGTGCCAGGTGTCATGCATGAGTTAATTTAGGCCAAAGTCAGAAGAGGAATCCAGGAAACGAGATCCAAACTAGATGTAAATAGAGGACACCTCAAGTGGCAGCAGGCAGACGTGATTGTTGTTTATCTTACTTACTGTTCAGGCATCGTGCAATTGAATTGTGTGCCTACAATTTGAAAGATAAAGAATCAGCAATAAAGAATGAAACTGAAACCTAACCTTTGAACACCAGCACAAGTTCCGGGTCAGCCCTACATTCATACGAACATAATTTTATTTGCATGCTGCCATTCCATAGTTCAAACCATGCTCAAGGTGGCTTATAACATGAAAAAATACATAGTGACTATATAACAAAAGTAGTCATAAACAATAAATAAAACATCAAAATACCAAAAGCAAGTTGAACAATTTGCACATGTATTATAATAAGATCTACAATAAAGATACAGAAAATTAATGGCAATAACAGCAACAACTGTTGGAATCTCAACTAGATCTGTACCTTGTTTGTAGTATTTCTACAAAACTTTATAGAGCTAAGCCGATGATAAAACTACAGAGTGCGAGTGGGTCCAGACCTCATTATTCTATGTTCTAGATCAGGCATCCCCAACCTGCGGCCCTCCAGATGTTTTGGCCTACAACTCCCATGATCCCTAGCTAACAGGACCAGGGATGCTGGGAATTGTAGTCCAAAACATCTGGAGGGCCGAAGGTTGGGGGTGCCTGTTCTAGATGGCTAGAGATGATGAGGATACTTTCCCCCTACAGCTGCCTGGTGCTGCTACCCTAAATCCAAAGAGTAGTCACAGACTCACATAACCTAGTTGTACCTATTTGGTCCTACCTTTTAAATATCAGGTTGGGCACACTCTGTATATTGTGTATCCATGGAACAGCATTTAGACTATATGGATGGCTTGTTCCAATTAACTCCTGGTAAAATCATCCCACCAGTTCTTAGAGGCCCACTAACTGAAGATGCATTAAAAAAAAAATACAATTGCCCCACACAAGGTGCTAAGAAAAATGAGGTCCTAGGCAACCCAGATGACCTTTTTCTACCTCTGCTTAGGCATTTGCCATGCTATTCCAAGCTGAATCATCTAAATGTGTAAGAGGCAGGGAGAAGCAGTAGACACAAGGCAGCCTAGCATCTGATCAAATTAGAGACTTCTGCTCAAGATGGTGCATTACTCTCCCAGAATGTCTCTGATAGCCAGCACACCTCTATTGTTTACTTTTTTGGACCTTCTGCTGCCATGGAGAGAGATACTAGCAAAGCTGTGATGTACAGGAGGTCAGCCTCAAATTAAGGGAGCAAGAAATGCCATAGACAGGAGGGTGTGCCATGTCAAGCATATCTACAATTCAGCAACTTGGCTTCAAGGGTTTAGCTACTTCTCGAATGCTAATTACCCACAACCCCTCTCAATCCCTCAATTTTTACAAAATTATTTCTGTTGACTGATACTTTGGAGGGTAAGATAAGGAACTTCCCCGAGAGGGATCAAGTATGTGAAAATCCAAGTCTTAAAATACATGAGTGTTAGATAAATGCCCACATTCAAATTTCAAATGTCTTTTTTTAAAAATAAAAATTCAATTCAAATTCATAATGCATTTTTTTGGTCTCACTTTTGCATTCCCTTAAGAAGCTGGTTTACACTCAGATTATTTGATGCTTTCCTGCATCTGAGCAACTTTATAGATAGCACAATAGATTTAAGAGCTCCGAAATTCCCTGCAGTGTGCTAGCTTTGGGCAAAATGACTGCCTATCCGAAACCATTCTAAATAAATGTAAAGTAAATGAATGTAAATATAAAATGGGGAATTTGATTGTAATGAAACCCATGGTTCTCAGGATTCCTTTGACTATAGGACTGAAGGTAACTTTGAATATTGTAATATTTCTATTATTGCTGCATACTTGGCAATATCACAATTTTGCATCTATAATTTGACCATAGAATTTATTTTGTTCAGCTGCAAAAGCCTCATTTTCATTCCTACTCTCTAAACGGCTTGACACCGCTTTGACGGCTCATATATATGCCTGCTTTCTGCTCAGCGGCTTCTACCTTTAAGTCATTCAGCGCATCTGTGCAGCCCATGCCTTCCACAAATAAGATATCCATTTGTAAGAACATACGAAAGGTCCTCCCGTCTCAGACCCAATGCTCATCTAGTCTAGCATCCTATTCTCACAGTGGCCAACCAGATGTCTGTGAGAAACCCACTGGCAGGATTTGAGCATGGCAGCATTCTTCCCACTTGTGATTCGTAGCTATTGATAGCCTCATGCTCCATAAATGTCACTTGGGAAAAGGTATGGAACTTGTGGAATACACATCTGTGACTGGATCATTTTGCTCTTTCAAATGAATTGTCCCAGTGGTCTCCGTATCACTACGGATGGCATTCAGAAGCAGTTCCTCCAGTTTAGTTTCTGGTAGATAAATTACCCTGGCATAAGCAAAGTTCTCTCAAAGTTCTGTTAGGTGTCAGCAAATTTGTTTGACACCACCATGGTGTTAACAAAATGTAAGTATCCGCAATAAAATAGAACAGAGAAGGCAACTTGAGCATAGACTTTTATAGATGCACTCACCATAAACGGAGACATAAAAATAATTAGCATCGTTTCTGCACCTGTCATCTACAAGAGAGCTGGAATTTGATGTGGGAGAAAGTCAATTTGTTTTTTCAGAGTTCCCATTTCCCCAAGAGCCTATTGGATCCTGTTAGACACCCAGTCCCCTCATGCAATGCCTTTTCCATCAGGGAATCTGATCACTGCCATCTGCTCTGGGGAATTTTCATAAGCATTTCTCTTCAGATCTAACGCTTCACCAACCGAAACCTGCCCTTAAGCTTCTGGCTAATCTATCTGCCTAGTATTTGCAAAGTGCTCCGAGATTGAAAAGGGGAGGAAAAAAACCCATCTCCACCAGCCTGTGTCTGCATTAGTGCCTACATGCCATTGGCACTGCAAGTGTAATTGGTTTTAATGGCAGTTGCCTGGGTGCATCCCCTACAAAGCTCCTGCTCAACCAGCTGGTGTTCTCATTGCCTTGAGCAAAATAAGGTGGTGATTTCTTTCTCTGTGCTCCAACCTATAAATCAGCACATGACTACCTCCCGCCCCAAGGCTAGCCCTTTGATGAAAACACCTTACCTAGAGCAGTCCAGGCGGGAGGGAGGTGCTGGCTGAAGGATGGAAGATTTCAGACTGTGAGGAGATGAGGAAAGGATGGGGGTATTAAGCTGCAGCCAGACCGCAACTGGTCAGTAAAAATAGAACAGATACAGATACCCTTCTGGGACGCCTGCATTCACAGAGCAAGAGGCGATGTCTAGAGATGCAGCAGACCACACACCCACACATTGTGTATACATTACGTGCGCACACTTTGCGCTGCGTACATGTTATAATGAGAGTGGGGAAGCTTTTCCAGCCTGAGGGCCTCATTCTCTCATGAGCAATGTTGCAGGGGCCACATGCCAGCAGTGGATGGGTCAGGGATATGACTCTTGCCTCCATACAGTAGGTTGCATTCTGGCCATGCAAAAGTTAAGGTAAAGTTAAGGTAAAGGTAAAGGGACCCCTGACCATGAGGTCCAGTCGTGGACGACTCTGGGGTTGCGGTGCTCATCTCGCTTTAGTGGCCAAGGGAGCCGGCGTTTGTCCGCAGACAGCTTCCAGGTCATGTGGCCAGCATGACTAAGCCACTTCTGGCGAACCAGAGCAGCGCACGGAAACGCCGTTTACCTTCCCGCTGCAGCGGTACCTATTTATCTACTTGCACTTGACGTGCTTTCGAACTGCTAGGTTGGCAGGAGCAGGGACCGAGCAACGGGAGCTCACCCCGTCGCAGGGATTCAAACCGCTGACCTTCTGATCGGCAAGTCCTAGGCTCTGTGGTTTAACCCACAGCGCCACCCGCGTCCTCCATCAGCTTGTATATATGTGTAAATAAACCATATATCATAAAGACACCACAGTCTTATGCAAAAGTTAGAGGCTTCTAAATGTCATCCCTCTATCTTCCAAGCAGACAAGCAGGAGGCATGATTGCTGCTCAAGGCACTGAAAGTCCAGGAAAGGTTATGGCCTGGAAAAATGTGCAGGAGATTTCAGGAAGCCAGAGAGACTGGAGGGCTTTTGGCCCCTGGTGTTGAGGTTGCTCACCCCCCATTTTACACCTTTGCATTGCATCCCCTGTGTACTCTGACTAGTGTACACACATAACTTCTGCTCACATACTAAAAACTCTGGACACACTGAGAACAGGACACTGCAAGACACGGTTGATAAGAACAGTCAGTGAGCGGAAAATGAGGAGAATGGATTACTCAGGATTGGATTAGTCCCCCAACTTCTAGTTTGTTCTTTTTCTCAATTTGGATCAAAGCTAAAAAAAAATGGGGTGAGGGAGTGGACACATCAAAACACAGCATTTCATGAGGATAAATATGGATTATACGGCTAATGCCCTGTGTGTACTGCCTCCCAAGCCAGCAAGGTGAATGTTCCAGATGCAGAGGGGAACAAGGTTTCGATCAACAATCAAGAGGCCATAATTGATTGCTAGAAGCAGCCTTTGTTAAGGAGACCCTTAGTCCCTTCCTGCGGGGGAGCTCACTCTTTTGTCTCTAAAGCGGGTAGACTAGGGGCCCCTCAGGGTGGGGAGGAGGCCCACAGAGCTGCCTTTGCACCTGTTTCCCTGGGTATTTTTGGAGCACATATGAGGAGAACACAACTCTATAGTCCAAGGAGGACAATGCTTGGCATTTTAATCCATGTTGCTATTATGGTGCGGGCAGAGAATACAGGAAAGATATTCAAAGGCAGTGACAGGAGTGGTGAGCCCAGGGCCCTTCCCTGCAACACCAACACCCCCCTGTTTTCTGTGGGAATGAGCAGCAATGAGCAGCAATGAACCATCCTCATTCGAACCCAGCCTTCCCCAATTGAGTGCCATCCAGATGCTTTGGACTACAGTTCCCATCATCCCCAGCCAGCAGAGCCATGTTGGCTGGGACTGATGGAAGTTGTAGTCTAAAGCATCTGAACAGCACTAGGTGTGGGAACACTATTCTAATTTATTGTCTATGTATTACATTTGTATACAATTTGTCCAAATATATATATATATATTTGCCCGCCACCCCAATCTCTGTGCAGTGCAAGACTCCAGGGGTTCCCAGAGCTCATCCAGGGTTTATATTTCCTTTTGGAATGAGGGACAGCGGAGACTGTGGTGTCTTTATGATATATGGTTTATTTACACATATATACAAGCTGATGGAGGACGCGGGTGGCGCTGTGGGTTAAACCACAGAGCCTAGGACTTGCCGATCAGAAGGTCAGCGGTTTGAATCCCCGCGATGGGGTGAGCTCCCGTTGCTCGGTCCCTGCTCCTGCCAACCTAGCAGTTCGAAAGCACGTCAAGTGCAAGTAGATAAATAGGTACCGCTGCAGCGGGAAGGTAAACGGCGTTTCTGTGCGCTGCTCTGGTTCGCCAGAAGTGGCTTAGTCATGCTGGCCACATGATCCGGAAGCTGTATGCCGGCTCCCTCGGCCAATAAAGCAAGATGAGCGCCGCAACCCCAGAGTCGGTCACAACTGGACCTAATGGTCAGGGGTCCCTTTACCTTTACCTTTACAAGCTGATGGAGGGGTTCACAGCATTAACGCCACAAGAGGGTCTTCCTTCCCCTATAGCCACAGCCTTGGATTCAAACAGAAATCCAATGTTCCTCTGACTCTCTCTGCTACTTTTCTTCTGGCTCACATCACTTAACCCTCAATTCTCACCTTTGTCTTTTTCTAACTACCAGCCGGTTGATGCTCACACAGACTCACTTCCTTTATTCTCCTGAATGGCCCATCACCCAGGAGATCACCTCAACAGGGAGCTAGCCTGGCTTAGATTTTAACACTTACTGGATCCAGGGGTTGGGGGGTCTCTGTGTACAGATTTATGCCCCAAACTCATAACAATATATAAAATGGTGTGCATGGCTCTTCCCTGCCCTCTTAATTCTCACAGCAGCTCTGTGAAAGGGCTGCGAAAAAGTGCCTGGCCAATACCACCCCTTGAGCAACATAGCAGGGCTGTATACACTCAATACATTTAAAGTCCATTCTCCCACCCCATAGGACTCCTGGAAGCTGTGGTTTGTTAAGGCTGCTGGGAACTGTAGCTCTGTGAGGGGTTAAACCTACAGTTCCCAGGATTCTCAGGGCCAGGGGGAATGTGCTTTAAATGTATGGTGTGTACACAGCTGAAGTCTCTTTGGTCCTGACACTAGAACTACTCACCACTAGGTGCAAATGTCTGGTGATGGAGATTGGGCTCAACCCATCACTAATTCTGAAACTTCCTGGCCAGTCCTTACTGTATTTGGCACCAAAGCAGAATCCTCCAATAAGATACATGCTCCTCATTAACATGCTGGGACGAATAGAAGAGCTCATTTCTTCACTGAATTCCACCCCTACGTTTGGTTGCTAACCAATCACAATGCAGGAGGGACAATGGCATAGTTAGATTTTAGCATGGATCTAAGCCACCACCAGCTGTGACTTCCTGTTTTCTGATCCTTCCCACCACTTCCCACCAGGCTGTATATCTGGTGGTAATAGGCAGCTTTTTCTAACAAATACTGGACCTGATAATAAAGACTGAGCAACAGAAGTACGTCCAATAGAGTTCCAGGGGGCTTACTCCAGGTAAATGGGTATAAAATTGCAATCAAATATAGCTGTCCTTTGTTCCTGTTGACATAAGGAGGACTTCCATTATAACTCAGCTGTTCCATTTATACTATAAAAATGTGACTGTTTACAGTTACCTTACATAGATGCCCACTAGAATTGACCTTTTCTTTTAAAAAAGAAAGTGGGCCTTGCATATATCTTTTTTATTCTGGGTTTTACAGCATCCATATTTAAACACACACACACGTTACACCTTTTGCAACAGGTCAGGGCAAGACGAAGACAGTGCATACAGAGTGCATGGAAAACAGAGAAAGGATCTGCCTAGACAGATGAAAATTAGCCCTGGCACCTTTGCCAAGACAGAGAATCCATTATATGAACCTCCCAGACTGTTACTCAGAACATAACACAATAAAGATCTGTTTTACAGGATAAATACAGAGCTCAGTTTGGATTATTTCATGCAGGGAGATTTGGTAGAGTTAACAAGTTTAATAGTGGAAGCCGTTTCTCTGAGAAATTTCATTAAAACACGGGATCTGTCTGAATGCCAGTTGCTGGTGATCAAGAGTACCTTCTTCTTAAGAGCACCTTCTTGCAAATCCTCGCCACTGGGCAGGAAGGGAGATTTGGAAAGAGCGTTTCCTGTGGTTTGAACAAAGTGCCAAACCATGGTTTCTCGTAATGTGAACAAAATGTGAGCTCACACACTCCCACCTCCACTCATGTCCTCCTTCACTGGTTCACCAGGGGTGAGCCAGAGCTTGTCATTACATCAGAACTGGCAAATCATGGGTTGTGTGTATCCTCCTTCAAAGTGAGGCATCATTGGGTGAGATGCTGGAGAGCATCTTTGCAAAAGAACAAGGGGTGGGGGGAGAGACAAGGGGATCAGGAGGACAGAGGAGGTCGATGTGTGTGTTGGGGGGTGCCTTTGGGTGCTGAATTTCCTGTGAATTTCCTCATCACCTGCATACTTTTAATTAGTCTATTGCAAAAGGCATAGGAGGAGAGCCAGGGAGAATGTGCCAAGACTGTGCTAAAGGAGTCAGCCAACAATCAGAAACCAAGAAAGGTTGTAATCTCAGACTCATTTCCCTGGGCGCCAGTGTCGTGTAGTGGTTAGGATAGGGAAGCCCCAGGTTCAAATTCCCCACTCCTCCGTGAACCTCACTGAGGTTTGCACCTTGGGCCAGCCTAACCTGCTACACAGGATAAAATTGGGAGATGGACTACCTTAAGCTCCTTTGAGGAAAGCTGACATATAAATGATACAAATGAAGTAATAAATAGACAAACAAGCCCCATTTTAGTGAATGGGACTTACCACTGCGTAGGCCTGTGTGGGATTCTGCTGTGAAATGCTGGCCCAAAGTAATAATGGTGGATCCAATGAAAACACTTTGAAAAATCTGTGTCTGTGGTAAACATGTGTAGTGTGCACCTAATTCTCCTAGAACCCGGGTTTTTTCAGCTGCAACTCAATGGAAACCAGTTCCAGCACCTCTCAGGTGGACACCATTGCCATTCTAAGAGAA